TGGCGGCAACGTAACCGATCATGTCACCAATAACACCACCACCGAGAGCAATGATGACTGTATCCCTCGTGCATTTTTCGGAGAGCATCCAATCCTCTATTTCAGCCTTAGTCTCACGGCTTTTAGAAGTTTCACCCGGGGGGATTGTATAGGTAAGAAGTCGAGACTGTAGGCCTCGGGTCTCGACGGCCTTATTGAAAATGTTCACGAAAGGAGGAACATAGCGACCATGGAGATTAGTATCGGTAATAAGAATATAGGTAGAGGATTTGATGTTCTCGAGGAGGTCTTCAGAAACGAAAGATCGCCAGATGTCGTGGTCGACAATGATAGAGTCGGATCCAAGAATAGCGATTCGGGTTGGACCCGACGCAGTGCTGGCCTGATCAGTCATTGTGCTGCTGTAACACTAATGACGATCAGTGTAATCCGAATCAGAGTGTCGTCTGTGACTGGTAAGCCTCGTTAGGTGTAAGGCTGAAAAGAAGCGTTTTATACCATACGGGTAGCAAGGATAAGGACAAGGGGTCCCGAAAGGAGCCAGCCCACTTGATCTGGAGGTATTTGAGGAATTGGAGGAATTCTAGATAGAATTGGTCATTTACACCATGAGATGAGAATACACCTAACAAGAGGCGTGTTTCCTTTTGAATCTATGGAAACATGGAATGAATAACTGGCACCTCTAAATCGACTAGAAAGGTGCTTCAGTTTGAACAATGAAGTTTGCTATGGTATGAGTCGACGCTTTGAGGCTAGGGTCCGAAGCGGTCCCTGAACCATAAAAATTTGGTTTGTTCCTCGTAGAATCTTTGTGGTTAAAATTGAAATTGGCCAATAGAATTTCAGGTATGTAACTTGTAAATGCTCGTGGCAATGGAGGCGCGACTCCGATATGCGGGGCAAGGGTAGAGGGGCTCAGGAGCTTGATAAATGATTAAGTGTGTTTAATCATTAATAATGTTATAGACGGTAATACTTAACTAAACATAATAGAAGATCGATAAACATTGCTTCACGATAAGCGACGACATAACTCTAGAACTTTATCCTTATTCTTACCTTAGGTAGCCTTATTACATCAGGTTATATCTTCTGTATATATCTGATGATTCTCAGTCCTGATTCTTAGATACACTGGGAGACATTCCATACACCGGAAGTTTTTTGAAGAAGAAATAAAAGAAGAAACTCTACGGAAGCTCAACGTTCAATAGGCGGTATGTCTCACTTATATTTCTCTAGCCGCGTTTATGATCCCGATCGGAGGAAACGCGTGGTAGTCGGTGATAAGAGGTCCGAACATTGCTTACTGAGGCCATTGATTTGAACATCTGAATACCGAACCCCGACTACGCGCCGTGAAATCCCTATACAAAAATTTCAATCCGAACCCGGGATTGCTGCTTATCTCGCTCGGAACATAACGGGGACTGCTCTTTGCGAAGCGCTTACCAACATCAACGTACCTCAGGCGTTTGTGTGTATTTTTCCTGTGTTCATTTCCCCTGACAAATATCTAAAGTCGGTCAAGATATAAATGAAAGAGTCGAAATTCATACCTAGTATCATTTACATAAGCGTATGGTAGTTTACGAGCAGACCAGTTAAACCGTGACGGGGGGTGTAGCTGAGCCTAACCTGCTTTGTAGACCCCAAGGGTCATCTTTCCGCCTAGATTGGCAAGTCCGCAACGGATTTGGATCCCGCCCTTTCGCGCCTTTTTCATATGGAAATTCTTTTAATGGGTTACAAGTGGGTCTGTTAAATGACTAAATGATGAGGTTGGAGTAATCGTCGGAGATATCTTGGTTATTTAGGAATGGCGAATCCAGCTCTCTGTTGGTCTTTATTCCTTTATCATCGTGTGCGATATTGTCTTTTGTTAGTTGATACGTAGCGAACGCCAATAAAGATCAGCAATTGCAAGGTTGTTGCTATTGCTCTACTGATCCGAAATCGCTATTAACGTGAAGCCGAAAAACGCCTCACCGGCGCCGGCTTGTCCCGTAGTTGGTGTAACACAAATAGTATGGCTTCCGGCATGGACGAACTTCCGATCGACTCAGAGAAGCCCGAGACCGATTCACAACCGGGCACCGATCCGGTCAGCAGGCAGCAGTCTATCGCGGAGTCTAAATTATCTCGTATACGCTCATCTGTCGCCCGTGTGCGATCAAATAATGGACACGGATGCGCCGACTTAGAAGAAGGCGACACGACTGATGACACACTCACACCTGCCCAGCGTCAGATTGAAAAGGATCCCTTCGAGGTATCTTGGGACGGCGATGATGATCCCTTGTGTCCTCGAAGCATGGCCATAGTCCGCAAATGGCTTGCTGTAATAACTGTTGGTATGGGAAGTCTTTGCGTGTAAGTGTACTTTGGCTGCCTACCGCATGAGTGGGCCTAACTCAATCTCGAAATATCTTTTAACAACATGTAGGACCTGTACGAGTTCTATTTACGCGTCCACGTATGGTCAGATGAACCCGGAGTTCCACGTATCGAGTATTGTTGGTACCCTCGGTCTATCACTCTTCGTTCTCGGTAGTATGTTACTCGCTAAAGCCCTTAAGTTGTCTCTGCTAAATCTTCAACTCTAGTTGCCCTTGGTCCCCTTCTCATGAGCCCACTGAGTGAGTTCGTCGGAAGGCGGCCGATTTATATTGCCTCGTGGGCCATGTTTCTGATATGGTTAATACCAAGTGCCGTGGCACGTAACATGGCGACCATGCTAGTGGTATGTTCACCTAGGAAACGTGAAGCACCCCCAGCTTTATTATAACGGTAGACTGACGTTGCTTAGGCGCGGTTTATCGACGGGTTTGCCGGAAGCTCATTCCTCAGCGTCGCTGGTGGCACAGTCAGCGATATATTCAGACGAGACCAGATCCAGGCGCCAATGGTTATAGTATCTTTAAGCCCCTTTATCGGTTGGTGATCATCGGCCTATAGGTACCTATTTACATAGCCCAATGCTAACGAATTACAGGTCCTAGCTTAGGTCCTCTACTCGGTGGATTTATCAACTACAACACAACTTGGAGGTGGACGTACTATGTATATTTTTGAATCTAATCTCAAGTCTTGTTTGATGAAGCCCACGTTGCTAACTTTTGAATCTTGATAGGCACTGATCATCTGGGCTTTCCTTGAGTTGGTCATGATTACTATTTTCGCACCGGAGACATACCGTACGTGGCTGTATGTATATTGCTTCGAAGACATTTGTTAACAACGACCTAGATCCTATCAGGCTCCGCGAGAAAGCTAGAAAATTAAGGAAAGAAACCGGCGACGATCGATGGAAATCACCGATGGAGAAATCGACTAAGTCCGTGGCAGTGACTATTGGATATTCCCTCCTGCGGCCATTTGAGTTGCTGATATTCGAGCCAATGTGTCTATTGCTCTGCCTATTCTCTGCCATCTTGTTGGGAGTCCTATACCTGTTCTTCGGAGCGTTCCCCCTAGTCTTTGGTAATACTTACGGTTTCAATCTTTGGCAAACCGGTCTGAGCTTCCTCGGAATCTTTACAGGAATGATCGTCGCTGCTGCAACTGACCCCATATGGCGGCGCGTTAATCAGCGGCTTTTAGAGCAAAATGACGGCATCCCCGAACCTGAATTCCGACTGCCATCAGCAATTGCAGGTGCCGTCCTGGTTCCTATTGGGCTTTTCATATTTGCTTGGACCGCATATCCTTGGGTTCATTGGATGGGACCTATCATTGGATCTGCTATATTCGGCTGCGGTACACTCTTGGTGTTTACTGGAATATTCACCTTCCTCGGTAAGTTGGAAAACCCCATGAGGTTGAAGTTTCTAGATTTCACGACTAACGGGAAATCGTAACAGTGGATGCATACCCGCACTACGCTGCTTCGGCCCTTGCTGCCAACAGCTTCACTAGGTGTACTTTTGCTGGTAAGTTGAGACCTAGAAATGAATACCCCTTGATATGTATCATCCACTAACCTAACCTTTCAATAGCCGCATTTCCCCTTTTCGGAATACAGATGTATAATAAACTTGGTTACCAATGGGGATCTAGCTTGTTAGCATTCCTTACAGTGGCGATGATGCCTTTCCCTTACCTGTTCTTCCGATATGGAAAGCAAATCCGAAAGACGAGCAGATTCGCTCGTTAAGAGATGGATACGTATAGGTAATGACCTGAATTGATATGAGAGATGGCAATTTTTTTTAATGCGAATAACGATATAAAGTAGTTCGAAGTAAATACACTTAATAAATGATGTACTATGTTACTCATATTTATTACTTTTACTACCTCTACTTATCTTTCCTTAAGGACAGTGTCTTACCCGAGCAACGGTGCTTCATCAGGACCGAAAAATGAGTGTCCAGACAACCATCTTCTCACAAGACTACACATACCTCAAAACAAGGTTTACTCGACTGAAGATATAACGATTATTTAACATATTAAATTACGATTAACCTATGGTAATGAATGATAGAGTTAACTATGGACCTGAGCTGCTCGCAGAAGTCATAAGTTTGGCCTCAATGAGACTGGAATGATAATAGTCACGGAAAGGTTTTCCGTCTGAATTCCATGTTGGCCAACTGGAAACAGGTGTGATATCCGTCACCTCGTAGCGTCTCTACTAGGAACCAACTCATTAATGATAGCTTCACAACCGCTGCCTAGCTTCTTGACTGGCAATCCATTGCCGGACTGGTAGTACATGATGAGCTGTGGGCCAGTCGAAACTTCAAAATAAATAGCCCCTTCCCCTACTAATTCGTTGGGGTTTTCGTACGCCTCAAATGACTGTTGCGTAGCAACAGAAAGTTCCACCCAACCTGTGTTTTTAGGCGTAGGTACCTGGACAAGCTTGTTATATTTCTTTCTGTCTCTACCCCTTAGGGCTAATACAGTCCTTTCCTTCCTTCCCGTCACCTGTCCAAACTCGGCATCAAGAGGATCCTACCCCAGAGGAAGGTCTCTGATCCTAGATCGCTATGTCGGGGTTGAGTTTCCAACCTGTTGTACACGGTAGTATGGTTCACATCATGGGCATCCAATGGCCTCCTCCCGTCAGGCCTGGCATCGATCCGTTTGAACGTGAGATTTCCCTGGAAATCGAGTGCTTGTGTGGTAAAGTTCGTATATCAACAAGAACTCCACCACAAGAAATATATGTTGACAAGATGCTCTCGTAGATTTCCGCTACAATTCACGGTCATGTCCCCCTCCAGGTAAGTTGTCATCTCTGACTCCATGCGTTAGCGACTTTGGAACTGACTTGGAATTAGCGCATCTGCCATTGTCGCGAGTGCAAGAAAATTACCGGCGGAACCCACGGTGACTTCTTGCTCGTCCGGAACAACAGCATGCTTACTTGGAGGTGCAACACTGGTAAGCTCCCCATATTCCCTGTGGCCTTCCATGTCTGCTCCTTATGCCACGTCAAGATAACAGGACCCATACTCATGTCTGTTTAGCAGAATTGAAGGCTTTCTCTTACTATGTCGGAGAGGAAGAAACAGAGAACAACGTCAAGAACGTCTTCCGCTGCCCCACTTGTTGTACTCCCATTTTCGTCGGTCAAGGAAACCCAAATTCCAATATAATGCTGTTCTTCGTCGGCTGTCTCGCTGACCCCACGTGGCTGGATGACCATAAGCCCGATTCCGAGACTTTCACGGGAGACAGGTGCGCTTGGCTGCCGCTTATAGCTCCACCCTCAGCTCCATCCCCCGGGCCGCAGCCGAAGTCAGAATAGAAGGATATCGAAATGGCGTCTCTGGACGAATATTAAGTTAATCGGAGATCTCGTTACCCCGAGTCGCGGACCTGAACGACGATGTGTCTTGGTCGCGTGGCGTATACGTTAATAATGTAAAATCTTCTCTTCGTAACCTCTTGCTTTTATCTTCATGTAGGTAGCATCGGCTTCGCATCGGCTTTATCGTTCGGTTTGGTCGCATACGACCTGCGAGGAATGCAATAGATGATGTGATAGCAATACGAATAGGCAAGATAGCCAATATTCATAATGCATGACACACCGTCGCTGATATTCACCTTGACGGCAGTATCTTCCTTGCGTATTCGCGGCCTAACTTTAGTATCGCTCTGACGTGATCTTCGAGCCGCCTATCCTTGCGCCTCCGCATCCATAGTAATACGATGCCCAAAACTACCATATCTACTGCAAGATGCTTCGAGACGATCCATAATATCCAACTAGTCCATGCTTTGAAGCTCTTTTCCTTCTTAGACCTCCATTCGCGCCCGGCCGTGATTTGTTCCCGTAGAGCCGCGACTTCGGCAGATAATCTTACTACGGCGCGCTCTACTTTTCGCGACCACCTATCGCCTTTCTTCACGTATTCCCCATCATCCTCATCGCCCTGTCTCTGGCGATACTCCTGTTCCGCAGCATCGTCCTCGCTCATTGGGCTAAGCACCTTCATAGGTCCCTCAGTCCCACTTAATGGTTCTCGGAAATGTCGGGGCTCAGCAAATGTAGCCTCCTTCGGTGATGCATTAGATGATGAGGGGCTGTTATTCTTAATCTGGTCCCAGACGAATTCGAGTTCTGCAACCAGTCCTTTCCCGTCTCTACAAATATTTTATATTAGCTCACCTTCCACCGACCGCCACCATCCCCCACTACAAAGAGACTATGGCCCACTATATGGTTATTGCGGGGGTAGTCCAAGAGAAACTTACGGTGTGTTGGCATAGTGATGCATAGTCTCAATAAGTGCCTCGATGTATCGGCGTTTAGCTTCTGTCCGGCTGAGACCATTCTGTGCGTTCCACGCGTCCCATTTGTCCCGCTCGCGTTGCAGCTCGTCTACATCGACACCTGGCCGGTGCTCAGGCCGCTCCATCACACCGTCTACGTCACCTTCCATCGCCTGCTTGTATAGGCCATATAGCCGTAGCCGGTCGCTCGGCGGGGGGCGCGGCGCCCCCGTCTTCGGGATCTTCTTGACCGTGTTCAGCGCGTGGACAAACACGCGGTCTATTTCGTGTGGGGACTCGATTAGCGACGGGGTGATGGATTGGGAAGTTGAAAGCAATGCAAAGAGAGGAACAGGGCGCTTCGTTGGATTGGTTGGCTGGGACATACCAACTGAGTCGGCCATTTTGAACCGTTCATCTGTATCGTCAAGAACTTCGGGTCTCTAGTTCTTTTCTCGTTCTATCTATATACCCCTAATACCTACATTTACTAGTACGCGCTCGATAAATGTGGTACGTTAGAGGCGTGGCAAGCAGAAGACCGTAGGTATGCGTAGCGAGCCCGGTTATTGCTCTCCCAGGGAGCACGTCGACGCGGCGCTGAAGCAGATGAAGGATCACCGCCCAATGCGTTGGTTCCTGCGTTGGTCCCTCGGCTACCAATGGGAACCCGAGGTTAGGAACACGTCATCTATACAGGTGGAAAAATGCAAGCAGATGGATAAAATATTAAGGATAGTTTAGGTGTTGTATATAGGTCTGAGCTGGTTTGATATGGCACGATTACGTTAAACCACCGGTTAGAAGTATTGGAAGTAAAGAGGTATGTAGGTAAGTAATAAGTATTTATTGTACAAACAATTATTAGCTTTAAATGGATGTCGATCATTGAGTTGGAGCTGGAGCAATTCTCTGCATAATGGGGAACATTGAAACTTTCGATAGTCTTATTCGGGTGTTAGGGGAATGCAATTGCCTCGGCGTAGAATTGGATCCATTCTTTACTGGGATCAGGTACCTTTTCTGCAACCTTCCGCCATACATACCTAAGGTACTGCTCCTTCTGTATGCAGTGTGTATGTACCTAATTGTACCTATATCAATACAATTTCGGCGGTGGCCGCTCGCGTGCTACCTGTTAAATTAGTGCTAAGCTTAGGTACATTAGTAGTATTCTTCTTCTTCCGTGTTCCGACGATTGCACGTGAAGAAGACAACTTCAGGTATTATGTAATATGTCTTATTCTTCGGGCCTCGCTTGATTTACTACCTCTTTCGAGTTTCACGTTGTAAAGGACCAAAGTCAGATTGTTTCGTCACCCTGACTGTTATCACGGCAACAAAATTGATTTTGTTCTCAGCTATACTTCTAAGATTAAGCTTCTGCTATCCGACATGATATTAACTCCGTGGGCGCATAGATACATATTGAGAAACTCGATCAATACCTAACTTAGGTACCTACCAGGTAGTAAGTGCCATTCTACTAGGTAGCAATCCTAGATACCTTGGATATTACCCAGTTATGACCAGTTGTCATACTCTTGCTGCGTTGACTCGGCTAAACTTTTAGATTTCAAAAACTCTTCCTTCTTTTGCTGTAGGCGCTTGATGAGCTTCTTATTATCCAGCGCTGCGCGTGCCGCATTGTTTCCTGCCTCTTTCTTCGATAATGCACTTCCGAGACCTAGCTGGAGGTTACTTTCTCCCCATCCGTCGAGGAATACGCCTACAGTGTACAATGGAAGACCCAAGTGTTTATCCTTCTTTAGTTCACCCACGTCGTTGTACGAGAGTTTAATCCCATTCACAACGATAGCGTTTCTCAAGATGACCTTATAGGGTAGGTCCTGTTTTGTAGCTTGCTTGTCGCTGTCCGTATCTTGCTTCTTGTTTGAGCGATCGTGTTTAGAACTTGACTTGCCTCTGAACTCTGCTCGAATCTCATCTGCGAGTTCTATGCTCCAGAGTGACTTTATCCAGGACGACACACGCGGTAGGCTCTCCGGGTCTGCTAAAATCGTAGCTGCGACATAAGATTCAAAAACGTCGCCGAGGGCCTTTTTCCTTGCTACCTCAGATGCCCGAGTCGCCCCAGGCTTTCCGAGAGGGCCAAACTCCGGGGGAAATTTCGTGCGCTTGTCGATACCGTATTGTATGGTGTAGTTCAATAAAGTCTCGTTCCTAACAAGCCTCTCCCGCAGCTGGGAGCATCGCCCGACGGGTAGATTGGGGAAGGTCTGGAAGATGAAAGATGTAGACATTAGGTAGATATAGGCATCGCCAATCCACTCGAGCCGTTCATAGCTCATTTTCGTCGAACCTGATGTCATACCCGAGTGAGTAAGTGCTGCCTGCTCGAGGGCTGGATCTAGGACAGGGGGTAAGGGTGGCAGGCCAGAACTTGGTATATCATCAGGCGTCCATCGAGTCAGCGACACGTGATTTGGGATGGGAAGTGCTCCAGCACCAAGTGAACTTTTGGAATTTCTCCCATCTTCAAGCTTTCTGGCTTTTTGCGGTCTGGGACTATCCTGACCAAGAGCACTTGTCTAGGGGAGCGTGAATTAGCAGTGAGAATGGCACCGGATGGTTCAATGCTTACCTCGTCTTGTGCGAGTAATTGCGCGGTAGGTAATATCTCGTTGTTGTGGCGTTTTAATACCGAGACTATTTCGTCATTTATATCGGAAGTGTCATGAAATTTTTGGAGCTCCTCATTCAGAGCTTTGACTGTTTTCAGCAGATTTTTAGCATGGTTTAGGATTTGAGAAACTGATGTAGCGTTCCCGGGGCTGTTATTGGAGTCGACCTCCGCGAACAAACGCTTCGACATGGCGCTTATAGATTCTGCAAGTATACTTATCAGAACTTGAGAGATTTATATGTAGAAGAATTGCTGATAAAGATTAAGCCACACTACAACAGCGCAACTGTTTTGCAGTTTTGCAGTTTTGCAGTTTTGAAGAGGTGAAGTGTTACCTTGAGCCTTGAGGTACCTAGGTTAGGTACGTAAATAATATGTCTTGACTGAAGGTATGCGCCACCTGAAGGCTGAAAGGGAATGATTAGCCGAATATTTCCCGACAAACGCGCGCCCCACGCTCAATTAAGTGGTCAAACTAACTGTGACAACTTCATCTTTAGTTGTGCGACAAGCAAAAGTTGCTGCATAAAAGGTCAAAATGGCGGCTGTCCCTCGTGCAAGGCTGCTGAACCTCATGAAGGTATATTTTATTCCTTAATTGGCTTTGTAATGAATTAAACTAACTGATATTCCAGGCTCAATGCGAAGTCTTCTCCACAACATACAATCCTGATGGGGTACGGATGGGCAACAATATCCTGCGACAACGATTAAGAGGACCAACGCTTGCCAAGTACTACCCCCCAAGAGGTCCGACAATCAATACGTTAGCGAAGACGTTTAAGCGTTGGAATCTGGAGACTATTAACGAGGAAGAAGAGGATAGGTTGGAACACTTGGCAGGGTAAGCTATATCTATGTTACAAGTATCACACATATCAGAATCTAACCAAGATATAGAGTGAGGTCGCGCGGAAAAGGTGCACCGAAGAAAAAGACTGGCCCCCCTCCTGGTATGATCCATTCCTCCCGTTTTTCTTGGAATGACACTAACTTCCGGTATAGCGAAGCACAGGTAGAGACGGGATTCGTCTTGTCTACCCTTGTACATATATATGCGAAAATAACGGCGTTTATGGACGTAAATTATCAATTCATTACTACGAGACCAGATATTCGGAATATAGAGAAACTAACCACACCCTAATGATACGCCAATGCTCTTGATGCCTCCTAATTTCTCAGCATCGCTTCCATAGTCTTGTGACTTTCGATTAGTCTATAAGCGTGGATTCACGATAGTAAGCCGTCAACTAGGGTGTCAGAGGTTTGTTCACTGAACTTAAAGGGGTAGCCCTCTACGGCCACCCTTATGGACGGTTGAGCGCTTTAGGTGCTAATGTCTACCCGTCGTTTAGTATTCTTGTACATGATCTCAAGTTGGCGCCATCTGGCATGCTTTCAGAATACGAATCCTAGGGGAAATAGGTGGATTAAATACACGATAATGTCTAACTCCCTAGGTGCCCAATCGATATGAATGCTATCAGGAAAGCTATATACTTATATATACGTACGCCTGTGTGCAAAAGGAAAGGGTCTGGTGCGAGTACTGGTGTATATATGAGCCTGATAAGCGATTATCCTTAGAGGTTTTTACCACACCCATGTGCTCATAAGTATTGGCAGTTAACTTGGTCTGGTAGACTATCCTGCAAAGCCGAATTCGAATATGTAATCGCCATCGTATGGACGCGGCTGGGATGATGTCGGAAGATACTGTTGAAAAAGCATTAAAGCGGCATTTCCAAATACGCTCAAGCAGTGAACTGCGTATTAATGTATATCCAATTGTACCTACATGTAAAGGGGAGAAATAGGGGCGTTACTTCCATGTTAAGATCTGTCACTCAGCACACAGGGGAAGCGGGGAGGCAGGCAGGCAGTTGGGACTAATTGTCTCTTAGCAACGCAACGAGGCGCAACTTCCATCTTGTCTAGGAAAGATGTGATTCCAGATCCCGTTCTATCCACACTGAAGCCGGCCAGAAGGTTTTCTCCTTCCCCTTTTCAACCCTTATCGTTGAATTCATACGTTGCGTACTACACCATCCCTCCACCCCCTATATTAGCGGTTGCGACGAGTTTCGCGTCTGTCACGTCTTCACACATATGAGCACATCTATGGTCACACCTGGCAACTGTTTCGAAGATACCAAGATTCTTTAGATATTTGACCCCTCTTAACCGTTCTGCACTGCAATCGCGTCACTTTGTAAATGGTTTAGCATCGGTACTGCCTCTTTTGTCAACTACATATACGTAGTGTACTTTAGTAAGTCACCTCGCTGTTTCCTCAAGGGGAGCAACTTCCTCATCATACATGTGCTTATTTCTACACGTCGACCATAGGTAGGCAGTCTTAGCCACCTCGCTCCTGCCATACTTTTAATACGTCAAGGTCGTCACCTACTTCTATCATACCTTACCCATCAGTTGCATATTAACGCAACTTCTTCTCCCTTTCAGCGAGAATTTATCCATCTCTCCCACCTTCAACTTCTTCCACAACCCAACTCATCTAACTCCCAAACCCATCCACTACTCTTCTTCCACTTCACTCTCACTATACCATCTAATCTTTTTGTTGCAATTGAGGCATCTAAGCCATTTGTCAACTTCTATTTTGGGCACTTAGTGGTTCAATTTAAAACAGATTCTCTTCCTGCCGGCGACGCTCTTTGCTTCTGTACTGACTAGGACAGAAGCTATGTCTGCTATTCCGGCTCTTTCGACTGGGTCTCCGAACCCTCGTCGCACACCCGCTTCCAACAAGCCTTTGAACGAGGAAAACATCAAGGTTGGCAAAGAGGATACCTCTACTGCCAATGTAAGTGATGTCCTTACGCGTCTCCTCCGATATGTGAGTGATTATTGTGGTTTGGTCAAACATATCTTTCCATTTGTAATTGTGTTGATCTATTGGCCCTATCCATATTATATCTTGCTTATCGGATGAATTACTCTTGTTATCTCTGGCTCGATATTGTTCGGATGACACAGCCGAAACTAATGGTTTTCTACAGCAGGAACCGGATGTCTCCATGTCTCAGAAGAAGTCGGTCTCTGCTCTCTCGACCTCTTCCTTAGCCAACCAGAGCTATCCTAAGGTTAGTGTTCACCCTAGGGCCACATTCGTCTATATCCTATTCACTAACTATAATAGAAGATGAAGCTTAGTCACGACTCCTCATCAGGTCCTTCTAGCTCTCCTGATCCCATGGACCACCTACTGGAGAAGCTCTCCCAACAGCAAACTGCACTCCACAAACAGGGAGATGCTTTGAAGACCTCTGAAGGGAACTGTATGTACCCTCCTGCCCTGGACCATGCACCCTCGAGCAACTCGGTACCAATTACACCTGCGAATGAGAACTTCGGTAGCACAGGCCCGACCACTCGGCCGGCCAGTGCGGCTTTGAATGATGGGAGTCCCAGCGACGAGGAGGTCCTTCGCTTGAAGCTGCAACTTGCCCAAGCTCAGAACAAAATCACTCGACTCGACCACGAGCTTGCTCAGAGCCGCCACACCCGACCCGGACTAGAGCATGCCATGGGTGGCTCTCCGCTAGATGCAGATTTCCCTTCTGGATTCCAGGTTCCTCCTCCTAACCCATCGCGAGTCCCGGGTCCTACGACCCTTGGTGTTAGCACTCAGCAGGCAATTGGCAGGGAAGGTGGTCATTCCTGGTCTACTTTTGATGACTCTCGGTCGGATACCAGTGATGCCTTATCAGCTACGGGCTTCAACCGCTCTCGTAACATCTGGGGGCCAAGCAAGAGTGCTCAAGGCTCTTTCCAGGGCGGTTTCCCAGGACCCGATTTACACCAGAACAACCAATGGAGTGGACGTGGTGCTAGTCAGGGGTACATGGATCATAGCCTGACCTATGAGCCCGCGGCTTCTGGTGGCTATCGTGGAGATCGCTTGACGCCGGATTATGACATGACAATTCGACCCGCCGGCAACCGACGGAACAACCGAATTGATAATCGCCTTGGAATGCCCGCTTTTAGTGCACAGTCAGGATTCGGAGGTGGTTACAACTACGGTAGTGGTCAGTACGGATCTGATCATGGCATGCCTGGACCGACCCCGGCTCCGACTGGTTCGGGAATTTACTCTACCTATCAGCCTACCGCTGTCGGTACACCGCTTTCGCCCCTGGCGAGTGAGTTCACGTCAGTTACGGGTAGTGCACCTTGGAAGTCGGAGGTAAGTATCGATTCACTCTTTAATTTCGGCCTATTACTGATGTAGACTGTGTCACAGCCCGGAGCTTCTGAAGGCCAGACCTATCTACCCACTACGGAACCTCTGAACTACCGCCGCCTACTTGATCGCAATGTCAACTGCAATTGGAAGTACATCGTTGATAAGATTGTCTGCAACAATGACCAGCAAGCGTCGATTTTCTTGCAGCAGAAACTCAAGGTCGGAACGCCAGACCAGAAGTATGAGATAGTAGAAGCAATTGTTGCCCAGGCTTACCCACTGATGGTTAATCGCTTTGGCAACTTCTTGGTACAACGATGCTTCGAGCATGGAACCCCGGAGCAGGTGGTCAAGATTGCAGAGGCCATTAGAGGATGCACACTCAACCTCTCAATGGACCCATTCGGCTGCCATGTAGTCCAGAAGGCGTTTGATTCCGTCCCGGAAGATTACAAAGCCATTATGGTCCACGAATTACTCCGACGCATCCCGGAGACTGTTATCCATCGATATGCATGCCACGTCTGGCAGAAGCTCTTCGAGCTGAGATGGACCGAGTCCCCACCTCAAATCATGAAGTACGTGAACGATGCGCTCCACGGCATGTGGCACGAGGTTGCTCTTGGAGAGACGGGAAGCCTGGTCGTCCAGAATATCTTCGAGAATTGCCTCGAAGAGGACAAGGTACGTCTAGTAAAAGTATGTACAATTTTTAATTGCGATGCTAATAAGACTCCAGCGTCCTTGCATTGAGGAGGTCCTCGCCAACATCGATATTGTTGCTCATGGCCAGTTTGGAAACTGGTGCATCCAGCACATCTGTGAGCATGGCGCGCCAGCTGACCGAAGCAGAGCAATTGACCACGTCATTCGCTACGCAGCAGAGTACAGTATGGACCAGTATGCTTCCAAGGTAGTTGAGAAGTGCCTGAAGATCGGCGGAGCTGATTTCCTGGCACGATACCTTGACCGAGTCTGCGAAGGCCGCGTAGACCGTCCCCGAATCCCTTTGATTGATATTGCTAGCGACCAGTATGGCAACTATCTCATTCAGTGGATATTGACTCATGCCTCCCCTCAACACCGCGAGATCGTTGCCGCGCATATTAGAAAGCACATGGTGTCTCTCCGTGGATCCAAATTTGGATCTCGTGTCGGAATGCTCTGCACTAACCCGGCTGTGGCCACTCGACCGGGACCTGGTGTTAGTACTGGCTTAGGACGCATGCCCACGGGTCCTCGATACAATGGCCGTGCTTACCAATAATGGCGTGGTACTTGCTCGATTGGTTTCATGACGGATCTGCGTTTTATTCAATTAATGAACGGTCTCGTATCTTTCGCCTCAAAAGGTGTTTTTCGATGTCGCATCTTCGTCCCGGTCTCGACTTCGGCGGTTGCTTTTGCGTCCACTATTTTCTTTCTTTTCCTATGTCTTGCTTTCGGACAAATCCGAGGCTACTAATTGATTTTAATTCGGTTCTCGGACGAATCGATTCGCATATGGCAAGTCTCACAGAAAGCATCATCTCAAGCAGAAAATTTACGGAATCATACGTCTACGACATCCTACACCCAGCAGGCTACTGCCCCGCTTGGGTGTCTTGGACACATCATGGTTATGGATTTTGCGATATGAAATCAAAGCATCCACTCCATTCGTCCATTCTTTTCTTATTCCAACTCGGTCACTCACTCACCACCTTAAATTGGATGGAGGACAAACCTTCTACCGATCAAAAGAACCACATACTGTCTCACCTTACATTCTAATATAGTTGCATGGATTGTTATTCCTGATCTCAGCTAAGGTGGACATTCTGCAGAGGATAGATACTTTGTGTTGGGAATCGAGTATTCAGGTTTTGTAAGGCTTTTCAAGACTGACTCAAAACCGGTAGGCGGTGGAGGTTTAATCGGATGGGGACGAAAATCAACAATATTAGTTCTGTTTTTGTGCTATCGGCAAAGTCTTACATATGCTCCTTGTATTACGAAGAGTTTACTTATTTACAATCGTTCGCTCGATTCTTACCAAATTCGATGTTTTTATGAGTTTATTCCTGTGCAATTCTTATGTAAAATGGATGGGATATGGTGTCTCGACGTGATTGCTATGTTGCCTGCTAACTGTAATGATAATATGAATCTTCTCTCAACTAACTAATTCCCAGCTTCGGTGCATTATTCCTACAGAACCCCCGTTGATTGAGTTATATCATACCTGCTTAACTTACATAGTGGTAGTTATAAGGTTTAGCTATGTGCAACTTTGATATATCCTAGGTACCTTAGGTACTCAAACATGTTGTCAATGTATGAAACTGGGGGATTGCGTCGAGCTACTTTATCCTTTCTCTATATACTCAATATCCGAATCTCAATACCGTCAAACGACGGGAACCATAGCAGCGTCGAAACCTTTTTAGTAAACGAGTTTGATAAATTAAGCCCAATAAAGAAGTCGAACTCGACATCGAGTCTCTTCTTCTACTCGACCCTAGTGTGCTAAAGGGTTCTAGATGATGATGATGATAGATCTGCACATGGAACACAGAAGCGTGGGTATTCTGGGCGCTTTATGTACTTTCTTCTACTCCGTGAACCTGTACTAATAGTATGTACATTGCGATGCCGATGGATGCGCCCAGTGACAAAGAAAACAATCAAGGAAGACCAATTCCCAGCGCGGATAAGTAGCAGGGGCAGCGATAGACTCGAAAACCTGCCCTTCCCCTTTTTCAGGTTCACGTTTCTATTAATCCCGTTACAATCGGGTAGCGTACACACCCTCTCACGCACCGTAGGCGACCTGGCCCATCGGCCTGTCCTCCGTCATGCCGGGGGCCATGAGGTTGTTGTCGGGATTGCCCGTTGCCTTGGCAACTGAACATCGTGCCATCGTCGGGGAGCTGCATTGCTTGTTAGCACTCATGTTAGAGAATGGGGTTGGAAAGCGTGCTCACCTTCTAGAGATGACGTCTGTGAAGTAGAAGTCTTGGATAACCTTCTTTAGGGGTTCGTTGGTGGATTTGGCGCCCTTGTTCTGGTCTACTAATTGCACCTTGCTTAGGTGCTTCATGGATGTGGGCTCGACGATGTCGTATGAAGCGAGCGCCGGGCTAATCTCGAATAACCTATCCCGTAGTTGGGCAACATCATCGTATGGTAGAGGCACTCCGAGGAACTCGCTGATTGCTCGGATGATCTTCCAGTCTGTTCGGGCGGCACCAGGTAATGAGGTGGCGGCACGAGTCATCTGTGCGCGACCCTCAGTGTTGACATAAGTACCGGCTTTTTCGGTATAGGCAGCGCCGGGTAGAACGATGTCAGCGATCTGGGCGCCACGATCGCCGTGGTGGCCTTGGTAGACGACGAAAGCGTCCTTGGGAATATCGGCATCAGCAAATTCATCGGCACCCAGTAGCCAGATGAACTTGGGTTTCGTTTCGGCGACCTCAGGGGAGGGTGTTGTGAAGCCGACCTCAAAAGCACCTGCTCTTGAAGCTGCCCTTTGTAGAATATTGAAGCCGTTGTGCTCCTCGGTCAGGAAGTTTGCGGCGTTCTTCTCGACGAAAGAACCAATAAGCTCGTAGAAAGCCTTGGCATCAGGGTGATCTGTCACACCAGAACCAACAACAATCATTGGCTTCTTAGCAGACTGAAGTTTCTTGCCGAAAGGACCGGACAGAGCTTTCTTTAAGGCCGCGAGATCGGTACCGAGGTGTTCAAACTCGAAAGTTGACTCCCACGGCTCACCTACGACGCCGATCTCTAGATCTGACCTTAGCCATTGCTTTCGGATACGGGCGTTCAAGCCGGCAGCTTCGTGTCTCGGGTTGGTGCCGACGAGTAGTAAGTAGTCGACGTCTTCGACAGCAGAGATCTTGGAGTTGAAGAGGTAGTTAGATCGGACGTCAATGCCGTGGGCAAGGGGTTGGCTTCCCGAGGGCATATCGAGGGCGAGGTTCTCAGATCCGAGCTTATTGGCCAGTTCCTTCATGGCAACCAATGACTCAACCTCAATGAGCTCACCAGCGATCGCCTTGAACTCATTACCCTTCGGTGCAAGTTGTCGGTGTGCCGCCGCAATCTCTGTCAAAGCTTGTTCCCAAGAAGCGGGCTCAAATTTACCCTCTCGTCTTACCAGCGGCATAGTCAGACGCTGTGTCTTTAGACCATCACACGCGAACCGGGTCTTGTCGTTGATCCATTCCTCATTGATATCATCGTTAAGACGAGGGAGAATTCGCATGACCTCAAGACCTCGCGAGTCTACACGGATAGCAGACCCTAAGGCATCGAGCACATCGACCGATTCGGTCTTCTTTAATTCCCAGGGGCGGGCTCGGAAGGCATAGGGCTTAGATGTGAGAGCGCCGACGGGGCAAAGGTCGATGACATTACCCGACATCTCAGAATCGAGGTTCTTTTCCAAGTATGTGCCAATCTGAATGTCGTTTCCTCGTCCGAAGGAGCCCATCTCAGGGGCACCAGCTATATCGTTCGCAAATCGAATACATCTCGTACAGTGGATACATCGGTTCATCGAGGTCTTGATTAGGGGTCCTATATTCTTATCTTCCACCGCTCGCTTGCCACCGATCTCGTGAAACCGGCCCCTGTCGGCTCCGTATCGCATGGATTGGTCCTGGAGATCACATTCACCACCCTGATCGCAGATAGGGCAGTCTAACGGGTGGTTCGCTAGGAGGAATTCCATCACACCCTCACGGGCTTTATGTGTGAGAGGCGAGTTCGTCTTTACCACCATTCCTGGTTGTACTGGCCAGGCGCAAGAGGCAACGGGCTTCGGCGCACGTTCGACTTCGACTAAGCACATACGACAGTTTCCAGCGATCATTAACTTCCTAATTTATGCTGTTAGCAACGCGGGTCGTGGTGGGGAGGGTCGGCAGGGTAGCTATCGTACTCGTGATAACAATATCTATGAATTATTAGCGGCAAGCTTCTTATATTATTCGGATGTCTCGTAGACTGACCTAGGGACAGTAACGCCGGCCTTCTCGCAGGCCTGAATTAAAGCTGATCCGGCTGCGGGCTTAATTAGTAAGAGGCTTTACAACCTCGGGATTGTAAATTATAGATTTATACCTTCGATAGACACCTTCTTTCCATCTATAACAGCGTCAGCAACCATCTTAAGCGCTTCGATCGTATATATAAGATATATGCTCACCAACGGTAAGCTCCACCTCTGCCGGCCGCCGAGGCGTCGCTGAAAAAGCTCTCGAGGATTTGGCGACATGGCTGCCAGTCCGCCAAGCCGAACGAGCTAGAGATTGTCGGAGCATCGTGTCGTCTCGACGGAATCAAGGGACAGAGGAGAGGAGAGGAATAGAACGAGGTGGTGCTTGGTGGTCAATTGGAAGAAAGTTCCTTTAAAACGACGTTGACGTCTCTTGAGAATTGCTGGTCGGGAATTATTGGACGCTTCTTCGGAGTGGCGCTAGTGCTTCATTGCGATTATTTCGCACTTGCTTTCATTGGCTGTAGCTAAGAAAACTTGAAGCCTGAATTCTGAGGCACAAAAGAATAAATACATGTACACATTACGTATCTAGGTATCTATGTACCTAGTAAACTTAGTTACGTAAGTAATGCCAAGCCCCAGTTTTGCTATCTCTTTTTAATTCAAAATTTCTGCAACCGATTGGAAACTTTTCCTTTCTTTTCTTCATTAATTAATTGTACATGTGCACACTTTATTGTAGGTGAGCTTGAGCAAGTTCCTGGTCTTCCAGGTTACTTGCTGTAGTCGAGTCTTCCTCTATCTTGTGTTCTAGAGCAATATTGTACGCCGATTATGGAAGCACTTGAGAGGTGCTAAACCTCGAAGATTGTTGCCTCTTACCGCCGGTCGTCACATTTGCACGGTAGATCCTGAGTTTTCTATCATTTTCAAAACGAGACTAGAAGAAAAAAAAAGCAATAGTATCTATCTACCAATCAATAATCTTTATCTGCTAAGATGTCCTACGTGAATTATAGGCACCAATGCGTGACTTCTTGTTCATACTTACTCTCCTGTCTATGTAATTTACTCAGATCCATCATGTTTTCGAAACTCTCCCCTCTTCTCATGGACTTTCTAAAGAAGTATGTCATCACCAGCATATCAACTAACCAACATGCCTAAACTAAACTATGCTACGAGCGGCAGCATCAACGATGCAATCTATCAGCTTGCACGTGTAGCTAATGGCCTAAACAACCTTTCACTCCTCAGAGTTGACTTCTTGGAAAAAAATATAGACCGTGAGCTCGGAAAGCGATCGTCAGACTTGAACAACGCCTTCGAGAAAGTCAGCACTACTATTCAGTCCCTTCAAGGGAATATCGATCATACCAGTCAAGCCCAACAAACCAAGGATAGGATGATTGACTGTCTCAATCTTCTCCAAGCTCAAGTTCAAACTATGTATACCGACCAGGGTGGATTTTGGGCCGGATTTATTGAATGTCTCAAATACCAAGTCGCGGATATCAGGAGAGATCAACATGAGATTCGCGATGTCCTTCATATGATACGCACAGATGCTCAAATATTACATGAGCTTACGGACATTTCTGAATTCCCCCAGTTTAAGAGGCTTCCACCAGAAATTCGAGCCATGATATGGGACTTCGCCATTCCTAGCCGAATACTCGGTCTTACGAAGGGTTGCTCTGTGTATTATTTCGAACCAGGATTATCTCCTCCCTCGGTTGCTCATGTCTGTCACGAAGCTCGATCAATCGCTTTCCGTCGCGGTAGACTTGTGAGCATTAGGAACTCTAGGGAGTGTCCACATATAGATCCGATGTACGAACCAGATATACCTAGGCCCGCATGGTCATGGTATGATCCGAGCCGGGATTATCTCCGTCTGCGTACTCAAACTCCAGTGTGGTCACCAAATGCCACTATATTGGAAATTACGGAGTGTACCCAATTTGTCATAAGTGGTGTTAACTCGGATCATACACACTGTTATCAGCTCCTGTCTTACCTTTCTAACCCACATTACTTTCCGCAGTTGAAAGTCGTTGACTTTGTATCGGATACCTATAAGCATTGGAGGCTTGATGATCACATTATCGAGGCTCGACTATTTAGCCTGGATCGCCGGAACTCTCTTTCCCTTGTTGTTGACGATGAGGTTGCTAAAATGGCTCTAATTCATCGAATCACAAAGAATCACTCTTCAGTAGAAGCTAAGCAGTTAGTAAGCTGGTTAGAAGAGGACACAGATAAGCTATGGAGCGATCCTCGCAGTACTGATCGTGTCCGTAACTTGAAGTGGCCTCACTTCTTGGATCACCTACATAGGGAATGGATTCTTGCTAAATCACGCTGGTATTCATCAGGTGATGGAGATCATGATATATCAGAGGCTCAGGCAATGCCAATGTCGAAGAGCTTGCCTATATTCCGACGCGTAAAGTTGATCGAACGAATAGTTAAACAGGCATCTGTTGAGCTTCTCCTGCCTGATTCGAAAATTTGGTCGGATTGATCGAAAGGATAGTTAGTAAGGACTTAGAGTTCTACTAATACCTAGGCGTGATATTATCTGGTCGTATTTCTCATATCTTTCCTTGCGTTTGGATTTATGACACGTTGGCGGAAATCGGCTCGAGCAGCATCGCTGGACTACACTCACTTGCCGAATACTTGATGAACAGCTTGAATAGACAGAAAAAACCAAATTGGCATTTTGAGATCCCATAATCGTCGTGATATGAGACTAGAATAACTATCATGTTTTTTTGTGTTAGTAACATAGGTAGCCAACCTTTGAAAAACAGTTGAGCCATAAGATGTTTGGTGTTGGTGCTATTTGGACATACTATTTTTCGCAAGCAAGCCGATGTATTGGCTAATTATTACTCTTGGATGGGCAGATTATGTCTAGACGGTAGGCATATGATATTTTTCTAAAAATTCTTTGATTCGGCTTGTATTAATAACTAGACGTTTCTTAAACATTCTTTCCCCATATCATCGGGGTTCGCTGTCAGCTTTAGCACTGTTTAGCGAGTGGATATAAAGTTTAATAATGAGCGAAATTTTCACCGCCCAGACATTGATCTGGCAAAATCTTGTGTTCATCACAAATAACTTGGTTTGGTGGTCTAGTGGTATGATTCTCGCTTAGGGACAACCCTATTCATATTATGCGAGAGGTCCCGGGTTCAATCCCCGGCCAAACCCTTCATCTTTTGTCAATTCGGTCTGTGATTCCAGCTTCATTTTTTTTTTTGCGCTCATCCCTCAACTATTTATTATTTTATGTTGACTTTTTGTTCGTTTGAATGTATTGGCCAAGTCGTTCACAGTTTTTTACTACCTAAAAGATACCTCATACTTCGTACAAAAGCTTCGTATTATCAAAGATAACTTTATGGTACTATGCGAGCTAATAGCATTCTTTCACATAAGCGAGTCGGCGTTTGCAACTAAAAGAGTATCTCTCAACCCGAGAACCCCAAGCCCGTTGCCCTACGGAAATTACAAGCTTCGGCCTCCGTCATTCTGCCGCGAAACGTATATGTTTAAACTTTGGGTCGGACCTTACGATGTAGGCGCAATAACGAGAATTGAAGATGCATGTGGTTTGTTTCACTTACACCTCATTAAGTATCTACCACAAAGTCGATTTATTGATGTTGTATCTCACCTAGTTTATATTTCTCAAGTAATCAATAATCGTACATATAGGTATACAAGGACACACAGCCTGAATTTCGCATAAGCTGACCAACATGAAAAAAATCATTGCAAGGGTTTACCGACCATAGTGGCACTCTCATTTCGGTATTGATCGTTGCGTGGTAGTCGAAATGGATCTTTTGAGTTTAAGATGACTGGGGTTCGGCTCACTCGGAACAATGCAGAAGACCGTTGCTGGTGCTTATGTAAAAAGCGAGAAGCTGGGGTAAACAGTTGGAAGTGATCAACTCTGCTCATGATATCTACAGCTATAGTGTATAGATAAGATAGGTACCTACCTAGGTATCTATACATATGTACATATTATAGCGTAGTGCAATATTTATTTATACTAATATATCGCAAATTATATCACCTCAACACAACACAACACAACACACATCATCATTATTAATTATCTCCGTACTTAAAAGCCGTCCAGGCAGCCGTCAAATAATTGAATAAGATGAATAAGAATTCCCAGCCAAGGCCAAAAGGCCCGGCTAGCTCCTGCAACCTGACGCTAACAATGTTTTTAATCCCGGCACCCCTGAATACTGCTATCAGTGCTATATCCCGATACATCGTAGCGCGTACCGTCGACCGGCGGCATTAAGGGGCCCCTTCATGTTACATGCTGACTTATAAAAAGGAAGCTTGTGCCCCCTTCGCGATGCGTCGATCTTCTTGATCTACACACGCGAGTTAAAAGACGACGATTAATAGATACGCGAGTCATTCGTTCATTAATTCCGATCCGCTCGTTTATAAGGTCGACCAAGCTTTTCCCAACTAACAACATAACAACATACACTCTTTTTGCTTTTGAGAAGACCGATAATTACATACAACATGTATACTAATAACGCAATCGTCCTCGCGGCTCTTGCCGCTTGCGCTTCCGCTCAAATCCCGAACCTCATGCCGCGCCAGACCTTCGGGAGCTCCGACCCGGAAGAGACCGAATCCTCGCCGGAATGTATTTCCCGCGTCCAGTCTTGGTCCAGCGCTTTCCCCACCCCAGCTCCGGCTTTAGAAAGCGCGATGGATAGCGCCACAGTGGACGGCGGCATGGCTGAGTCAGGTCTGTCGGGCTTGTGCCAGTATGGCACCGCTCTTGGCAAGGACCAAGGCTCTGCCTATACTTCCTACTGCCTCGACATGTACTCGTATCTGTCTTCGCAGTCCTCCAACCTACTGGCTTTGGCCACTACTTGCTCCGGCGATATGGGTGCACCCCCGGAGGTTATCACTAGCCAGCTTGACGAGCTCCTCAGCGTATACTCCCAGTTCTCGGCAGGCGGCTGCAAAGCTGTCTCCGCGACGACTACGGCGGACTCCTCCAGCGAAACAGCTGCTTCCTCCGACAGTTCTTCTGCTGCCACGACAAGCGCTAGCGGTTCCGCGACGACTACTGGCAGCTCTGAATTCTCAGCAGCAGCTGCGGCAAGCAGCTCGGCTGCATCGGCGATACCCTCTGGTAACGCTAGCCCGAGGGAGACCGGAATGTTCGCTGCGGCTGCCCTGGCTGCCGGTTTCATCGGCGCTGCTGTGGCCCTATAAGGTTCTCGGTTATCCATACTGTAGAAACTAATATGATTGAAATTTAGCGTCTCACCCCGTAGGATTCTATTTCTCTGGATGTGTTTTGCGTTCCCGGTTTAGCGCTTTTGGTTACAGTTCACCCTCATACCCCCCTGTCTACTTCATATATAAGCGTATAGTTCCTAGCTGACAAGCCTACTAGAGGCACGAGCTCCATAGGCTATCGTAGAACCAATATAACAGTATATCTGAAGCGTCTGGTTGTGTTTATGTCATATGCTTGCTGTCACCTTAAATTGTCTGATATTCATCCAGCCTGTGCAGACTTCTATTACTATTCAAATGCTCTTTTTAAAGACGACGAGTCTTTAAACGCCAATTTCGTTATACTCAGTCCAGTCTTTCCCCCGCCAAAATTTCTGTCCGCCTTTGAAAGAATGCTCAATTCTCTCTTTCGCTCTGGCCTCCATTCTTGCTTCAAAGTCTGCAATACTACTCTTCGTTACTCCTTCAGCAATAGTCAACGCCAGATCCGCCGCACTTCGAACGGCAGTATCGCCGCCGGATCCACCCATGGGGCTCATGGGATGTGCTGCGTCGCCGATAAGTGTAACTAGCCCGGTCTGACCAGCCGATCCTATTCCAATGTCTGGTTTGCTCGATAAAACGGGTATGCAGGAGGTTAGGTCATGATTAGCTGAACCTAGCAAGAGCTTCAGAGCGGGATGCCATGTCTCAGTTACTTGGTCTAGAAACTGCCTTTTCTCGCCCGTTGCCTTAGGTAAAACCGTCGAATACTGGAAAGGGGCCGTACAAACGACCCAGTAGACGTAGCCGGGAAAGTCAGGTAGTCTTGTGTTTGATTCTAGCCGGACGCTTTTCAACCATATCATAGGATCGACAATGGTCTGGACGTTCGATTCCTGATCCTGGTACATACACCAACTGAGCATATCTTTTGGTACATTTTCCTTGAGATCGTCCGTCAGTGGAGTTCTACCCCACATAAGCCAGCGTTCTAGATCAAGCAGTTTGCGATCGGGCTGGAGTTGTGTGCGCACGCGGCTCCTAATGCCATCTGCACCCACAAGTAGCCGTCCGAGCGCCGTCGATCCGTCCACAAATCTAACTTGAACTTGATCTCCAATAACCCTGTAAGATTCAAACTCTTTTTCGTATTCTATGGCATCACTGATGTTCAGCGCAAGTAGCATACGAATCCACGTCCTATCCACGGGCATTGATACCGAGTCGATTGGTGTCTGTTTTGCGAACTCGAGCTTTCTGACATCTACATATCGCGGCTCGAAGCGGTACCTCTCGGCCTCGGTGCGTCGAAGTAAGTCTTGTAGTTCAGGAGATAAAACGCTATCAAGAGCGGCTTGGCCATCTTTTGAGATGCGAAAACGGTGGCCTTGCGAGCTGCGTGATTGAGGATATCGTTCGAAGAGGCGGAATGGAATTGAACGAAGACGTAAACCTTGGGCTAGCGCGAGACCCGCAATACCGGCGCCGATGATCAGGATCGGCGGATCTGTTGTGTTATTTTGTCCCATGGTTAGATAAGGGGGCCGAATTACGCATATAGAGTTAGAATCCTCATCTCCAGCTTTTAGGCCAGGACATCAATAGATCAGTTCGTAATCCGACGTTGCCGAACCCTTGCGTCGTGCTATTCATTCCAGCAAAGCCGCTCAACTTCGACGGTCTCTCCTTTCTAATTTCTCATGTATTATATAAAAATAAAGGTATCTGGAAATATATGAATCTGGTTTGCTCGTCTTACCTTAGGTACCTCTTAATAAGCATTAATTGATGTCTGTACCTCGATATAGCCGTAATATTCCTATTGCATGATGGCCACTCCTCCTTTTCTGATTAGTAATATTGTTGGTGTTGGTGTACTTGCATAATATTCGCCAAATCAGATGCGGAAGAATGATTATTGACATGGAACTGGATTGATCTGGTCTGATCTGACTTGATTTACAACAAAATGTAGTCTGCGTGAGTAATTTGAAGTTTAATGTATCTTCTTAACTATTTGAAACCCTCTTGACCTAACACTAAAGAAAGCTAACTTCAAGTTTCGGGCGAGGGAATAGGGGTCGATGAAGTTGACTATGAATAACCCAGCACCCGTTGATGAGAAAGAGAAGACAAAGGAGATCCAAGCTAGAGTTATGTGTAGGTAAAAAAAAAATTTAGAAGAAAAAAGGAATGGCCTTCCTAATTTACGCTCCCTTGTACACTTTTATTTGATTGAAAACTCTCGTCGAATATCACGACCCCGGCGGTTGTTGGCTGCTTTTGCCTCCGGCGAAGCTTTAGCACCAAGCCGCGTTTGTTCACCACTAGCTTACTGGTCCATCACTCCAAACACGTAAGCTTCGCCGACTAGGCGAAATGAGCCGTCCGGGCTGGGGCGTAAGATAAAAGGAACACGGCAGCCGTCTAGAAAAGTCACGATATCCCCAGGTTCTGTGAGCCGAGGGCCAAGGACAAGATAACCTTCCTCGGAAACCAGAACTTTTCGCCCTTTGGTCCGGATTCGAAGTAAGTCTATAAATGATATAATATCTTCAAACATCTGCAAACTATCATCAAGATCGAAATTTGGCAACATCTCTACTAATTTGTTGAAGAGAGGAATGAAGAACACACTGGGATGGTCCATTTTAAACCTCTGAGCTGGCGTTGGCGCAGGCGCTCGGAATTCCTCGTCGCACCACACGGCGGCCTGGGCACACGCAGTCTTAGTTACATCTGGGAAGAATCGAGAGGGTATAGGCCGAGAGCAGAAGCCACTAAACGACGCTAGAACAGAAGACGGCTCAATGAGAGCCTTATACCCGCGAATGATCTGATCTAAAGACCATTTGTCCTTAGCGTTGAGTAAACGACCATTGTCTGCTCCGCCTCCAGCAAGTGTGCTTGCAAAAGCTACATGCCGGTCTTCTTTGGTCCTGTAAGCCGTTGCGCATTCCTCTATGATATCTTTCATGAAAATCAGCCGTCCTTGGAGGTCCCAGATGCATCTCAGAAGAGGCGTATTACCCGCCCATGATGGCATCGCGATTAAAGTTCTTTTGATGATAGTGATTTCGTGTCCCATGGATATTAGCCTCGAACCAGAAGGCGTGCCCAAGAATCTGAAATCTGGAGGCGGGGTAGGATCTCCTAAAACCCCAAGAACAAGATCGGGTTGCATGTCTAAGATTCTGACGCATCGCGAGTTTCTAGGCATTTTGAAATTAGGAACCCAAGAAGGCAACTTGGACGGCATCGTGACGTTCTGACAATAGCTTAGAACCCTCAATCCCATCTCGTGAATCCACTTAATTGTGGCTTCTGTGTAAACTTCTTCATAAGACTTCGTATAATCTGGAACTAGCTCCGCGGTATCATGTTCATTTACCAACCCTAGTCCAGAATGGCAGTCCCAAAAGTCCTACTACTCCTCTTAAATTATCCCCGGTGGCTTCAAAGGCTTCGTTGTCATGGGCCTCGGAGTCTGAATCGTTGTGGAAATGAACGTTGTTCTCTATCCATTCCACAAGCTCCTGGTTCTTGTACCTCCTCGAACCTTTCCAAGGGATCAGTTGCGTTTGGTAGCGCACCTGGGTAGTCCTTGCTCATTCGAAGAACCAATCGCCTTGACGCTGTAGAAGGGCCCCGTACGTATGAACAAGCGCAGAAGTCCGGGGGTGCTTCTAGGCTGGCTTTCACTATTTCACACTCGGTGGGCCGTTCTAACTCCAGGGTATCTTTAAATCGACTCTCGAACTCATCATTGCTAGCGCCATATAGTCTTTCGATAAGAGCGGGAATGGTGCTCTCAAACTTCAGCTTGAGAAGTCGGATTTCCTTTTTGGATCGATCAAGGGGTAGCAGATCGTAATTAAATGGCAGTGTTTGCGATGGTCTTGAAGACATCGTACCAGAAAATGTCCGACGTTAGATTTGGGGAGATAGTGTTCTCAGACGTACGCATTTACCTTTCATATTTATCAATATCTTTTTGCTATTATGCCTAGGTAGGTAGGTACCTGGGCAGATTCAAGTACAGCCTCAATCTAGGTTTGACCACATAGCGTTCACATGGTCACATTGATACGCTGGCTGGGAATGATTGATGGTAGACTTAATAACGCTATGCAGGCTAGATAGGCTTCATCGTTCAAGGCTCTCAAGGTCGCCTACACTCGGAAGGCGCATGGTGACTTAGTGTAGACCTGAAGATAGGTAACGAATAATCCTCATTAGGGTATTATATTTTAAACCTCTTTTCTAGCCGATTTATTTCATAGGCAAGGCTTGGTTGGAAAGGGACGAAATAGTTAGTTTGATAAGTGTATAGTTCTCGAAGTCTTTAGAATCGGGATATTCCCTTGCATAAGCCGTTGTAACAACTTAGTAGATGATGCTCACAGGCAGACAGGCACATTTGGTAACTCGGTGGATGGGAATGTCATCCAATTGGGCGTTGTATAAATTACATCGCACTCATTGGACAACGAATTGCTGTTTGTGCGACTTATGCAAAACAGAAGTATCCAGCACCTCACCAGTATCAGACTTGATGAAGTCGACCTGAAGGTTATTAACATCCAAAAAGCTTATCTTAGCATAGCTGAAATCATCGGCATAGGCAAAAGAGTTGAACGAGACATTGCTTCCCACTGCGCTGAGACCCTCGATATTTCCCGCGCCACCCGCCACGATGTACATGGGTGCTGCAGGATCATTCATGCCTTTGGGGTCTGCGGTATTATTGTAGGCGGGCTGGAAACGCTGAGAGTTGTGAACATGGCCGAATATAGCTAAATCAACGCCGTACTTATAGAGTAGCGGCTCAAATGCGGTTTGGCACGGCGTGCAGCCGTCACCTCCGGTAGTGTACCACGGCCGATGACCTCCGATAACGAGCCAAGGTGTTACGGTGCGGTCTACAGAGGCGAGGTCCGCCTCGAGAAACTGAAGCTGTTGGTCGGGGGCACCGAAGGGGCCGCTGTTAAGGTTCGCGGAACCCCCCTTTCCGTCTGGCGCGTCGTCAAAATCCGTCTCGGTGTTGAGCATGACAAAGTGGAGCATGCCATACTCGAACGAATACCAGAAAGGCGGGTTTGCCAGCAGCTGTGCCTTATTGGCGTTGATCTTAGCAGCTTCAGTAGCGGAGGTTGACGGGAACGCGGTTGCCATTGTATCCCCAAATCGGTTCATGAAGTCGGTGAAGTTCTTCTGCCCTGCAGGACATAATCCCGTCGTATAGGGGATTTCTTGACAGGCGGCTTCGTGATTCCCAGGGCTGGCCATGTAGGCTTTACGGCCAGATATCGGGGACAGTTGATCGTAAAACTGTTCTAGGATAGCCTGAAAGGCTTCTTCGCCATTCAAGAGATTCTTAGGTTTTAATATCCAGTCATCAGCATATGCGAAGTCTCCAGGGTGGACGATGAATTCGTAATCATCGACCGTATTAGCCAGTTGGTTAATAGTTGTATGATTCAATGATGGGTCAATATGCGGAATTGTATCCCGCTTGGCCTCATCCATTTGAATGGTGTATCCATCTGCACCATAGACACCTAGATCTATTACGGCGTTCATAGCAAAGGGGGTCGTATCGCCGGCTATCCGCGGGCTAAAGAAATGTTCGACACTAGAGTTCGTCGATACTATCTTGTAATAGTATGTAGTGGCAGGCGACAATCCTGTAAGTATTACCACGTTGGCATACGTCCGTGAGCTTGCATAAGTGACCGAGTTAGTCGAGCAAGCCTGAGAAGTGAGTGTGTTGCTAGAGGTGCCATATTGGACACAAGGCTTGTCTATCTTCTGGTATGTGTTCCAGCCCACAGAGATGGCTAGAGGGTATAGTATTAATTAGTAGAACACGAAGGGGCTTCCCAAGAGTAGCGCGCAGCTAATACTGTCACGGACTCACCATTAGGGCCGTTGATGGCAAGACGTTGCTGGAACGGAGTTGTCAAGTCAGAAGGTATCGACGGGAAGCTAGCTGCAGCAATAACACAGGAGGCTAAGAGAGGTAGCCTCTGTGAAAGCGCGAATAAGTTCACCATTATGTGAAGCTCCTGCAACGGCAAGAAAGCTCAAGCAAAACTGAGGCCTACACCTTGACCTAGGAACCCGACAACCTGAAGGTATTAAAAGTATTTATAATGCGCCCGCTCTATATGGTTGACCGGTATGGAGCCACTTGCAGTGTTAGCTGCATCTTGAAATAACGCTGTAGAAGGGGGTTGCGTCTGCAACCCATGGGGCAGACGATTGGTCGATAACACGGCTCAACTGTTCGGATATGGGCACCATGGTGGCTCCGGGAACAAGGTAGATGCTGTCTCCGGCATGAAAATGCCGGAGTAATTACCTGTATAAGAAGGCCCTTCTCTTCGTAGAATTTTACTATACCTAAATTATATTGGCCGTAAATCTTTGTGGTTTGCATTAGGTTCTAATTGATGGGCTACAAAGGTCTAGGATAGAGGATCACTGAGAGGAACCAAATGCGACGCTAGAGACATTACGCGTCACTTAAGAATCTAGAGTAATAATTCAATCGAGAATTGAGACTATTGGTACTAGTTACTTTATTCTTACCTTAAAATCACTTAGATATGTAAGTATACTTTAAGCTTGAATTCATTTGTTGAGGTAAGACTCAAGATTAATTAAGAAACACAAGACTGAGCACGAATGATGTCGAACGGCTTTGAGGAAATACGGATTAATTGCCAAGCTTTACTATATGACAAGAGGGTCCTTGAATTGAACGGAAAGGTCAAAGTTGATATATCGATCTCTTCGAATTTTAACTCGCAGTTATGGGAGGGTATGTAATATATACGAGCTGAAAAGTAGGCAATTGGTTGATCTTCATGATCTGTACTATGCCGATGTAGGTATGTGGCGCAGTGTAGGAAGTGTAGATCGCTGGGGAACATACCACGGGTAGGCTAATAGAGATCTGATATGCGCCAATGATCATTGTATATATTACGATTTCGTTGCGCTCGCGGATATTTTAAAGAGGAGTAACTTATGATCCACTAATCCCACGGGCCTCACCAAGAATACCTAAGTACAATCTTGCCTAAATGCCTGCCCACTCGGCTTACGTTAGGTGTCTCTTAGCCTTTAGGTATTCTTCATTATGATTGTGGATGTCGTCTGAGAAAATTAATGCCTAGATTGAAGCTCAAAAGAAGAAATCCCACCCCCTTACCGATAGTGAAGCAGAACCTTGGCGACAGCTCTATCAATGAGTTTACCGATCAGAATGACAAGCTTGCTGACTTCGCCGTCGAGTCACAACGCCTATCTGTTGGAAAGGGGATTCCGGGTCTAGATCCATGGTCCACCGACCTACCCCTATTTAATAATTACTGGACCGAGTGGGTTCAATCTCAGTGTAAGTACACCGAATCTACCTACACCCGACGGTCTCTTCAGATCTTGACGAGACTAGTCCTGATTGTCATGCTTATATTATCTAGGTTAATTTCCTTGTCAAGATCACGGCAAGTGTAGCTATGTAGCTAAAGATGATGAGACGAAAAATTTCTTGTATTGGACTAACGAGGACGTGGCGGTCAGGCTCTTGTCAGATAGGCACTGGGGCAAACACCTTGGGATGAGAAATCGCCCACTTATTATCCTGATCCTGATCCTTAAGGGGGGACAAGGCTACAGCTCTCGATGTTTATATGTGTCTGCTGCTACACTATGGCTCATCTGCGCAATAGATGGCATGTACTAAACAGCGTTATTGGGCGGAAGCAGAGCCTAGGAGTGCCTGCGTACTGGTACCAATTAGAGCATCAATAAAGTAAACCAACATAGTGATTAATAGAGCAATGGTTTATACAGGATTCAGTGGTTAATACCATATAATGGAGTCTACAGACAATCCCAAAGTTACCCTGGTCCTACAGCCCAAACGCTAACTTAATATAGTAAGATACGGGCCACAACTAATTGATCAGATTTGATTGGTTAAATTTAAGAGTCCCACACTCGACTAATCTAACGATTCAATTCAACTCATTCAGTTGTCAAAATATAAGAAATTTATCAACGAAATAATCACGAAACAGGGGGTAATTAGCCAGGGCCGAATGATTGCATGTGTATAGGTATAAGTATATGTAGTGCAAAGTGCGAATAGCTTCACGTATTTGGTTATCTAATCTGCTATCTACCTATCAGCACGTGACCTGGTCTGTGTAATCCGCCGTACTTAGAAAAAAATTTAAAAAAATAAAAAATAAAAAATAAAAAATAAAATAAAATAATTAATTTCGAATTAATCTATAATCGATTGAGGATCGATTAGTAATCAATTAAAAATCAATTATTTTATTTTATTTTGAAAGTTGAGCCCAAAGGGCGCTAGAGCGAATCCGGACAGTAGGCTTTACCATCTTGGGTTAGCGTTTGGGCTGTAGGACCGGGGCAACTTTGGGATTGTCAGAGTACTCCATATAATGCAGCGGGTTTCAACATATCCATATCCGTTCCATGCTAACGATAGGTACCTATTTGCAACTATTTAAACAATCAAAGCAAAACGTCAAGTTGCCTCCGGACACACAGCACATCCACTTGTACTATCACTAGAACTAAACATAGACATAGCAGAAAGCACCATCATATCCGCCGAGTTGGTCATGCGTCTCTCCAAGCTTAATAGGGGGCCCAAGCCATTCCATATCAACCACAGTCTCCATAGGGTCGTCCGCTCGTCGGTTCTTGCGCATCGGCATGGACATGTTTCCAGACGGGACAGCGTTGAGACGCTTCTCCGGGTCCTGCATCTGCCAGATCCACCATAGACGGTCGAGTGCGGTGTGGTGGAAGTAGAAGAGCGGGTCACCGGGCGAGGTGAAGGGATCACCACCCGGGTCCACAGCAGCGATATAGTGGCCAGCCGTGTGAATCTATTCTCAAAAGTTAGTTCCGATCTTTCACTGCCCGTGATTGTCTAGAAGTGGAAAACTTACACCCCAGGGATAGGGGTCGTTCTTCGGTGGTGGGGTTCCTAGAAGCTCGTTATAGAAGCCATCCATTTCCTTGTTTTCATTGATTAGATGGAAAGCACGGTCGGCTTTGGCTCCCATGGCCGCATTGCGGTTCACATCGCGGCGCAGGCAGCGCGGGTTCGAGCCGGTGCCGTCGGCTCTTGGGTTCTTGGCAATACCGGTGGCTGTTGTCATCGAGGTAGGGCCAAGGCTAACGACCATGCTGTTGTTATGTTAGTAATCTACGTGTTCTAGGTGAAAATGGTATGGGACTATTAAGAAGGTAAATAGAGAACGAACTCTGAGAAAGGCCCTTCAGTGACACAGCCTCCGCCACCTCCCGACTTGATGATGTTGGGGGTACGTCCGGGCTGCGAAATGCCCTTGTACGTAGGCTCTAGAACACCGTTGCCTCCTAAACTAGATGCGTTACCATTGAGTAAGGGAGAATTGAGCGGGTCTTCCGAGTAGCGGTCATAGTTCATGTACTAATATAATCAGCAACAATACTTCAACGACTTGATGTGTTGGGGCTGACTTACAGGCTGGTAACCGGTATAGTTACATTCCTCGCGAAGCGCTTTCTCAAAGAGCCAGACATAGTACTTGTGTGCGCCAAACAGGTGCAGGTTGTCGTGAAGCTGCATGGCGTGTGTCATATGATACGCGACGAAATCATCGTATCGACTTAAGGCTCCAGGGAACCTCTCCTTGTCCACTGTAGGAGGCAATTTCATCAAGCACTTGACGGCGGCGACATATTCCTGTCTTGATTCCTCGGGAAGGTCGCTCCTGTTGACCATGTTAGTATTACAAACGGCTTTCGCGGGCGTTAAAAATAGAGGACGGACCATTCCCTCCGTACGATCGCGTTTTCTAGCGTACAGTTGTTGTTCGTCTCCGCTGCGATCTTCTTAGCTAGCCATGCTTCAACCTTAGGCATGGTAGCCTCTTCTAGCTTATCGACGGCATCAAGCGGGTAGTTAGGATTGCGAATCCTAGACGAATTCCCTTAGTTAGCTTAATCAATGTAAGAGACTGAAGAGTAGTGTCGCAACTTACACTTCTATCTTCGATGAATATTCACTGCGAGGCACCTTTACTGCCGCTCCTTGAACTCCACTGAGGAGGGAGGGCAGCAGGAGAGTACTCCAGATAGTCCGCATGTTAACACAGCGACCTATTCCAAGATTAAGTTCGATATCAGAAACCAACTGCAGTAAACCTGGAACTGGGGCCCTTCTTAAGAGTTATATATAGCCCACATTCCCCCCGGCGGCTCAATCAAAGAACCTGGGGGTGAACCTTGCACCTCCGCACGGCACTTGCAGCAAAGCTGCAATGAGGCAGATTTCATCTACTCGACCAATGATAATTATACTCATTATATTTAGGCTTTGATGAATATTCGGCAGAGGATGTGGCGATCATTCTTTTTTGCGGACTGTAGAGCATTCGCGAAGGCAATTGATAGATTTTGCGGACTGTAGAGCATTCGCGAAGGCAATTGATAGAGCTCCCCTATACCCAAGTACAACATGAAATATTCAGCCCCCCATAACTTTATCCGCTGGGTAAGGGGTTTTCTGCAATATCATACTACGTAAAACTGCCATTCATAAGATATGGTAACAATGTCTAGTGATGTCATTTTAAAGGTAATAGTTAATAAGTTTCATTTTGTTTTCTTGCGATGTAGGGGCTTAGTAGTATCATATAAACTTGGACTACCCAGATAACTATTGCTAATATAATGCTATATATCTCTTACTTGCTAGTGTACTTAGAACATGAAAAACGTACAGCTAGAGGGACGATACAATGTAGCAAGCTACACATACAAAGAGCTATTCCAAAATTCAAAGTTTCCATGTTCTAAGAACAGTCCACAGAGAACGAGTGTCCTCGGAAAGGGGTTGCGTAACAGTTGCCAGGATTGTTGCCACTATTACTATAGTTAGCCTAGAATAGCACGAAGTGTATAAATCTTGACATACCGTGAGATGGTATATGGTGCACCTGCGTTTCCGCAGTCAGGCTCGCTGAAAATCTTAATCTCGCAGGCGTTACTTGAAAGCTCGATCGACCCGATACCGATTGTTCCGGTCTTATCGTCCGTGTTTTGACATGTAACGCTGCTTGCACATACTTCAATCCTCTCCCCGGAAACGTTAAAGCACGCGGTGCCAGCGTATATGGTTCCTACGGTGCCGCTGCATTGTTGTCGGGGCACAAGGCTGATGTCTTCAGACTGGACAGGACTGGCGAGGGTTCCTGTAGCGAGGAAAAGCAATGCGGCGAGGGTTTTGAAAGAAGACATGGTGATGATATTGTTAAGACGAAGTATAAAGAGGACGAGATGACTGTGGCCTGGTGATAGTAGCTTGAGAAGAGATTGAGAGTTGCTTCTTCTCTATTTAAACTCCTCTCCTTATCCTTATGGCGATTCAAATCCGTGTTAGGTAGACCACATAAGAGGAATTTCGGGAGGATGCCGCTACAGCTACCACCTGCCTTTTTTTTTCACGTCTTGTTCGGTGAATATGCAACTTCTAAAGTGAGAAGTCTTGTGGACCAGGTACTACTAGGTAGAGTAAACAGGGCAAGTTAAAAGACAGTTATCAGATGTTGGCACCCCCAGAAAATACAGGGGGGAGATCTATATACCTGGTTGCCTCTTATACTTTTACTAATTTGACATTCGTACATCTTCAATGTGGAGTGTAGCCCTTTCGAAAGCAGTGTCTTAAACTTAGACCGGCAAGTAAGATTAACGTTACTAACCCCCCTACTTCTTTATTTCTAGTTCCAAAATATTTTTCTTGAAGGAAGAATCCTAAATAGCAAATAATTGGGTATCTTTACGATAGCATAAAAAACTCCAATATTGCAATCTGCACATAATTATTAATCTAGGTTCTTGATTATAAACCTTGCTAGATAGCAGTTGATAATCTCTGACATATCGCCAACTGAAGTAGGGACAATGCGGAAACTAGAAGGCGTACCGTAAAAGAAAAACAAACGGTTCCGTCGTTGCTTGTTTCTCTTGCCTCGGCATGTCCTGATAGATCTTGATCGAGAAGCTTTAATTGAGTAACCGCGTATATGATCGAATGTAAATGTGGGGGATCGTCTTCAAGGAAGTGGAACTAAGGTTAGTTAAACCAACCTTCTTATTTTGAAAATTCTGAAATTTGAAGTCAGACCGGGTTCGATTCTATGTTTTGTTACTAAAATACCTATCCACCTATTAACCCAGTAGGTTTTGGTTGTTTCTTTAAAAATACTAGTTAAAGCGTTTTACGTCTCTTAGTTGGCTTAAGCTTGTAGGTACTAGAATGAGTTGACTGGTATTTAGACGAGGATAACTCCTTTAGTTAAGGGGAAAAAAGAACTCAGGTCTATTCAACTCAATCGTTAAAGTACATCTTCTAGTAAACCTCCTTAAAAGAGTCTCACAATCCTTTTGTCTTGTGCAGGTAACCATATCGAAATATTAGGTACCTTAATAACGAAGATTGTTAACCCCGTTTCTCCGATCATGGGGAAGAAGCATGTTGGTGGCGCAATAATACACAAACAGATTTACCCAATTCTGGTCCTCATACAAAAGCACTGTTCCTGCATACACAGTGCCATGAGAGTGGCGGAGTAGTTTCATCAACATAGGTATTTATGCTCTCCTCTCTCAAACAAGTTCATATTTCGTGCCGCCAAAAATAGGGGCCATGCATCCCGGCATCTCCTTTTCGATTTCAACTTTGAATCTCCAACCCGTGCAATGGCCAGGCATCAAAACCTTTGGCTCTAGAGCCTTTAGGTCCTCGAGCGACTTCTGTAGCGTTTCTGGGCTACCGTCAGCTAAGTGGTAGCCACCTACGACGGTGTACAAAGGAACGCCACCTCCAAGTTCGATTGCATGGCGCGAAACATTTACTACGCCAGCGTGGCTGCACCCAGTGAAGACGACTAGCCCTCGGCCCTTCAAGTTACACATGACTAATCGCTCGTCCATGATAAGCTCGTCTTTCTCCCATTGGCCTGCCGAATTGAAGCGGATGCCGTTAGGAATGCCACCTTCATAAGAGGTGAGCCTCGGAATAGACCCCGAGATTAAGAACGTGTCGTCTAGCACCGTATGGGCCTCGTCGCTCTTAAACACCGTGGCGCCCGCCTCTTCGATCTCGGCAAAGCTTGGATCGGGCTCGAGTGAGATTGGCTCATGGGCCATGACGCCTCGGAATTCGGGACGATCAGGGTGCAGATCCACTACAACTTTTTCAGTATGATCCGAGCCCGTCTTGGCTGCTTCGATCATCCGGATTGCAGTGGCCATTCCGCCTGAGTGATCGCGATGCCAATGCGACAGTACGATTCGTTCGATTGTGCTTGGGTCTAAGCCTAGTCTCGTCACATTGCTTTCCCACACGGCTTCCTCTGGGCCGGTGTCGAATAGGAGACTATGGGACTTGCCGTCCTTGGTCACTGTTATTAAAAGTGACAATCCGTGAGCGCCACAGCAGAGGGTGTCCATTCGCATTTGCAGCTTGGCGCCACCCCGCTGCACGTCCGTTGGGAGGGGCCGCAACGGAGCTCCTAGGAATGATTGAGGGTGTTTGACGGCAGGGTGCGGTGACGGAGAAATCTGATCAATTTCATCGTTGATTATTGCCTGGATCGTCAAGCTATCTACCTCAGCGAGCGTTGGGATCGTGGATGCAACCATATTGAGAGAAGTGATTGTCTCGTTATTTTCGGCTATTTATATAAGTTAATGAGCTAAGTAGTGACTTAGTATGCTCTGTATCATTATTGAAAACTTACATGGCTATCGAGAAGCAGGTCATTATATATATATATATATATATATATTTGAGACTAACGCCACTACAGGCTTATTTGGGTGTAAATCGTGGGGCATGATGTTCGCCGATTAGCCAAGGGATCTCAAGGATTGACGGCCTAGAGAAACCGCTCATTAACAAGTTAAACATAGAATTAGTCCTAACCACATATAGGAAACGCCGTTAGAATCGGCTGGCGTCAGACACTCTGGAGTTACCGACGTAAGATTTAGTCGCCGTCTACTTAATAGCTATTACCAAAGAAGGTGAACTGACATAGTTGGAAGAAAGAAAGGAAATATATATGATTTCTATACAATCTAACGCTTAAATTATATTCATATCTGCGGAACTCCCTATTGACTATCTAAAGAGGTAGATATAATTGATCTGCCTAGGTTAAGTACCCAAACTATTATCCCTTTATGACCATGTTACCGGGACCTGACACCACCTTACAACAGTGGCTTCCGGCCACATATCACGTAGATATCGTATCTAACATAGCTTCCTGACATGACTTCCTCCAATGCTTTCCTCTCCAGAAGATCTATCTCCTGGGGTGTCATTGCATTTGGAGCTCCTCGCTCAGCCATTAAGCGTGCCCACTTGAACGGAGCTTGCATGGCGTTGAAAGTAGACTTTCTCCTTGTCTCAGGCACCCTGTCCGAACTCACAATGTCCTTTATCACTGGATTTAAGCCCGCCGCTTGCATGTGCCCAGAAAGCGTATTCCACCCATACGAGAAACTGTCCCGAAGTGCATTAAAAAACGCTCTTCCCATGAAACGAAGAGGATACTAATAAGGGATGAATTTGTACAATTAAGAATAGCGTCGCCTACTTGGTACCTGAAAGTTTGCGTACCGGATTTTGTTAGCGTGCGAGACATTAATATAATCTCTACTTAATGATATCACACTACGAAAGACTTGCGTGGCTATAGTACTTGTGAAGCAGTTTGATCTGACTGATTGTAAGCAAACTAGGTCGGGGTTCTTCCGTGGAAGTTCAAGACTAATATCCCGCCCTAGATTCTCTATTGCTCTCTTTGGTCCGGATATCCATTGCATTTTGACGATGGAGACTTGCTGACATCCCTAGGTAAGCATGCATGGCAGTACTTATTGCCGTTGGCATATATACCGGGAAACATGGCCAAGGAAGATACCAATGGAATGTTCCCCTAGCAAATATGTTAAAGCTATTGAAGGTGAGCAGTAGCATTGATTTAAAGACTATATTTTCACCGTTTCATCTTCAAGATTACCCTCAAAATAACCGATGGGAGAATTTTGGTGACAGTTAGCAACTAACATAAAAATACCCTTAAAGCTTATTAACGTTCTCGAAATTCTCCATAATCTAATTACATTTCTCACGAAATATGCTATACTTCGACAGATAGAGGCAATATTCTTCGCTCATCGACGTGATCACATCACTTATAAAGTTGTCTGGGCTTTGACATGGGCAAACCTCCTTTTTTTATACCTACCTTCTTGTTTATATTCGCATACGTTCCCCGAGCAAAATCTCGAACCCGAACATCGACGGCAGGTGTATAAACACACTTTTAACCTTCACAGCTGCTGGCGCGATCAACTTGATATCCGACTTGGCTATCCTTGCTCTTCCCATTGTTATCATCTGGAGACTAAAAACAATATTTCAGACTAAGATTGGAGTTACTGCAATATTTGCAGTTGGTATCTTGTCAAATATCTATGGCTTCTACTTGAGTTATGAAATGGAATTACTAATAAGAGAGATACTTGCGCTCATCGCGACGATTTTGCGCTTTTATTATAGCGTCCAGTTAATCCATACCGAGGATATTTCGTTTGCAATTGAGTATGTTGCTATCTGGGCGTGAGTCCTCTTATATTTCTAGAAGGCTCACTGAACGATGCTGAGATATTTCTAACAGCTTTTCTTTTGAATTTACTGCCAGCTTCCTTGTTGCCTGCTTTCTAGTATTCCTACGCCTATTCGCTATTGATACCCCTATTATGATTCCTATTCACGTAACAGCAAGGAGATTCGCAGACGACTGACTATCATGTGGCAAATTACCTAAGGGATAAATGTCGATGAATGTTTAGACTTATCAAGTCTAATCTAACGAGTAGATTACGTACGTTGTACATCCTCTAGTCTTTTACTAGTGCTGATACTATATGAAACCCAGTAGGGTACCAGGACAACGTAATAGACTGCATATCAATATATGTTGATGCAATTTTCAAGTTATCCCCATAGAAATAAAGCGCTACCAAGTTTTGTAATGCATACACGTATGTATTTCAATTGCCAATGAGTCTCTTTTAGGGCTCCTGCGCTTTGTTGGCAACTAATAGAACCTGCAGTAGCGTGGACAGCAAGTCCTGTTGGAGGGAACTGAATAGTCTAGCCCTAGACTAAACAGCGTTGAGGTGCATCATTGGCGAGTTTCAATCTTTAGTTCCGGTTGACTTTTCCATGGTTCTGAGAGGATAGGCTAACATTGGTTAGCCAATAGATGATGTACATTCATATGTTGACGTTGTGTTAGCCTTATTATTTTTACGATGTCCCAGAGTGGAATTAGCTACAGCCTTAGATGCCCAATAAATGGCATTTGGGCATACAATTCGCTGGCAGCATCCAACAATGGTACAATCAGAAACTCAATCTCGCTCTTACGTGTCTGGCCCCTACCATCGTTCAAATAGGATGCAACTGTTAATTCCGCTGCAGGGTCCGCTCCACTCACTACGACGCTGTGATGGAGACTGATCCCATTATGTTCGTAAACAACAGCTGATCCGACTTAGCCACTCACTGATTATACGAATATCAATCATTTTATCTACACTGTAGGTGTAGCTAACGAAGATCCATCCTCTATAAATGGCTTCATGACCGCCCGCCAAAATGTCGAATCATCATTCCAACTTTACACTTTGTCTGGTATTGTAGGATCACATCATGTATACACAAATCGATTCCAACGACGCAAGATTCCGATCCGATGCCTCTGGTGTCGGATCGAAGCAAGCTCCCTCTTCTGATTCGGCTATCCCGACCCTGAAATTGAATGATGGGAACGAGATGCCTATGGTGAGTTTCTAATTCAGACCCTCGAACGAATAACACTATACTCATACTTCGGGATGTAGGTTGCATATGGCCTGGGTATGGCCTTCAGCCAAGGCGACACGGAGCATATTGTGAACTCCGCACTCAGGGGAATCAGGAGCGGTTTCAACCACTTGGATGCTGCAGAAGGTGAGGCAACATAAACTCCCCTTGATATCAACAGTTTTCTAATAAAGAATTATAGCGTACGGTAATGAGAAGGGACTCGGCATAGCCATCAGGAATTCCGGAGTACCGCGCTCGCAACTCTTCATTACCACCAAGGTGTGGACGGTAGCAACAACCGTAAAGGCAGCTTTCGAGGCCTCGCTTGAGCGACTCGGTGTCGATTACGTAGACTTGTACCTGGTGGGTTGGCCGCAGATCGCCGATACTCCCGATCGTCTGCAGCAGATCTGGGCCGAAGTCGAGGCCATCCGGGAGAGCGGCAAGGCACGGTCCATCGGTGTCTCCAACTTCCTGCAAGACCACTTGCAGACGATCCTCAAGACAGCTAAGGTTAAGCCTGCCGTCAACCAGATTGAGTACCACCCGTACCTACAGCACGGAAACCTCATCGACTTCCAACGCCAGAACAACATCGCGACTGCGGGGTACTCGCCGCTTACAGCGCTTACAAAGGCGCGCCCCGGTCCCGTTGACGGTATCTACGCTTCGCTTGCCAAGAAGTACGGCGTCTCAGAGGCGGAAATCGCGCTTCGGTGGGCCATAGATCAGGGCATTGCGGTCGTTACGACCAGCGGCAGCGAAGAGCGCCTGTATAGCTTAAGAAGGAAGCTACCCACATTCAAGCTCACGGCTAGCGAGATCGCGGAGATCACAGAACTTGGGAAGAGGAAACACTTCCGAGGGTTCTTCAACGATATCTTTGCCCCCGAAGATAGGCGTTAAGTCTTGGGGCATATCTGGTTAGGTTAGAGGGTTTTTGATTTCGATAAGTAAAAATGTGCCTCCGTAGCACGACATTAAGGCGTCTAGTAAATTTGAGGTTCGGATAGGGGGGTTTTGATATAATCAAGTAACGTCGTGTTAAATCTCGATGGGAACACTAGCTTAGCAATATAGGCACTCTTGCCACTACATCAAAATTGATGTAGTTACCCATGCTAGATCCAATACTGCAAACGCACTATTCTGACCATTCCGTGCTACCATTAGGCGGCATAGAAGCAACGAGATGTACACAATTGAGGTTCTTAAAACAACTATTAAAATCGCTCGTGAATGTGTGGTCTCATGATCCTAAATGTCGTACGGTTATAATTCATCATCAGACTCCGTTTCTTCGTCGTCAACTGGCTTCTGTGCTGGAGCTGCAGGCTTCTTGTTTTTCATAAACGGTAAACTTCGCGGTGGCGGAAGTGGCTTGCTCTCCTCCTGTGAAGCCTCAGATTGAGAGTTTCCTTCCACTGACGTTGACGCACGAGTGTTGCGTGTCGGTACAGTAGCCCGATTCCTCTGGGATTTGACTGGTGGGGGTACTGGCTCTTCGTCTGTATCTGCTCCACTTGCCGTCTCGCCTGCTGTAGTATCCCCACGGTCCTCCTCAACGTCTGCCTGTGCGTTCTCATTACCACCCTCTTCGACATCCATCTTCTCGAATCCGTCATCACTGCTTTCTTCTTCCTCTTTCACTTTTCGCTTGGAAGCACGGGATGATTCAGGTACGTGCTTCCGCGTGATCTGGAAACCATTGACGTTTGCGAGTTTTTCGGGATCAATACTCGCCGATGCTAGTAGACGCTGTTGCTGCCGGATCTTAACTTTCTTCTCATTTATGAGGTCTCGAAACTTCTCAAGCAACTGCGTCTCATCCTCATCCTTTGCCTTGATAAGTTCATCCAATTGACCTTTAAGCTCAGCAAGGGAGCCCTCGAGGGATTGGATCTTGAGGTTAGCAGCGGCCAGATCCTCTGCGACTTTCTCTCGGGCTCCAAGGGCTGAAATGCACCAATCGAAAGGGGAAATTTCTGTCTTCTCATCTTCTTCTAGCTTAATAGAGCCAAGGCGTTGCTGTAAATTATAATTAGTGATAGATCCTGGGCAGTGTCCTCAGAGTACGCATACTGTGATACCCTGGATATTCTTTCGAAAAGAGATAGAGACCGAGGTGCCGTCCGAATGAGCGTCAGCTCTAATCTCGATGTCGGGTACCGGCTGCTGGTTGACAAATGTTGAAACCAGGATCTCTTCCCACTCTTCATGGGAGCAAGGGCCACTAGATGCTTTGTAATCGCCGACCCTTTTATGGCGTACTATGAAACCGTTTTAGCTTCCGATCGTTTTGAGATTTGATGATGTATGAAATTCGCGAATGGATCTGTTGAAGTAAATAAGACTCACATTTCATTGTGAACACAGCTGTGCTTTCTGACCCAACCAACTTGAGATCTAGTAACCGCGATCCATTGGAGGACACCGCTAGGAGAAAGTATCTGTCACTTTCTTTGCCCGAGATGGGAAAGCGTAATATTGAGGCTTCTGCCATTTTGGGAGCTTTGAGATGAGTCAAGGCAATTGGTATGTAGTCGTAGAATTCAAATGATGATGTCCTTTGACAATGCCTCTGATGTCTTTGTTGTGGCTGGGTTTAATGAAAGAGCACCGGTGCACCCCTAGTATAAATGGGTATATCTAAGTCCCTGGTTCGTATTAATCAGAGATGGAGCTATCACCATCTCACTAGGTCCCGTAAAGAAAAGATAATGCAATCAAGGCAAGCATAAATGACAGGTTCTTAAAGCAGGTGTTTTTATGAAGACGGAGACCTTGCCTTGTGAATTACAAAGAACGTTTGATTTGTTTGGTATGAGGCTTAAGAGCAAGTGAATTAGTTAAGTGGCCCAGTAATTAGGCAGTTGCCTGGCTGCCTACGACACTTGAAGTTGTGACGAAATTGTATTTTGTATTACATGGGTACGAAGTACAAAAGTTGACATTGGTGCCACTGAGGGGGTGGGGACATGTATCCTTGTACTCAGTACATGGCCGAGTATTTACATTAAACGGCACCGAATTTGAATGACACATTAGTACCTACCTAAGGACCACAGGAAAGATATACGCACATATACTTTATCCTCGGTGTCTTTTGCTGGATTTTGAATCCTCGTTTAGTGATCATTTAGGCGCATTACGCATGTCTTTTAGAGGTAATAATTCATATGTAGGTACCTACCTAGGTACCCTTATGAGGGGTCAAAATCGCGTTTTTACAGAAGGCGCGTCGCCGTCGCGCCTAAAAAAAAGAACTTTGATTGGCTAAGCGAGTTGTTGATACCCTGTAGCCCTAAATATGGTCTGTGCATTTACCCCAGCCACCAGAAATCCAAAGAGGTACCTGAACTGTATTCCGTACCTGAACAGCCTGAGAGGAATCCAAAAGCACGAGCCAGCCATTCAAGATTTTCCAGGCTTGATTTGGGCGCACTGACCTTTACCCCATTTCAACACTTCATCCACTTTCTCTCATCTCTCTTCCAACGCAAGTGAATCCACACCTGCATCCACACCTTGTTTTTGTATGAGAATTCAACCAAGTCAGTCTTTCTCGCGCCTATCTCGATACCTTAGATACCTTCCTTTAGTCTCTTCCCCAAACTCTCTTGTATCTATATTTCGTCATTGGAAAATATGCAGACCGGGCAACATTCAATTTACCTTTTTTAATCCTGCACTGAGGCAAGCTTTTACTGTACAGTTGTTAAGGTAACAGTTAGTTAACCTAACTAACAAACCTCAACGTAAACTTGATACACCTGCACCAAACTTGCGACAACTTCCTCCAACCTCCCCTCTCTTGACTTTTACTTTCACTTCGTATTGTTGCGCTCATACCAACTCCATTGGTCTCACTTATCCACACTCAACTTTTCGCGCTTGGCGTCGCAGTCGCGGAAACTCCAAATTCATTCAGTTGGCGCTCCTATTCTGTACGCAGTTTCGGAGTACGTAACAATCGATCAAATGAGAACATCGAAATGATGCGACTAGCCGCAGAGTACCACTAACCAAGAGCATTGTTTTCGGACATTGGCCTCTATCTGTGGCCACTCTAATCTGGCCACCCCGACTATCACATTACTTTTGGACGTGCATCATAAATTCACCTAACCTACTAGACTGTTGTTTACGATGGCATATCCTCCGGATTGGGAGAAGATGGATCTTCTAGGTAGACTCCACGCGGTCGAGAAAGCTGAGGAAGAACGAACTGGGGAGCCGCAGCCTCGCGAAAGAAAGAGCTGGATTGAGGATTGGGATGATGATAATGATTTCGTTATTGATAATGAGGATCTCACCTTCCGAAGTAATTCTACTACAAATACGCAATCTCACCACCGTGATAGCCTCTCATCCTTCCGATCCGATCGAGAGTCTCTACCTGGAAACGACGAAAGGCAGTTACATTTACCCGGCAATGACGAGAAGTCGACCATGGATGCGATTGCTGCTGCTACTCATGCGGGAATTCCGATACCTACGAACGTACCGCCGTCTGCTTTGATGGGAGGTACCATAAAGCGGCTAGGAGGAAGAAAAATGAAGAAGATTTTCCAAGAAGATTATGGTGACGATTTAGAGTTTCCTATTACTGGTCCGCTTCGTTTAAAGCCCCAGGACGGCAAAGCGTACCCCGAGTCCATAAGACAAATGAGCATGTCGAGCCCCACGAAACAGCAAGCTCCGATTACTGCCCGGGAGCCACATGGGCAAATCTCGCCAAAGACCTTAGCAACACCTATCAACTTGGACAAATTTCGAGATAACGATGACGACGATGATGTCTTCGGCGACGGAGCCGCAACTATCAAAGCCCCAAAGCTTCGTCTTGAATCTAGACCTATATCATTGATAACCCCGCCTACGCCTTCACCTCAGAAAAAGCGAGGTGATGAGGACATTGAAGGAGATCTAGAGCTGCCATCAGATGGATTATTGAAGCTTTCCAGAAAGATGGACATCCCTAAGACACCGGCATTGAATACAAGCGATGACTTCGACTGGGGAGAGGGTAGCTTAGGAACTCGATTTGGCGGTACAAAGCGAGATGCCTTTTCAACCCGCAGTTCATCAGTATCGGCCCTTAGTCCAAGTCTCGCTAGTTCTATCACAGCTGAAAGCGAGGACGAAATTTTCGATGGTCTACTTCTACCGAATGGTCCTTTGGACCTAAGCGAACGGCTGAAACGACGCAAGCAAGATCAATCCCCAGATGGACGGCCTGGGAATTCTGTGTTGGGAAAGCGAGTTTCATTACCTAATAATGCAGTTAAATCTACGGCGGACAATGAAGATCCCTTGGATGGTCTTGACTTTGGTGATGGGGATGTGCTCCGCCCCGATAAGTCTACGTTACATCGCAATGTCAAGGTCAAAGAAACTCGACTAGTCAGTCCTACACGACCGAAGACATCAATCTCTGTAACCTTCACCAATAAACCGGTTACATCGACACCTGCCTCCCGTCTTCCCCGACCTATGGGTAACCATGAACGTGCACAGACCCAGCCTTCGCTTGAACCTGTATCCGAAAGCGGTGGCCCTATACTCCCACGACCTTCTCGAAGATCTCAATCACGTCTTGGTCACTCCTCACAATCTTCCATCTCAAGCATCCACACGCCTACTACACCCTCCTCGGCACAATCAGCTCAATTTTCTACGCCACGAAGAAGAGAACTGAGCCAAAAGGCTTCTATTGGAGCCTTGCGTAACGAGCCCACTACGACAAGCGCACAACTACTTAGACTAAAGCGCTCTCTACCAGCTTTGCGTCATGCTGCTGCACCAGCGAAGCCTGCATCTTCGCGGTTTGATCGACCACCCTCGCGCACCGATTCACGCGTCGAGTCTGGCAGACCCCAGTCTATCCTACGACCGAAGACTCCAGTTGATCGAGCTCGTCCCATTTATGAAAGTAGTGCAGCACAGGCAAGAAGAAATCCCTTCTTACCCGCCGGTGCATCTCAATCCCAGTCGCAACATGTGAGCGCCAAGAGTACGCAGGGTACACGGCCATTTCGACGTCATGATTCCGATCATGGCCCAGAACTTCGACCCCTATCTCGCGCCTTCTCTCGAACCGCGGCGAGATCACCAAGCCCAAGAAGGGCACGTAATGAGAAGATGTCAGCCGAGCCTATATGGCAGCAGGTCAGCAAGCCGCGACGAGTGCGCCGCTTTGGTGATGGTCACGAACTTGACTCGTTTGATGATCTTCCGACATCAGCGCAGGCCGAATCTAAGTTTGTTAAGCAGCCAGTTGCATGCGGAAATAGAACGAATATCCGAAACAAGATTTACCAGAACGTTTTGCCAGAGCGAACTACGCCAAGTCCCGTATCTCCTTTCTCGCCAGCGAGACTCGACTCTTTACCGCACTTTGCCCGAGATACAGCTGCTAGCCGCATTGCCAGAGAGACGATCTTAGCACAGCGAGCACCTGCCTTGGGACCACTTGCCCCTGTCACTAATCAGAGGGTTGCGCAGCTATCTGCCAGGGGAAGTTTTGGGCTACACAGTTATAATACACCTAGGGCTAAGAGGTCTCAAAAGACCCCTCAGCTCAAGCCGCACTTAATTTCCAACCTAAACTCCGCAAAGGAAACCAAAGGTAGGCCTACTACACCCCAAAATTCACAACAAGCCAAGACACATGAGCAGCATCAGATAGCTCGAGTACATAAAGCGTCCCAAATCCCCCAAACCCCTAAGCGTCTTCAAAAGCTACACAAGCCAGAGATACAGAAGCGTCCAATATCTCGCATCCCCCAATCCCCCGAGAGGCTCCAAAAACTCCGGGACTCCAATGCATCTAAGAGATCACCAGTGGCTGGGAAGTCCCCCACACCTAAAAAGCTAGCAATATCTCTTAATACTCAGGCACTTCTCAAGGCTCAAGCTCACCAGTTCAGAATATGTCAGGAGGCATCACCAGCTAAGATCATCCCAATACCTTGGAAACCCCAAGCATCTGTGAAGTCTCAGAAACCCCAAATATCCTTTACCCCGCAGAAATCTAAACATTCTCATAAAAGCAACGCTAACTCACATATATCAGTTGTTAACGGCATGACATACAACCCAACAACGTTCCGTTGGGAGGGAAACGACAATGCGCTTAGTGCATTCGATGTCCCAGTCCCGTCCCCCACAACGTCTCTTCCCCCTCACGTAACGCGCGATAGGGAGGGTTCTACTTCGAGACCGGTACTCATTACTAACATGACTGCCACTAAAGGTGTTAAGCGGGTTGGTGACATGGTTTTCGATCCGCAGAATATGTGCTGGCTGAAAGCAGACGTAACCCCTTCTATGTCTAATGACCCCATGGAAGGTTTTAATGCGATGGATGACGACGATCCTTTCAAAGATATTCCTGATCTTGATGACAAGGATAAGGACTCCGTTGGTCATGGTCGAGGAAGCGACCTTAGGGATGACTGGCTGGTAGGTGAAGAATTCGATGTCGGCCCAGAATTTATTAGGCGTCAACACGAAGAGGAGTTACGATGGCGCCGAAAGTGCAGTCCTTGGAGCAACACTGGGAATCGGAACCGGGTTGACTTGCGATGGGCACTAAGAAAAATGATCATGGAGCAGTAATACGCCACCAACCAACTAATCAGACATAGTCGATGACCGTCCCGTCCTGTCACCCTGCATATGCACCATCCCGGCGTTCGGGGAGATAAACACCATTTAAATCAGGAAACAGGTGTCACCCCGTTCACTTCTCTTATGTTATTTTACGAATTTCCTACGTATGGGAGGGAAATGTACAACATTGATGAGGCAGAAGCGGATTGGCCCGCATTACGAAATGAGACCACGGCAAACTCTAACGCCATCTACATTAATAATGATTCCGACGGTCTAGCATATCTCTCCGACTTGGAGACGGAGCCGAATTATGCTTTAGAGAGAAAAAGGCATTGGCCATTGGTTTACGATGGATAGGACATGATATCAAGACTTTAATGACCTGCTACGTTTTATGATTTTGAGATGTAAAGATAGACGATCAACGGACAGGGAGGATAGTTCTGCTCGGGCAGGCCATACCTCAATAACAAATAGAGGAAACAGGATTAATATTTAAAGCCATGTTTACAAATTAGTATTGGTACATATTGCACAACATGTCACTAACTACTAGCCTTACAAATAAATTCTCGGCCGGTCCGATTTTCAACTACTCCTAGTCGCAATATTGAACCATGTATAACTTCATTTGTTTCCATTCTTGACAATTCCAATACACGGCTATTTGGGTGCTTAGGTTTAATAGGTGTCAGACATAAATACTCTCTATCAGACATAAATAGTGTAACAGAATAAAAACTATTACCTACGAAATAACCTTTTAGTGGTGTAGTGGTGTAGTGGTATGTTCGACAATAGGCTACGAAAGTCCGGAAGTGTATTCTACAAGATATATATTATATTAACGACGCCGCAGCCTACACACTACGTAGAAAGAAAACTCGCAAAAACCTTGCCTTTACGCGGTATGAATTTAATCCCTGGACCACCAAGACACCTAGGATGAGGAGCTCCTGGCTATAATAGTAGTCCAGTCCCAACAGTTGTACTATCACTTCTTACTCGCGCTCGTATAGCATTAGCGAAGAGCGCAACATTGATAGTCATACTACGCCTTGAACATCATATTTAATACTGTCGACTTCGCATGTACCGATAATCCTTAATTACTTGGATCATGATCGAAACTCGACCAGGCATGGGCCCAGTCTCCCCTGACACGCTTGCCTACACAGGCTCGGCGTTAGATGCTCTCGAAGAATTAGCTAAAACACAGAAATATGTCGAGTTGCTCCACGCGGCGCATTCTTTGTGGTGCGGCGGTTCGTGTTCCCGCAGCATCGAGTGCAAATTTCTTCATTATAAGATGCCAAAGTCCCAGGCTCCTGAGGAACCGACATTGGTCCCAAGTCATCGCTATAACAAACACACGGCTAACTATTTTACTCTCATGGGCGGTGAGGGTTATGAGCCGGCATGCCGAGGGTATTTGGGATAGTATCATACTCCGAACGCACAGTGCCGGCACATACCCCTGTATGATCATAATCTCCCGGATAGCAAGCTTAAGGTTGCTAAAAGAAAACTGGATTTTTGGTAGCTCTTCCAATTCTTGTATTTCCATGGACCTGGCCAAATCAGCTGCGCGTATTTACCAAGTGGATAACCACCAGCCGACTATCAGTTTTGGGGAGCAGAGTATGCAACCGACTCTTGAGAGAAGGCGAAAGATTGGATATCATTCAGTATATCTTGACATGATGGATGACTTGGTCAACACTGGTTGCCCAGAACCTCTACTACACGCTTCCGGCACTTTTCTCGGCGTCCAGCTAGTCCATCGATATTGGGAACGTAGCTTGGGTTGTCGAATCCCGATTCACCCAGCTATGGCCGATACCCTACGTAGCATTTACGGGGATGAGCCGACGGACGCGCGATTGGATGGTCTCTTTCACTTGCGCTGGCTGGTGAGCGGCTATGATACAAAGCAGAAGGCCAGAGCCAAACCCACGCTCTGTCCAGACCTGCTAGCTGCGTGCTTGGAACGCCAGCGACAGCGGAAGTCCGTGTGGAAGCCTGACTATGCCAATAGCTCAGACTCTAAACTCCTAATTTATAGTCCAGATGATGGCTCAGATGCCAACGAGTGGATCGCAGGCGTTCACCAGTTGTCGCAGCGGGCCAACAACCCCAAAGAATTGCAGAAGCTGCTGACTTCTCTTATAGTGGTAAACTCAACGCGGTTGTCTATTGACCAGCTAAATGCTGTTGGCTCACAGGATGACATTTGGGCTCTGTGTATGGCCTGCAAGGTTGATTGCAGTAAAGACTGCGAGTGGCTGGCGTTCGCCAAGTATATCTGGAAACAGTTCTGTTCTGCTTCTCACCCCTCTCAAGCAATCTAAAGGGGTAGAATCGAATAGCACAGCGACGAGACCTAAGGATCCAGAAATTAGGCCCATGGAGGAACTGGCTTCGCATTTCCACAAGCTAGGTTCTTTTACAAGCTAGGGCTAAGGATATATCATGTTTATGAATGAATGACGTTTTCCTTAATCTATCGTGGGGTGGACGGCTTTGGATCGCGAATCTTAAGCTAACTTAGAGAACAATAGAGGTTAATAGTGTGTTTGAATCGAAATCTAACTTTGATAAAAAAGTACTAAACAGTGTTTTGCTCTCAAGCTATAGTTTCGTATTCGAAGGTCTAAGTGATAATTACCTAGTATAAGTCATTACGTACGTGTACGAAGTAGTTATTAATTTCGTTCCATGTAATGCGGAGATCCCGCAGCGTTTCAACGGAAGCGGATCTTACATCTACATACATACATCGGCGTCTATCCCGAGATCCGCTAGCATTGCCGTAACCCCCAAGACCAAAATAGGAAACTTCTCATCCAGAAGAATGACAGGGGCAATGGCGTGCTCGATGCCATCAACCTTTGTGGCATACTATATGTATGTTCATCTTCCCATTCCATCTTTAAGTTGATATCTGCTTCTTCTTGAACTTTCAAGATACTATTCCACCACACGAATTCGCCCGAGTTTCGCAGCGTTTTTCCTCGGCTTTTCCCGCTACTTTTCGACGAGTGACAATGTACTTGAGATAACGTAACGCGAAGCCGCCCCCTGTCCTCCCCGGCGAGAGATTCTACGTAGAGCCCACGCTGTCGCGAGACAGGGGACGTGGGAGTCTTACGAAGACTTTACGGAGTGTATTTGGGCACTCACTTACAAACTTGCTCATGTGTGGGACGATTCTTGAGTCATTTGCAGGATCCATGAGGATGTCGGTCTTCGATTTTCACGTTCGCTCATAATTGGTGTGAGCAAGGGTTAAACGGCGATGTGCAACAGATGCTGAAAGCTCGGGATCTAACTAGACCCATTGCATGCAAATGTAATCGGCGACCTCATCGCTAGATGGAAATCTGCCGCTCGAACTAATTACACGCAGTCACTGTGGGGCATCAATCCGGTGCTTGTCGTCGTTTGCGATAGTCTTACTTCATGCCATCGTTGCTAGACTATCATGGCCTGTTTTTAGAGTTGAGGAGGTTGCATTTTCCCCAGTAGTCTTGCGCTCGTGAGCAAGGTCTAGATGAAAGATGAAGAAATAAGCAAGGATGAAGAGGCAATGGAACGCGACGATACGGGATGCCAAACCGATGAGTTCATGGAGAATCTCTGGTCTCCGCTCGGCGATATCAACGCACTTGAGGAGACGATGCCAAGGGCGCTTTCTCCTCCTTATTCCCGACGAGGAGTGAAGTGCCTTTAGTTTTTAATATTCGTGGCGACACGATAATTATCTGGTAGTTTGGTATATAAGGACGATTCTCGCCGCCGTTTCTCGATATCAATCATGCTCGAATCATCAGAGTTCACCGGTTTCAAGATCCTTCAGTTATCCTAAATCCTCAATTACAACCATGCATTACCAATTGCTCGTCCCTGCACTCTCTGCAGTGATCGCCTTCTTGCCCCTAGGCATGTCAGCTTCGCTACCTTTTGGTCATTACGGCCCTGAAGGCGCCGTGCTATTCCTGAATGGCTTCCACTTCGTCTCGGGACACAGTGACTGGGAGATTTCCGCCAACCACTATTGCGTGATTATTCGCGACGATATGTTGCAATGCGCTATCTACAATACTGCGACGGCACCTGCACGCCTGGCGGGTATCGAATACATCATTAGTTCTGACGCTTTCGAGACGTTGGACTACGAAGGTGAGGAGACCAGACTGATCAAGTAAGAGACAGACAGGTAACTAATGTCCTCTAAGAACGTCAACTATGGCACAGTCATGTCTATGAAGTAACTAGTGGTTTCTTGACCCAACCAGGATTGCCAGCGTCCGTGGACCACACCATTATGAAGGATGTCTGTATGTGCTCCCCGGACTCAGGCTCTCTTTTTTCTCCGTTTCCAAGCTTTACTGCATATCTTATATATATCCCGTGGCTCCTATTCGCTAACTATTGATCTTGTAGTGGTTGGAACTTATGGCAAGACGTTCCACACCTGGAGATATGACCAGCAGAATTCTACATACCCTATCGGTATCCCTGAGCTTGTGATGGGTTATACTGGAGATGACCAAATTACCCCTGACTTCGTTACCAAGCGAGATGAGCTCTTTGGTCTAAACACTACTGAGGTCAGGGAGTCGCGTAGTGATATCCCGCACCCTCCACTTGTGTCTGGAGCGGATAGCTGGAAGTACGGCTATGTCTTGTCGTTGGGAATAGTCAACGAGACGGCGAACACGTCATTTCCTAACGATGGAAAGCAGGTCGTTCTCTCATCGTAGGCCCCTATCTTAGCTTAAAATCCTCCCCTAGCTTGGGGCAGTCTTGCTCGGGGTCTGTTTAACGCGAGGCCAGATGTGTTGGTAAAAGACAAGCAGATAATAAGTCTTTAATGGAATAAAAACCCACCTCCCTCTTAAATTAGACACTGCATAAGAAGCATTCACCAACACCATTTTCAACTGAAATCTGCGTTTGAGAAACCTAACGATTTCATTCCGGAGAGGTGGAGTCCGAAACCTGACATGGTGAAAGATAGACGAGCGGTCAACCTTTTTGGAAGGTTGATGGAAATTCGCATCGTTGTCGCCATAGTTCTCTTAAACTCTTAAACTTTTCGTTTACAATTGACCCTGCTGTGGAAAATAAAACACGCGTAGTTGATGAGCTTTAGGACGCATTTACTGCGAACCCCGGGAAATGAATGCCGATATTTAAACCTATTGCTGAGTTACATGATATAAATGCATATACCGTTTAAACCGGGATCCTCCAAGGTAATTGTGCTTAATTCAGCTACAGGGATTGACGTAATACCTCAGATTGCCACATTCATCCATTCATTCATAGACTATGTACCTAAGCATCATCGAAATGTTACATTTACATTTCTCCTCGAATCCGTAATCTCTATTTTGTCTTTCTACATACCTCTTAACTTATAATTCATTTCGGCCTGGAGAAGCCGTCTATATGCTTTTCCATCGCATTATTCATCGAGGCCTACCACACTTACGATTGACGCAGATGGCGTCCCAATTCTCAACCAATGGCGCTACAACTCACGCGGCAAATGCCACGGCATTGTCTATAAACGAGATACCAAAGTCGTGGACCTTCACATCTAAGCTTCCCCCCGACTCCCTGTTCCCGACACCGGCCGATTCGCATAAGACACCCCGCGATCAGATCGTTCCCCGGCAGGTCCGCGACGCTCTGTTCACATGGGTACGCCCCCAGACTGTCGAGAGACCTGAGCTTCTAGCGGTTAGTCCAGCGGCCATGCGCGATCTTGGTATCAAAGAAGGCGACGAGAAGACCGAGGATTTCGTGCAAACGGTTGCGGGTAACAAACTGCAGGGATGGGATGAGGAGAAGCTTGAGGGAGGCTACCCGTGGGCGCAATGCTACGGTGGTTTTCAATTTGGTCAGTGGGCTAGCCAGCTCGGTGACGGGCGTGCTATATCGCTATTCGAGACGATAAATCCGAGTACGGGTGTACGTTACGAATTACAATTGAAAGGCGCAGGGATGACGCCGTATAGCCGCTTTGCAGACGGGAAGGCTGTTCTCCGGAGTAGCATACGCGAGTTCGTTGTTAGCGAGGCGCTGAATGCGCTTGGTATCCCGACCACGAGGGCTCTCAGTTTGATGCTGCTTCCGGAAGTTAAGGTACGGCGAGAAACGATTGAACCCGGCGCTATCGTAGCGCGGTTTGCGCAGTCCTGGCTGCGAATAGGTAATTTTGATATCCTGAGGGCACGGGGTGACAGAGATCTCATTCGTAAGCTTGCGACATATGTCGCCGAGGATGTATTTGGCGGCTGGGAGACATTACCTGGCCGTCTTGAAGACCCTGACAAGCCAAAGGAGTCAGCTCCTCCTAAGCGCAACATTCCAGCGGACACGGTCGAGGGGCCACCTGAGTCTGCAGAGAACCGGTTCACGCGCTTGTATCGAGAAATCGTGCGGCGCAATGCACTTACCGTTGCTAAGTGGCAAGCTTACGGGTTTATGAATGGCGTATTGAATACAGATAATACCTCCCTTTTCGGGCTGAGTATTGACTTTGGTCCTTTTGCATTCATGGACAACTTCGATCCTAATTACACTCCTAACCACGATGACTTTATGCTGCGGTATAGCTACCGCAACCAGCCAAGCATCATATGGTGGAACCTGGTACGCCTAGGTGAAGCGCTGGGCGAGTTGATTGGTGCTGGATCACAAGTGGACGACCCAAAGTTCGTCGAAGACGGTGTGAAAGAAGAGGAGGCGAGCGGTATTATCGAGAGAGCTGAAAAAATCATCATGCAAATCGGCGAGGAGTACAAAGCTGTGTTCCTTGGCGAGTACAAGAGGCTCATGACAGCCCGATTTGGATTGAAGACCTACAAGGATAGTGACTTCGATGACCTATTCAGTAGCATCCTAGATTCCATGGAATCGTTAGAGCTAGACTTCAACCTTTTCTTCCGCCGTTTAAGTCTAGTCAAAGTTGATGAGCTCGAGACGGAGGAAGCTCGTCAGGATAGAGCAAGCGTTTTCTTTTACAGCGACGGTGTCACAGGCGCTGGTGGAGAAGCCGAGGGCCGTAAACAAGTCGGCGAGTGGCTGAACAAGTGGCGGCAACGTATTCTCGAAGACTGGGGAGATGGTCAAACCGTCTCCGATGAACAAGACAAGGAGCGGATGCGAGCCATGAAGAAAGTCAATCCAAACTTCGTTCCGCGAGGCTGGATCCTTGATGAAGTTATTAAGCGAGTAGAGAAGAACAACGAGAGAGACGTTCTGGATAGAATTATGCATATGGCTCTACACCCGTTTGAGGAGAGCTGGGCCGGTCGCACAATCGACGGCAAGGAATATAAGGGTGATATAGATGAAGAGACGCGGTGGACAAGTGATGTCCCAAGACTAGGTCGAGCTATGCAGTGTAGCTGCAGCTCGTAGTTTTGATACGGCGAATGTTAAGTCAAAACCTACGCCCTACGAGGTTCTGTCAGAAATAGTGAATCCTTTTTGCTCACTCGGGCTTATTTATCTTGGCTTTAAATGAAGCCATTGCTACCGATATCGTATTAATGAAACAAAGCCACATCACACCAATCACACCAATTATAATAGCATTAATCTGAGAGGCTTTCGCGGTCTAACACCTCCGATCGGACTACTGGACATGACACATCTCGCGCGCTTACTTTTTCACGTCGGACAGGATCTATTTATGGTACGGTCTTGGACTAGGCATCAGCTTTCAACGATCCTTTCCACCCAATGACGAAAATAATAAAAGGTAGCAACCCCGCCTTAGAGCTTAGAGCCTCTACGATCGATCATCCTGATCTAGCCTTCATTCACTAGTTCGTTTTTCCTCGAGATTGCTTATTCAAACGACCAACATCATGAACGCTATTCGCGGCTTATGGCCTACTATAGTTCGGCGTATTGTTCAAGGAGATGTGCTTGACATATCCCTTTCTAGACGGTCTATTGAGGCCCTAGTGTCTCGTGTCGATAAGTCTGGAGAGGGAAAATTGAATGCCTTCAACATTATTGGAGGTATCCAGCTCGCCATATCCGTCCTATGTTTCCTTACAGTACGTGACTCTGATGATGTTATATGTAAATATTCTCTTACTAATTGCCGCAGTTTTCGTATGTTCTGGGAAATGTCTTCCTAATATTGGCTTCCGTCGAAACTGATGCTCCTGCATCTTATACTCAAGTACCCGGCGAGATGATTGATGAAGAAGCTGAGGGTCCCAAAGACCCAGCCGATGAAGAGCATGGCATGTTAGCACGGCCGGTCACATCTAATCTTCGTTCTACCTGTCGCCGTCTGCTCTCTATCGGTGGCAAGAAGTCCCTTTTTCGAGGGTTTGCCTGCTTCGTAGCCTACCGTCTTGCTATCTATCCGATTACATTTCTTCTCGGACTGATCCCATTTATGCCCAGGATAGCTTCTGCGGGTATCGCGTCACTAATCACCATGCAGCTCCACACGGCATGGACGCACATTGTTATTTCGGAGCCCAGCGCGAAGCCATTCTGGCGTCGTCTACCGCGATTTGATCTCGTGCTTCGCGCTACTGCTGTCCCCACTGTGATTCTCGGTAGCATTACAGGATTCGAGCAGGTGGTAACTGGATCGGTAGCAACTAGCATGATTGCCCTTACACCGCCCGGTCTCTTGTTGCTCCTGATTTTCCACTTAGTATATACCTTCATCGCTATTATGCCGGCCGAGGCCGTCCTAGCTCGCGTACAAGCTTCCCTCCTCCCCGAGGAAGATCGGCCGATTATCTCGCTAGACCTGGTGTTCGATCAACAGAAAGCCGAGGGCAAGGAGTATATCTCTACTCATGAGGCCTACCAGTCCGTGTCACGCGCCACGTGGAAAAGACTGTATATGTTACATGTCAAGTTTTATGGGCTTTCCTTTCTAGCATTTAATCTTATAGGGGCTATCGGGTATATGGAAACCATCATCGCCCGTAAATTTAAAGCAGCTTAGAGGCGGAGAGTTGTAATGAGTCACAATCCTATGCCTTGTGTAACTTAGGTGGAGGCTTGGTTGGGATATTTATGGCCTCTAGGAACGGGACTATTGCTTGTTTGAGGTATTGGAATTCGGTTCGAAAAGCTGACATGTAGTTTACGTAGGTAGGAAGTCGGGTTGTATCTGGAGATATATATTCCTTTAATTTGCCGTGATTAATACACTCACAGCTTTCACTGGCTCATCATTCGATTCCAATATCAGTGTTTTCCAACTGGCCAAGTGTGGTTTTCTCGGCCCTCAACTTCTCGACTACTTTTCTTACCCTCGCCCCCTTCCCAATTACTGGAATTGTTAAAACTCGTACAGACGGGTTAAATACGCCTCTCAATATCTTTTCCATCAAATATTCCCTATTTCGTCGACACGCCTATTATTATCATGGGCACTTCGGACCCCACGGGCTGAGACAAGCCACGCTCGTAATACGATAACCTCGTAATTACAATTCCCTTGTCCTGAATTTTACTGGAGTAGGATTTGCGCCCTCCCAATCTGTCAGATTCAAAACCTGCACCCCCCAACCCTGCAGCTCCTTGATAGCCGCGGCCTTATCTTCATCACTAATTGATTCAGTGGCATCTTCTATGAGCACGACTTCGTATCCCAGCTTGATTCCATCGATACTCGTACCACGGACGCATGCACTCGTCAAGAGTCCCGTTACGACTAGAGTCTCGATGCTATGCAAGGTCAACTCGGAGTGTAGAGTGGTGAAGCGGTGGTACTGGTTATCAGCGAAAGCCGAGTATGAGTCGACTGAGTGGTCTTGCGCCTTCTTAATGTAATTGACGGGGGCGCGGTAGCCTTCGAGCGAATGCAACCGCGTCTGAACGCCACGCTCTATCTCAGCGCCCCATGTCTCCGGAACGCAGTGGTCCGCGTATAGCATCTGTGTTTCGGTCTTCGTAGGGGTGTCTATGAAGCTGTCGTTCACAGTGTCTCCGGACACTTTCCCAGGATGACTTGAGAAGAATGAGACATGCCCTTTAGGATGCCAGTCTATACAATGTTAGACTAGGTGCAGCTATTGGTTTGAAAATGCATATTACCCTGAGAAGCGACAACGAAGGGCCACTCATGATTATCCAGGAGTTGATAGATTTTAGGTAGGATAGCAGGAGCTCGCGGGTTGGCTAAAGAGCCGTTGATGAAATCGTTTTGTACATCAATGATGACGAGTGCTGTTTTCTTATGTAACTTGTTGGAATACTATACATTGCGGTCAGAGCGAACGATGATGGTCCTGTAATTAAGATCATAAAACTCACTGGAACAGCATACCCTAAGCTGCTGAGAGCAAGTATACAAGATATGCTATAAAACCACATTTCTACAACTTTTAAATAATAACTTGATAGACACGGGGTCACCCCTCTTCGCAAATATGTTCAAGTCTTTGGATATCAGTTACGAATCCAATCTCAATTAACGATATGAGAAGCGACTAATATTGTTTACTTATCGGTTTGAATAGAAGTGGCTGGGATCATACTATGTAATAAGGCGGCGGATCGTTACCCCGTCACAATCAGGTACCCTGGGAAGCAAGTTGCCAAGATAAGAGCTGAATAATGCTATGCATTTTGAAGATTACGATACCATGATTATGCGCGGGGTCCGGATACGATCTGCAGTTCAGCTTGTTCGGTTCGAATGAGGATATAGCGCGGATTGAATGTGTATAAATTGATACGATCCACTCATTGAAGACTAATTCATATGTAATTAGACGAGAGGTAAATATGCATTAAAGAGAGCTTCTCAGAATAAAATCATAGGATGAATAGGGGGGAACTTAACCTTCTATACCTAAAATAGGGCAAGCAGCCCGTCACTAAGGAAGCCATATACCGCTCAAGTTTTCCTCTCATAGAAAGAGTGATGGTGACAGTTATTGCAAAGCGAATGACTTCAGTCAGTCGCGATGCTAATTCATCGATATCAGCTCCGTAAAGATACCTACTCTCCACTAGGCCCTGCATTCATTCTTGAATATTTAGCTCCTCGTTCGATATAATTGAGAAAATGTCTTATCCAACCTAACCGTCCAAGCTGGTCCTTCAGTAAGCTATTAGCGTTGCTATCGGACCTACATCTAGGCCTCCTATCAATGGATCCATACGTGGGAGGTAGAAGAGTCTCTCGCAGTCGTCCCGCTCGGAACTCATCAGGAACAAAGAAATTCTATAGATGGTTGAATTCGCCGCCTGAGTCATATTCCGTTGAGAAACGGCCTTCGTTTGGCTTGTGGTTGAGAGTTACTTGGCCCGACATCGTAACTATGCTTCTTCTCGGTGTAGTAGCCTTTAGCGTAAGTGTACCGAGCCCCCCTAGTATACCTAGTATAACGCACCAACATCGCGCAGGTCTATGCTCTTCGCCCTGCTGGAGTACGAACTTTCCCCTTGACGGTAATCGATGCACGTACCGGCGAAGACACCGGCGAGGTCGTTTACCCCGAATTTGCGTATCCGTATCGCCCTCAGCTTATTTCCTCTTGGGTAGATACTGTTCTCGTAACTGTGATCCCTCTGTTCACTGTCTTGATTATTCAAATTCGCCTCCGGAGTTTTTGGGACCTCAATAATTGTATTGTCGGCTTCGTATATGCGCTCGAGACATCAGCTGCATTCCAAGTCACGATCAAGTGGCTTATCGGCGGCCTCAGACCAAACTTTTATGACGTCTGTCAGCCCGATCCTAGTCTTGCTGGCAACCCAGATGTTGATGTGACGGGCTTGAATGCTGTTGGCTATAGACAATACATGTATACCTCGGAAATTTGCACAATTGGCCAGGGCCGGCCTCTTTGGAACGCAATGCAAAGCTTTCCGAGCGGTCATTCAACGACCACCTGTGCGGCAGCCGTTTACATTTTCCTATACCTCAATGCGAAGCTCAAGGTCTTTGCAAATTACCATTCCTCCATGTGGAAGCTTGTCCTACTCTACTGTCCGATCCTGGGAGCCGCCCTCATTTGCGGGTCCTTGACAGTGGACGGATCCCATAATTGGTATGATATTCTTGCAGGTGCCACTATAGGCACCGTCTTAGCGGTCTCATCATATCGCATGGTATATGCAAGCGTCTGGGATTGGCGCATCAACCATATCCCTCTGAATCGAGGGGCTGCGTTCATACCTTTGACAAATGGTTGGGAAAGCTCAAAACTAGTGTTCACGAATAGGGCTGGTTGGAGAAAAGGGCACCCGAACAATGAGAAAGAGATACTACCAGGCCCTGTCACGAGAAGTGGAGTTATGGGTAGCCATTCCAGCGTACATTTTGAGGGGCCTCCCGATGGTACGGCAAGCCAAGCTGCAAGAGAACCTCAATACACTCCTCGTCTCTCTAGAGATAGAGATCGTGGTGCCGATATGGTATAGTGTCAGGGCTAAGATGACGAGATATGAGGAGCGCAAGGACTAATAACTATTGGAGTAGCATCAGACTAGTATCGTATTATATACAATTTATTCTTCATAAACTATCATGAAACTATAAGATAGTGGTAATAAGTAAATGTTATGACGGCGGGCGAGGAACACAAAACCGCCAAAACGACAAAACAGTAAAACACTTCGGACCTTCAAACAGTAAAACACCAAAAATACACAGTATATTGTACAGTGCATGTGGCTTATTAAAACAGTGAAAGGAAAAAAGAGTTTTTTTAAAAAAATAAAATTTAATTATTTTTATTATTATTATTAAATATTTTTTTTTTAATTTTTTTAAAAATAATAATAATATTATATTTTAATAATAAATTATTATTAATTATTAATAAAAAATATAATATATTAATATAATTATATTTAATATAAATTAAATTAAAATAAAATTTAAAAAATTTAAATTATTAAAATAAAATTTAATTATTTATATTATGTAAAAAAACAATTTAAAATTATTAAATTTAAAAAATATTTTTTATTTTTTATTATTTTTTAATAAAGTTTATTTTAAAAATAATTAATTTTTAAATATTAAAATTAAAATATATTTAATAAAAATATATATAATTTTTATTTTAATAATATATTAATATTAAAATATTAATTATATAATTATATATATATAAATTATAAAATTAATTAATTTAATAATTAAACTTTACTTTTTAATATAAATAAAAAATAAATACATACATAATAATAAATGATATAAAATAATATAATAAAAATAATGAAAATATATTATTAATATTAAAAAGATTTGGGAAATTTAATGATATTAACCCGAGATTTTTCCGAATTTTATTTAAATTTATATAGATTTTTTAAGAATATTTAATAAAAACACGTGCATTAAAACAAGTATTAACCCGGAAAATATGAAATAAATATTAGAAAATAAAAATTAATTTAATGGATTTAATAAAATAAACCGGGTATTTATCGGACCAATATTCGCTCCGATGCACGTATTTTTATTAAATATTATTAAAGAATTTATATAAATTCAAATAAAATTCGGAAAAATTTCGGACCGGTATTATTAAATTCTTTAAATCTTTTTAATATTAATGATATATTTTCATTATTTTTATTATATTATTTTATATTATTTATTATTATTTATTTATTTTTTATTTTTATTTATATTAAAAAGCTTTTTTTAATTTAATAATTAAAAAAAATTAAAATTTAATTAATTATTTATAACTTTATATATATATATATAAATCTTTTAATCAATATATATATAATTAATTAAATTAATTTTTTAAATTTATTATTATTATTATTTTATTATTATATATATTTTAATATAATTAATTATATAATAAAAAAAGTTTAAACGTAATATTTTATAAAAAAAAATTATTTTATTTTATTTTATTTTTAAGATTTTAAATTGTCCATATTTTTACGTGTACTGTGTAAATAAGCCACAATTACTGTGCTGTATACTGTGCATTTTTTTATGTTTGACGGTTTGAACTAGCGAAGTGTTTTAGCGTTTTGTCGCTTTGGCGGCTTTTGGTTCCTCGCGCATCGTAGTTATTACTATTGCTTTAGAACTTACGCCGCCATCCAGTGTCAAATAAACTACCTAACCACCCATGTAAACTCTGAGCTTCGGCCCAGGCAGATCTTAGACGTTTTAGTCTATGCATTCTCGGTAAAGATGCTTAATTATAGTTTTGTTTGATAATCTGGGTTAATATTTTGACAGTTCGCCATGCAAGGGTCAAGGGTAAAGGGAAAGGAGGCTCTTCGGCCTTATTTGAGTTGGGACTTAGCAGTGCAACCGTCTCAAAGTTCTGCAGAACACTATAACCCTCTTGTATAGTATTTGCAAGTCTCTGAAACTTGTGCGTTTCAATGTCTTTCTATAGGTATCTATACTAGATTGTATACTTTTACAAGTCTCGTTTAAGCCCCAAGTCGATTGAAGCTGTACGTATAATGTACTTGTCTACTCTTTAAGCCTTACCCCTTGTAGTAGTATATACTCCTTATGAGAATGTAAAGAATTATCCATAAATTGGACTTGGCGAGTTACTAAATTTCTTGCATGTCACGCCATAACTGACCTTATAGTTTTCCTTCCGAAGACTATAAATTTAATTGTAAGACGCTTACCCTTTCGCACTGAATGAAACTAGATACTCACCTCTATGAACAAACCATATACTAATCTTGTTAGTCGCTCTACACATGTAATTTAGCGAATCGGACCATTTGAACTACATGGGCTAAGTTTGTTACCATGACCAACAACAAAGCTTCAACTATGCGAATAGACGCTCGTGCGAGAAGTTTCTTGTTAAGTTTTCATGTCTGGCAATCTTGTTTCCCCAGCGGCCGTGTTGCTATGCGTTGGGGCAAATCTTTTTAATATTTAAAGACGGGAGAATGCCCACCTGGAGAGCAACTCGCCATCGATACAAACGCGAGGCCTATAGAATTCCCGCTGGGTATTCCTAGGAAAAGTCTACTGAGAGTACGAACATCTAATTATCGGGATGATGCCTACTATCGACATTATCCGCCATGCGCAGGCCGCCCATAACATCCACGGCAGCCACCTTAGGGACCCGACACTAACTGATGACGGCGTTGCGGAATGTGATCTTTTGAGAGAGGCGTATCCGTTCGGACCCATGGTCACCAATATCCTCTCGTCTCCCTTACGACGTGCCATCGACACTGCGATACTTGGAATTCTTCCAACGGTACATGACCACATCAAGGTCAAACTACTCCCCGAGCTACAGGAGATCAACCCCTCACCGAGCAGCACGGGAATTCCGAAGAGCACGCTCTCCTATCGATACGCCCGTGGCCATAACGTGGATATGGATGACCTTGAGGAAGATTGGTATCATAAGGGTTTCGATACCCCTTACGCGCCAGAGGTGCACAAAGTCGAGGCGCGGGCGCGATCCGCACGTAATTACCTACGGATGCTAGCGAGAAGGGCCATCGAGGCCGGCCAAATCAATGCGCACATCGTGGTCGTGACGCACGGGGAGTTTGCGCATTGGCTCACTCGCGACTTCCGGGGCGTGAGCGAAAGACGTAACTCGGACTGGCATAATACAGAGTGCCGGTCGTACCGGATCGAGAACATCTTTGGGCTTGATGTCTCCGACCCGGTACTGGCTGAGACGACCGCGAGCATCGTTCAGCGGAACGGGCCCCTTTTCTACTGGTCGATAAACCTTCTCACCATGTACAGCGCCAGGGAACTTGCCGCCAGGCGGGTGTTCGAGTACGGCGAGATGCTTCGAGTTCGGGAACGAGTGACGTCTTATCGGGCTGCTGAAGAATCCGAGCAAGCAGACGACGAATATGACGAGCGCGACATATCCGACGAATCTAATGGATGGGTTGATGTAGACGATGAGTCGGACTGAACTGAACTGAACTGAACTTTGCATCTTAGTCTATCAATAGCGAGGGGACGAAGGAAGCATGTCATGTCATCCCATCATGTTTTTTTCTGAAAAAAGGCGTCGAGGCGCAATAGGGGGAGGGTACCTACCTCTTGTCTGTTTTTAAGGAGGGTTTCTGATTTGGATATTCTCTTGATGTCCCTACGAATACCTCTGCGATAATAATAAACTCATAAAAAATATCATGTGCTTTCATCAGAGGGAAGTACATAGGTACCTAAAATATATCAATGCATAGGCCACCTGCGTGACGCTACATGTACATACCTATGTACCTACATGATGCATTTATAAGGGAATAGCAGCGCAACAAAGTAACATTCACCGCAAAGCCTTCGTGGTCAAGTGGTAAAAACCGCCTGCTGGGAAACTGCGTTTCTCCAGTTACGAAACTCCCGCTGGGTCATTGCGCTACTCCGGAATTTGAATATTCTGCTGGGCCGTTGCATTTCTCCGGTAGTCGCGGGCTTGCCGGGTCATTGCGTCTCTCCGGGCGGTTTTCTTTTTTTCTTTTTTTCTTTTTTCTTCTTTTTTCTCATGGCGTCGAGTTCGAGTTCGAGTTCGAGTCACTCCAACTTTTTTTTCTTTTTTCTTTTTTTTGTTGGTCTTTTTCTAAGTGTACACAATGATGATACAACGTGAGAACTTGGTGCTAGCATTTGTTGTCTGCTACGAAGGTAGTATCTTTACGATGTAGGCTGCCTAATTGTCAGATATCACGATATTGCTACTCTAGCCTAGGAGACGCCTGTGGGAACGTTTACACTCGATTAAATCAAATACCAGGCTTTGAGTTGAGGATTATGTCCTAGACTATGCCAGCGTCACTAATATCCATTCTCGTTCCTCCGCAAGCCCAACCCAAGCCTCTTCATTAACTTCACCCGCACCAACCCGCGAAGCAACACGCCTAACATGGTCATCCCACTCTACGACTAAGACATTAAGTTTCCTCTCCGCCTTAAGAACCTTTAGACTATTATCGTTGTGCTTTCGCGACACTACAATAAACGAGTGCTTCCCGGAGAGTTTGGGTGCCTGATAGGGTAGAAAGGGGTTTAGTTCGCCAACCTCCTCTTTCTTATCGTTATATATCTTGTTGTCTTCCAAGATTAGCACTGCGTGGCTCGTCCAAAAGAGAAGACGACTCGAGTCCTTGAAATCTCCGTCTTCGTTTTTCTGGTGTAGTAAGCTAGGGTCAATCGTCGTGTTTCCCTTCCATCCCGCCGAAGTCGTGCTGTCAATACCGCACATGTCGATCTTCGATACAGACTCAAATATTTTCTCGTTCGATATAGAACACAATGGAGCCGCTTTTCCGTCCATACTAAGCTTCATAATATTCAACTCTGGTTCCAGCACAACCTGTCGTGGCGCGGCGCGGTTTACCCCTAGGATGTGATTCCACCCGAGCCAAGACCAACTAGGGAACTGTACCCTATTAACCGCCCCATCACTCGATATCACACGATGCAATTCCCGTCGCCGCTCTGGAAGCTCGTGTGACTCCCGCTCGCGATCCGGATACCAGACGATATTGTTCCAAGCCAAGCTCTCATCAAATCTTGTCGAGACAGAATGACCCCAGTAAAACTCGTGTCCTGTATTAACACCGACTCTCCTCAATACCCCTGAAAACGCGTCCAAGACATCTGCTTTCACGGTAAGCTTTCTATTACAGTATCCTTGGATCATCGAGTTTAGCTCGCTGTACGCGAAATTGTTACCACCCCCAAATTCCCCGAAGACTTTGTGACCGGATAACACCGAGGAGGTGAGGTCGTTGGGGGCGACGGCAGTGGGAAAGGCCTCGAAGGCGATGGTTTCGCAGCATTTGGATGTTTCACAGCTCCAGAATACTTGGTCGGAAGCGACTATGAGAGTTCGACGAGAACAGAGACCCTCTTGGAACGTCCATCCCCGTGTCTTCCACCGGCTATCCTGGTACTCTTGGTCGAGGCGAAAGACATCCGTTAGGCTTAGATATTTAGCGACACGCGCTGTGCGCTGGTTAATGGTACGAGTTGTGTCGTTAATTCCCGGAAGCCCATCAGTTGCCGTGCCGCATGCTGCGACAACTGTCAATTCTGCCCTCGAGTAGACGAGATCCATCTGAGGAATTTGGACGACTTTATCGGCTTCAGAATCCTGGATAACACACAGTCGATCAACCCAGAGGAACTCCACCCCCATCTGTTTAGTCAATTCTATCGCATCCACGATAGTCTTCGGTAAGGGCTGACCCCTGAGAAAATCCAGTGTTTTCATTTCCTCAACATTTGACAGGGTTGTTTGGAAGGGGCCTGTCTCATCACCCCATACGTAACTGAGCGCGAAATAGGGGCACGGATCTGACGCCTCAACTAAACAGTAGCGTCGCACATTGATCAACCTGAGCTTTTCAGGCCATGAAGTATCCGGTGCGAGCCAAGGAGGCAGACTACACTTCGTCCCGTGCGTCTCAAGGCACGTCTCATACCACTTCCTAAGCAACCCAACATTAACCTCCGACTTCACAACCCTCCCCGACGGAAACACCGAAAACGGCTCCTCCCCCGCCACATAATCATCCACACCCGGCACCGGATACAGACACGGATGCAACTGCAAGAACGTCTGCGCCGTCCACTTAACCGGGCTTATCCCAACCAGCACGAACAACTTACTCAAGCTATTATTCCTCCTCTTCCCATCACCACCAACCTTATCGTCATCCAGAAATACACCCCGTCGCTCAAGCGAGTCGAAAAAATCCTGTATAATTAGATTCGTGGAAGAGTACCCCGGCTTCGCACCCGCATACAGCGTATCCACCAGCGCATCGGCCTGCGACAGTCTGCTCGTCAGCACAGAGGACCCGAGGCGGTTCCGGCTGCTCCAGAAGGCGCATGTAAGATGGTCTGGCCGGTCGAGGAATTCCGCGACGGGCCACCATGGCTTTAAGCTGCGGGAGCCGTCTGAGATCAGGTTGCATAGCTCACAGGTTGCTGCTGCTGTATGGATTGTGCCGAGGTTATGCTCGCCGCTTTTAAGCTGTCCGTTTTCGAGAGCTGCTTTGTGAGGGTTGAAGAGGCTAGTTGTTACTTGTGCCCAGTCGACCGAGCGGCAGAAGTCGCATAGGTTAACATCGTCGTCTAGTTGTGGTTCGGTCATTATGGCTAAGGGGTCTTAATCAAATATTATCTTTTACTTGAGCAATATATGTATAATTAGATTCTTAGCTGTATTTGATCAAAAACAAAGCTCGGGACATATCGCGAGAGGAAAATTCTCTATCATAGTGAAGAGGTTATAGAGGTTCAGCCGCGGCTGAGAAGTCATGCGGGAGTATAGTCAACGCTAGAGCCGATTGAGCTGGTAAGTATAGATTAGGGACTTGAACAGAATAGAGATATAATTGTAAATGACCATCAGATCATGAAAAATGGCATCAAGGTAACATGGTAGCTGCCGGTATGGGCCACTCAAGAACACTTTAATTAGCATTGCATTTTCCTGGATCCTAAACGAGAATAACATTACGCCTTTAAGTTTCTGGCTACGTCTTCTTTTTGCTCTTCGTCTTGCCTTCACTCTTGGCCGCAGTCTTACTCTTGCTCTTCTCCTTATTCTTTTCGTTCTTCTCACTCTTCTCGCTCTTTTCGTCACTCTTAGTCTTGCTCTTCTCTTCGCTCTTAGCCTCGCTCTTCTCCTCCGCATTACCGTTCGCGCTTGGCTTGTTCAACGCCTTAGGATCAAGACCACGTTTCCTCATAGCGTTACGCTTCGCCCTCTCCATATACTTCTCATCTTCCTCGTCATCGAAACCGCCAAACTCATCATCCTGTCCAGACACCTTGTCATCTGTGATGGGCGTCTTGTCAATAACCTCTTCTTCCTCTGCGCGCGGTGCTGAGGCGCCTTGAGCAGGCTTGTCCTTGACGAGGTTGGCGGGTGTCGGGCCGACCTTCTGGAATTTGGCGACGAAGAAACCGTCTACGTTGTATGTGTGCGGGTAGTATCTCCGCGTTAGGCGTAGACTAGGGTCGAACTTCTTGCCCATATAGCTGGTGAAACCTTCTTTACCGAAGGGGAGCTCGGTGGAGACCAACTTGACGTTAGGTCGCTTGTTGAGCGCATATTGGACTACTTGCTCGTTCTCCTCGACAGTGACTGAACATGTAGAGTAGACTAGATAGCCACCAGTCTTGCTTGAGTGGTTGACCGAATCAATTGCAGCTAGCAATAGTTGCTTCTGGGTGTGGGGTAAGACCATGAAATCCTTCTCGTCCTTGTTCGTCTTGACCGAGGCATCCTTGGCGATAACTCCTGTACCTGAACAAGGAGCATCAAGAAGTACTCTGTCGAAGCCACCAATCACCCTCGGGAACTCTCGGGCATCATAATTGCAGACAATAACGTTGCGACAGCCGAGACGATGAATGTTACCAATTAGACCCTTCGAACGAGATTTGCTCGGATCGTTGGCAAATATACAACCGGTGTTCTTCATCATAGCAGCCATATGCGTAGTTTTACCACCAGGAGCAGAGGCCATATCCAGCACTCGCTCGCCTTCTTGTGGGCCCAGAGCCATGACGGGCAAAAAGGAGGATGCAGCCTGGAGAATGTAGTGACCAGCAAGATATTCAGGCGTGGCACCAAGCGGAACGTTGCTCTCGAAGATTTGTAACCCAACCTTAGACCACTTGCCTACAGGCTCCAGAGTGACACCGCGATTTATCAGGGCCTGAGCTAAATCTCGGCGATGCGTTCGTAGAGTATTAGTTCGGATGACGACAGGTCGCGCCGTCTCGTTAGCCTCGAAGAACGCGAAAGCTTCTCTTGGTGGGAATAGGTTCATAAGCTTCTCGGCAAGGTACTCTGAGTAACCGTAGTATGCGCAGATGTCCTTCAGCAATTGTGTCGTGTATTCGGCTCTGGACCTGCCCTCCTCCGATGCGTTCGCAAAGTCGTCTAAGACACGTATCGTGTCCGTAATTCTCGTCCTTAGTAATTGAAGATCCGGGGCTAAGAGAGCCTTTGTCTTTAATGCTAAATCGTCCTCTTCTTCATCATCGATGACATGCGGTCGCTCAATGTTAGTCTGGAGTGCTGCTTCTTCTAATTCTGCTTGCGCCTCCGCCTCCTCTTGCGCTCTTTGCCTGTCTAGTTTATTTGATAGACCGACAATGTTGGCCGCCGTTAATTTCTCTTCAGCGTCCGAATCATCTTCATCCTCTGAGAACATGGCCTTTCGCTCCCTCTGGTCCTCTGCATCTGAATCGAAGACGGAGTCGTCTGAGCCTATGAAATCATCTCCTAGGCCGCCCATCTCCTCATCCTCTAGACCGGAGAATTCGTCTCCGTCCGGCTCGGAGCCGCTCAGCCCATCACCAAGGCCGTCGCTAAGCTCTTCATCGGACTCTGGCACGGGAGCTGGCTTCTTTGCTTTCGACCTGTTGTTCTTTCCATTTTGCTTAGGCGCCGGGGCAGCTTTCACGCCATTGGACTTTCCATTGGCTTTAGGAGCAGCTTTCTTTGCACCAGCGCCATTGGACTTGGGAGCTAGTTCGGTTGCGGTTTTCCGCTTCTTCTTGTTCGGTGCTTCGGTCGGAACATCGTCTACAGGTAGACCTGCCTTTCGCTTTAATTTCGCAAAGTGTTCTTCTGACAGTGGCTCAGGAGGGCCCTGCTTCTTCATGCGACGACCGACACCCATTTTGCTGGCGGTGTTATATGAAAATTGTTAGATGTATCGTTGTATCTTTGAGCTGGGCACTCTAAAATTTCCAATGCCTCTCGTAGTTTGACCTCGAACTTTTTTTCTTGCGATAAGCTGATAATGAATCTGGACCACTTTTATCAAAGCACGGGATTGGGTGATCTAAATTAGCGCAATGGACCTAAGCAGTGCCTGGCAGCGGTACCTCAGTACACAGATACGCAAGTACAACTAAGCTTCAGCCACAAAGTGGGATACTTTCGTGGCGTCCTAAAAGCGGGACATCGTGATCGTCACTAAAGAGTTCAAGACAGCCTGAATTATTTGTGACATAATTTCTCATACTCGACATCCTGTGTAACACTTACAAACAAAGATGACGGAAGTATCATTTGCAAGATCTTTCCTCGCAGCACTGGAAGCTCGTCCGATCAAGCTATCGGCCGACCATGTCGAGGATCCTAAGAGCTACGCCGCGCGCGGCGCTGTATGGCTACACCCCGCGACTATCTTACTCTTCCTAGCTAACGATAAACGTAGTATATACTCCCCAAGATGCCGAAGCCTATGAGCAAGCGCAAGGCCGGCACCGTAGCACCGGGTCAGGAGCGTAGCCTCACCGTTCTTGTCAAGTCCCTCCGCAACCCTCCATTAGACATCAAGCTCTCGTCCCAGACGCCCAACACCTCCGTCTTAGATATCAAGACTGCCGTATCACAGGACACGGGAATACCTATCGAGAAGATGAAGCTACTACACAAAAAGAAGCCGATCGCGGATAGTAAGGTGTTAAAAGACCTCACAGGAGAGGGCGAGACCAGCATCGAGTTCTCCGTCATGGTTATGGGAGGGGCCGCAGCTATCAAGACAACACCAGCAGCGCAAGCTGAAGTTGCACAAGGTCAAAGCGGCAATGATGTATTAGGTACCAAGGAATTTTGGGACGATCTTAAGGGATTCCTGTTACAACGAATACGAGACGAAAAGACAGCCGAGGAACTAACAAACACTTTCCAAAGCGCGTGGAAGGCGAAGGCATAGATTTAGAAGTTAGAAGCAGAGAGCTAGCCACCCCGTATAATCAATAAGTTCAGCAGGCCAAACCAGAGTACAAGGGTATTATGAGGCTGCGAAAAAGATAATTAATAATGGCGTAGACATCTGACCAAAGAGCACAATAGGAACGATCTACATTCAAATATGACCTTTTGTGTTGTGCGGTGTATACCGATGGCTAACATCACAGCTTGACAATTCATGTCTGCCCTCTAAGGAAAAATAAACAGCGACCAAAGCGGCCCTACTCCATCGTAATGGCAGGGAGAGAGTTTGTGTCCATCCTGCAGTTTCGTAGACGTCGTGGATCCTTGGCACGCGAGTGCCCCTCCTCAAGTAATGATCCTCAGCAACTTTGCCCCCCAAGTTGCTCTCGAGCCTCGGGGGTCGGAGGCGTTTAACCGGCCAGACCCTTGCTGACTACCTTTAGTACTGTGTCGTATTCGATGTCGTCCTGGTCGTTGGCCTGTAGTTCGATGGCAATACCGGTGAGAGCGCGCTTCAGGGCTTCCTTCGACGAGGCGTACACCATCTTAGCCTTTAAGGGGGTTAGTATTATATTACCGCGTGCGAGTTAAAAAGCTATTGTGTAAACTGACCATGACGTTGGCATCATCGGGCGACCATGCGATGAAAGTGATCTTGTTTCTATAGGTTATTAGTATAATAGGTTTATTATATTGGCCGAGGCTACTAACCGCGAGCCTTCTCCACTAGCAAGGCTGTACTCGAAGTCGTAGACAGCGTATCGGGGTCCCTTGCTTACAGCGCCCTAGATATAAAGGATTAGAATAGAGCCCGGAAACGTAGTGCTACTAGCATAAACATGATACTTACACTCTTGGTCTTAGTGGTAGCGTTGAGGAGCTTCTCACGGAAGGTCTCCCAATCCTTATCCGAAGAAGCCTCCTCGACAATGATCTCCCTGTTGTTGTCCGACAGCTTGAAGATGATGTACTTGTGCTTCTTCGCAAGCTTAAGGTCGTTGTACGCAGTAATGCATTCCTGCGAGACTGTCGCTCTAGATGGCCATCGATATTAGCTCGTATTCTCTCCTATTGTGAGGACGCGCCGGAAAGAGCGGTGCACCGTGAAAGCGCATAATGACGCGCGGATAGGGGGGTTGCCGACAGAGAGACAGGAATAGGACGACGGTTAACTGAAAGGAGTCACGAACCCTGATTGAGACTACCGAAATTTCATATTAGCAGGCTTTCAAGGGTTGATTGGATTCAAGACTCACCATTTTGGCGATATGTTTGAGCTACACCGGTACCAAATGAGATTCCGAAGACAAGCTATGATGTGGGTTGTTAGCGGGGTTCGAGAAAGGTGCCTACAAAGGGATCAGGAGGTGCAAGTGAATTTAGAGTGAATGATGTAAGGTCAAATCTGCAACTAACATGAATCGCTGAATGTGGCTATCCACCTAGGAGGGTCTCGTGGTTCAGGTTTGCAGATAAATGCGATGGATGTTTAGGAGGGACAACAATAGAAAGAAAGAGTCGGGAGAGATGTAAGTAGTGTTTTTAGTGTGGGCCCTATCGCAATGGAGGGGAAGGTCGGGCTGATGAAAAGAGGCACGCACGATGAGCAGAGAAATCAACACAATAAAGCCTTGGTGGGGGCAGTGGGACAGGGGTTTTCAGTGGAGGGAGGGTGGGCAGTTGGCAATGAGATAAATACATAACGCCCTGAACGCTTGCTTACCATAGGCTCCATAGGCTACGTACAGCTACAAAATGCTTTAGTACACTTTTAAAAACTACACTTGTTCTTGGCGGTAACTGGGTCGACCGTGGACTTGTCGGGTTACGAAATTTCATAATAAACTGCACGTGACTCCTTTAATTTCGTTGAATTGGGTTACTTATTTCAGGGGTTACTACTACATCCAATATGTATCTAACCTACCTGTTGTCAGGGACGAGCCGAGCCACATGGGATTCGTCATTGCGTATCACCATATATGTCATCCCAATTTCCAGGCAGAACATGAGATAATTACAAATTTTGGTGCCTAAACAAAAAAGGGGGGAGCAAATATTTATCATCAGATCAATTATGATCACCTACACCAAATGTAGGTAGGTTGGCATTTCGTAGTTCGTAGCTCTAATATACAACTCTTCATAACGCCGCTCGGGATATCAAGATATGAATAATGCACAGGGAGAGAGAGGTAGAGGTAGAGGGGAGATAGAGGAAGACATGACAAGAGCCAACATTAACCCGACCGCATAACACCGAGGTCAATGCTCCCAACCCAAACTTTTGATACATGACAGGATAAAGGTTCATTCATAACATGAACTCATTACATCATTCCTCCCATGCCACCCATTCCTCCCATTCCGCCCATGCTGCCCATACCACCACCAGCAGACTTCTCCTCGGGTGCCTCGACAATGGCAACCTCGGTGGTGCCTAATAACGACGCGACGCCGCTAGCATCAACCAGACCAGTTCGGACAACCTTGAGCGGGTCAAGGATACCTGCCTGGATCATGTCCACGTACTCTCCCTTGGCGCTGTCGAAGCCCTTGTTGAAGTCGCTACCGAACTCATCCATAAGCTTACCAACGACCACGGAGCCCTCCAGGCCAGCGTTCTCCACGATCGTCCGGGCAGGTCGGGTAATCGCATTCTTGACGATGCTCACACCAAGTTGCTGATCGAAGTTTGCAGTCTTAATGTCCTTCAGGGCATTGCTGGCAGCCTTGAGGAGAGCAGTACCACCACCGGGCAGAATACCCTCCTCAACAGCAGCTCGGGTGGCGTTAAGGGCATCTACGAAGCGGTCCTTCTTCTCGCCGACCTCGACCTCGGAAGAACCACCGACCTTGATGACGGCAACACCACCCGAGAGCTTAGCAAGTCGCTCCTGAAGCTTCTCCTTCTCGTAATCGGAGGTGGTAGGGTCGTTCATGACACCACGGATCTGCTCACATCGCTGAGCAATCGCATCCTTGGAGCCCTCTCCATTGAGGATGATAGTATCCTCTTTAGTGATGGTGATGGAGCCGGTGGAGCCAAGCATGTCGGGGGTAGCCTTCTCCAGCTTAATATCGAGCTCATCGGTGAAAACGGTACCGTTAGTGAGGACAGCGATATCTCCGAGGATCGACTTTCGGTTGTCACCGAAGCCGGGAGCCTTGACGGCGGCAACCTGGAGCTGACCACGGAGCTTGTTCAAGATGCAGACAGCTAGGGCTTCACCATCGATGTCCTCGGCAATGATGACAAGAGGTCGTCGCATCTGGGTAGAGGCCTCAAGAGCGGGGATGATATCTTGTACGGCAGAGATCTTCTTCTCAGAAAGGAGAATGAGGGGCTTCTCGAACTCGACCTTCTGTGCCTTGGGGTCTGTGATGAAGTAAGGCGAAACGTAACCACGGTCGAATCGCATACCCTCAGTAACTTCCAACTCGTCGTTCATCGTCTTTCCTTCCTTGACGGTGATAACACCCTCCTTTCCAACCTTCTCCATGGCATTGGCAATCAATTTGCCAATATGGGTATCTCCGTTGGCGCTAATGGTGGCAACTTGAGCGACTTCTTCGCTAGTCGTGATATCCCTCTTGTTCTTCTGGAGGTATTCAACAACAGCGTCGACAGCGGCTTGGGTACCCCGCCGCAAATCCATGGGGTTGCAGCCGGCAGCGACATTCTTAACAGTTTCCGAGAAGATAGCGCGAGCTAGAACAGTAGCGCTTGTAGTTCCGTCACCGGCAGATTCGTTTGTCTTGGATGCGACATCTTGTAATAATCTAGCGCCGAGGTTCTCGAACTTGTCTTGTAAGCTAATAGCTCTTGCGACAGTAACACCGTCTATAGTCTCTAGTCAGTAACCCTGCCGAATTGAAGGAAAAATCAAGTTCAATGCATACCCTTTGTGATCTTGGGAGAGCCATAGCTTGACTCGATTATAACATTTCGACCCTTAGGGCCGAGTGTAGTGGCAACAGCTTTGGCGAGGGTTTCGACACCGGCAAGAAGGGAAGCTCGGCCCTCGACGCCAAACTTGAGCTCCTAGACAATATATGTTAGTAATACGCACAATATATCATATAACAGAACCAAGTCCGTTTGATTTTGAGGCTCATGGAAGAGTATTACCAACCTTGTGTGAGAATCGAAGCTGCTGTGAAAGCCCTGCACCAGCTCGGTACTTAGTAGCAGCCGAAGATAGGACCGAAGCCCGCGCTCGGGACGATAGAGCACGCTGCATTGTGACTGTGGGATACACAAATTAAGTAGGGTAAAGGCAAAAAATAAAATGCCACCACAAAGATCACGGCTTAAGAGAGGGAAGGAGAAAAAAAGTCTCGCCGGCGTTGTTGAAATGTAGGCGTTGAAGGATTGAGTTTTGAGACTCCGGGGAAGAAAAGCTTCAAAAAATTTAATCCCAATCCAATGACGGAGGAACCGGCCAGAAGCCGAAGCTGTTCTGCGCTAACCCGAATAAGTATAGCTGTACCACAAGCCCGTTCGACCAACGACTTCATGGAAATTCATAGAATATGATTTGTTGCAATTCTAGACTTTGATGTTGTGACCGGCTTTGGTATTGCAAAATTTACTTTTCAAGAAGAATTGATTTTACCTACCCTCATATTTTACATGTTGTAGAGGCTATTGTAAATCAATTACAGCTACCTACAATTGTTTATTGAAGGAGGGGTTGTTAAGTGAGGGGGCACAGGTAGGTACATATGTACTTACAAGGTACTTAGATTCAACATGAGCTTGTAAAGCAGGTTCAGAATACAAGCATATTTGTAAGCACCAACTTCCTTTGAATGGTGTATGTAATTAAAAATGTGAGAGAGACGGACTATTGCGGTGTTAGCAGCTATTCCCGTCCGTAACCAAAGTATTAAAAGAGTCAAAAAGTAGATTGATAAAGTTTCTTCAATCCCTCATTCGCTACTCTAAACTACACTCCAACTCCTGATCATGGCAACTATCGCAAAGACAATTGTAGCCACGGGCGCCACTTCAGGCTTGGTAGGCAATAATTCATCATAACATCTACAAATTCATTCTAACCTCATATGTTCTATAGGGGTTCGAGTTAGTCAAGCAACTTCTTGAACAAACGCAGCCCTACAAATTCATTCTCGGAGCCAGGGACACGAAAACGGCCCAAGCCACCTTCGATGGACTCAAGTATGACAACAGCAAGCACAGCTTAACTATCTTCCCGTTAGAGCTGTCGAACCTCAAAACTGTCAAGACTTTCTCACAGCAAGCCTTAGATAAAGTTGGACAAGACAAGATTGACTACTTGATGCTCAATGCAGCAATCAGTAACAATTCTGAGCAACCCGGTCCACATGGTTCCAAATGGAGTGAGCCTTATATTGTGAACCATCTGTGTAAGAATTTACGTTTTTGTTTGTACTTTTTACAACTCGACAGTTTGTGCTAATGAGGACTCTAGCCCAACACTACCTCATTCATCTACTTCGAGAGAAGTTAGAAGCATCGAAGTCGCGCATCGTAGTCGTCTCCTCCGGCGCCGTTTGCCTTGTAAAGGACCCCAGTATGTTAAGCTCGTTACCCTCTTAATCCGGGATACTAATCCCAAAATTACGTGTAGAATTTCTTGAAGATGATCTTAAGGGTGGCTCGAAGACGGACCGTACTGTATACGGTGCCACAAAGTTCGTTCAGCTACTGGGAGCCCACTGGTGGCGTCGTCAACTTCAGGGCAAATGCCACGTGGTCGCTGTATCGCCCGGCTTAATCCCTGGTACCGGCCTCATAAGAGGTAGCGATCAGTTAAAACTTCCCATAAACCATCCAGACGCAAAGAGCGTTCCAGAAGGTATGTTTATCCGTAACACTCAGAATCCAGGGGTCACACGTAACTTACACTACTGGCAGGCGCCCAAAGTATCTACCGCGCATTTATAAGGGACGACTTCCCGGAAGACCCCGACCAGATCTTTTTGACGAGTTGGGGCGAATGGTGGCCTAAGGATGTCTATGGACTTACTCTTGACAAAGATCTCCAGGACAAATGGTCTCCTAGTAAAGACGAGATTGAGAAGGAAGAGGGTTTAACCGCCTAGCTTAACTTGATTACAGGCCTTTAAGATTCCATACTCTAATGTATAGTCCTATGAGATATGGTAATACTAGATGGAAAATTAAATCTAATATTTGAAAGAAATAGCGTGTATCTACGGCTCTATACTATCTCGCAGTATCTGTCTTGTCTGCTCAATATATTTTCGCAATGCATTAACACCCCCTTTCCCGAGATCTGGCTTACATACAAGTTCTTCCTTGGATAATACCGCTTTCAAGATCCTAAAGAATTCTGGTTCACACAACAGGCCACCGTGGTTGTTTCCGCGTCTGCCAATTCGAAATTCTTGCGGTATTCCAAGCAGGTTTTCCATCTTTTCGAACAGGTTAATGACAACCTGAATAAACATGGTGGCTTGTAGGTTGCCGGATTCTGTAGGAAAGTTAGTACTGTAGTCATACACAGTGTTAGGCACTTAATGCATGGGTATTAGAAAGAAACCACTTACGAAGCGGGAAAGTACCAAAGTCCATCCCGGGTAGTTCACGTAGCGAAGGGACATCGCTTTTAGATATCTCTAGGAGAGCCTCGTAGCAATGCGTAAAGATGATGAGGTAGAGCTGCGTAATGTGGATATAGGATATGAGAATATGCATGAGTGTTGCTGAATCGAGACAACGTTTGGGCCTATTTCCTATTGTAGACACAAGTGATGGGGTTGCTAGTGTCCGGCCATATTCGGAGGAGTGTGGAGAATTGTGACCCCTAGTTGAGCCGCTTATGTTGCTACCAGGTCCGGATTCCGGCGTCCTCGGAGAAGAGCCGTGCGACGTTATTGCTGCCGGTGACCGATTTGCGTCCCATAGCGTACATATGACATCTACGAACTCGCGGCTACTGCCCAGTACATTATGGATTTGGGTCCCGGAAAAATCGTCTGATGGATCGATGAGCGCAACGAGTGTATCGAGACTTATCTCGGGAGACCCTCGCCCAATCTGGTCTAGGAGCTTAACCAAGTCGTGATTTATTTTAGCAAGCCGTTGTGTATCGCTCTCAGAGATTCCGCGGCCAACTTCGACAATCGAATCCTGAGTCGTGACGATGCCTTCCGGAGAAACCGACGTAGTGTTATCTATGCTAGTCCCCTGGCTCTTTAGAGATAGCGCCCCAGCCGGTGAAACGTCTGTCTGGAAAGTAGATAGAGCCATCATCTCTGGTTGATACTCCAAGGTAGGCAGATAAGCCTTATTGGCGGTAAAATCTAAAGATGCAAAATTTCCGTCGAAGCCATCGCCAAACATAGATCCATAGACAGCAGGGTCCCAGGACTCAATAATCTCAGGAGGATAAGCCGCTATGTGTTGCACATTACCGGAACTCGCAAAGAACGTAGGAATTGGCGTGTTAATTGTCTGGTTAACATTAGTAGCCGGAATATTCTGTTGTCGATCATCCTGTCGTGGTCGGTTTTGTGCTCTAGAACTAACGCCTCCGATCCGACAACGGGAGCGTATAGGCACGTTAGGGGTTGTAGCGCATTGGGCATCTGCTCGCGTACATCGGTAGCAGCGCTGTTGTCCCGGATCTCGCAAGCATCTTAGTTTCTGTCCCTTGCACCGATCACAAGCGGATCTGCGGATCGGAAGACGGGGGACGGCCGCTTGCACTCCTTGCATTTTGGATCAGAACTTTCTATCGTGAGTCCCGGGACCCTTGATGCGATGAGTATGAAAGCCGTTACTGTTATGGATAAGGAATTATCATATTTACGAGCTGATATCTGTTTCGTATCTTACATCTCAACAGCTGCGCCACACTAGGACTTCTTCGCATGCATAATAATTAGGGTGCCTAATCTATTTATAGACTACTAATGCTTGGATTATTCTAAGCGATTATCATTTCATGCGCGAGGCGTTAACTTGCGCAAAAGAGCTCTGTTGGCGATGTCTCCTTTGAAATATTTCGCGTCGTGATACTTTGTAGGCTACCTTAGGTCTCTCATAATTGGTTAACCAATAGTCGCGTCAATAAAATGCATGTTTCGTATAGTACAATAAACGGAGACGTATTCGTATCTAAATGTAATTAAAATTGTCAAGACTCGGATCATCTGTGGTAGAAACAACAACGCTGCTGCGCAAAGAGCCATGAAGCTTATGTGCCCAGGACCGTGAATATGCACACATGTAACCTTATTTCTCCGTGGTATCTCGGAATGCTCTCGGGGCGGGGCTCCTAATACATCTCCTTGATTCCAATAAGAGAATATTTGAGGAAAGGGGTTCCACACAATAACCGTTGGCAACTCCGAGAGTGTCCGGGCAAAAGATTCCCGGAGTGGGCCGGTAATATCAACCCCTTGCAATTATCAGCGGGATGAGCAATAGAATGCAATCCTAAAGGATTAACAAGGTTAAAGTGCATAAGCCTTAGAAACCTATTGGAACCGTTATGGACTAAGGATTTTTCAAGTATTACTACATACAAGTCTGTATAGGAATATATTTCTGAAGCTAGCTCTTAATAACTTCATAATAAGGAGTATACAATACCACGCGACAACATCAACCAATGAAAACTCTCTCACATAGCTGTAAAGACATCGACATGCACGATAGGTATAGGAAATAGGCAGATCCCCTAGATCTTACAGGATTATAAGCCAGGCCCGAGAAAATAAGAGAAAGTTATTATGTAAAAAGGACTCATAAACTACACCCCTGACACGAGAAACCACAGATTGTTCAGTATATAAGAGATGTCTGTCATCCCCGAAGTCGAGAAGTGTTAAGAGGTAGATAGTCACAGTCACAGCCACGACAATAAGATCAAACTCTCTTTTACCATGTGTAGTCCCGCTCAGATCCCGTATCCGGATTTGCCCGGCGTACAATTCACTTCACTTAGCGCTTCCCTAGTATCCAACTTCACAATCCAAGTTCCAGAGAGCACATACACGAACAACGGAGCTATCTACGCCGAAGGTGTCAGCTTCTGCAACCTCACGACTACCTATACGCATACTGGAGAATCTGATACTGTCACTATTAACGTATATCTCCCCACAGAGTGGAATGGCAGGATGCAAGGTGTTGGCGGAGGAGGCCTTTCCGCTGGAGGCGTTAACCTTCTACTTAGCTATTACTCTATGCTCGGCGCTGTGTCAGAGGGATACTCTGCTGTGACCACTGACGCCGGCCATGCTTCGTTAAACCCAGATGACTGGATATTGAAGAGTCCTGGACACGTCGACCTTCATCTCCTCGAAGAGTTTGGCTCCAACTCGCTCAACGAATTGTCTATTATCGGCAAGGCAATTACGGAGAGTTACTACGGCAAGCCACCAGCATATTCCTATTGGAACGGATGCTCGCAGGGCGGACGACAAGGTTTTAAGATAGCTGAGAAATACCCTACCGCATTTGATGGAATAGCTGCCTCGGCCCCAGCAGTTGACCTCGCTGGGCTGGGAGTGGGTGATCACTGGCCCCAGGTTGTCATAAAGGCCGTGGGCCAATACCCGAAGAACTGTGAGCTTGTTGCGATCACGGAAGCCTTTATCAAGCACTGTGATGGCAATGATGGACTACTTGATGGAATCGTCACTGATCCAGATTCCTGCGACTTTAGTCCACATTCTGTGGTGAACAAATCTATTGATTGCCAGGATACCGACGCTGGAACTGTGAAGATATCGGAAGCTGCTATCAACGTTGCGATTGCGACATGGACTGGCGCTCAAAAATTGGATGGCTCATTCCTTTGGTGGGGAATCAAAAAGGGGTCAAGCCTAGTAGACGAGGTAGTCAGCCTTGGAGTCAGTCCAGGACTTGCGACAACGGTGTGCTCGGGGAACGGTACCTGCACAGGGCACACAATGGATATTGTTGACGCATGGATACGACTTCTTATTAAGAAAGACCCTACTTTCGACGTCACGACAGTAACAATCGAAGAACTTCAAGATTTATTTCAACAATCGCTAGATGAGTACGGTCCAGTCTTCAACGTGAAGCCTAACTTAGACGCCTTCCGAGAAGCAGGGGGGAAGCTATTATCCTACCATGGTCTGGCCGATGCTATCCTCCCTCCGGACTCTTCGTCAAACTTCTATGAAAGTGTTGCAGCCCACGATGAGAAAATACACGATTATTATCGTCTTTTTGAAGCGCCGGGGCTTGCTCACTGTTGGGCGGGCTCTGGAGGATATTACCCTGCTGGACTTTTCAAGGCCCTGGTCTCATGGGTCGAATCCGATGCAACACCTGACAGGATCGTTGCGGCGACTTCTGCGGAAAATGGTCCTGTTCGTGAGAGTATTTTGTGTCCTTATCCTCAGAAGGCACACTATAAGGGTACGAGTTCAAACGCTACAGCTGATGATTTCTATTGTGAGAATTAAGGAACAATCGAGGAGCCTAGGTGTATGAAGACAATAGCGAGCAAATACGATTACAATTGATATAGCTAGCCACGCAGTTTGGGCCGCGGCCTCACCAAAGTTAGCTTTATTTTTTGACAGTTCGTACTCTCCTAATAATATTTTGATAACGCATTTTAGCTAGATTAGCATAATCGTAAGTAATATATTTAGGTCGACTTGAACTTGTAGTTCTCTTGAACATGCTATCACATAACCAGGCTCTTTTGGTTCCCATACACACAACACCAGGGCAAGAGATCCTTGAATTTGCCGAAGATGAAGTGAATATATTAAGAAAAGTTTGCCCGTCGCTCCAACTCAGGCCAGTTACACCACCGCCGCGCAAAAGCGATATTATTAAAGCATTGAGCGAATGCAAGATATTCCACTTCGCAGGTCACGGAAAATCGAAACCAATAGAGCCTTCCCAAAGTATTCTGATGCTCCAGGATTGGCAAAGCAATCCACTCACTGTGGAAGACCTACGAGAACATAAGCTTCAAGAAAACCGGTCGTTTCTTGGTTACTTGTTAGCATCTTCAACTGGGCCCAACACGACGGGAAAGCTCGCCGACGAAGCAATCCATCGTGTAGGTACCCTCCAGCTTGCGGGTTTCCGGCATGTTGTAGGCACACTCTGGAAAGTTTCAGACAAGCATTGTGCTGATGTAGCAAGAATTTTATACGAGACGCTACAAGCCGAGGGGATGACAGATATTGCGGTCTGCTGAGGGCTTCATGGAGCTCTTAGACAATTACGCGACAAGGAGGTCGAGAGGGAGGAGCAGATGGTGCGGGAATGGAGGGATGCTACGGGAGTAGACTCGGACTCTGATATGAGAGAGGTAAAAATATATTACTGGGTTCCTTACATTCACTTTGGCGTTTAGATGTTGTTAACACTTTCCTTGGGCCTTTGACTCGTTGTTCACGTTAAGACACAAACCGAATGGCTTTCTCCACTTGTCTCCGAGAACACCCACTCTTTCCTCCCGGGTGTCCGAGATGCCGCTCCCGTGTCACTTACCGCATATAGAAGGTGGCACACCTAGCGTAGAGTTCGCGAGTACCTACCCTAGAGTCAACCTAGCTACAGCCTACCAGGATCTTATCGCCGAATCTATTATTGATAGACTTTCCATACAATAGTTTTGCATAGTTAGTGTTACTTGTAGCAGTATTATTGACATGACATGGAAAGCTCCTGTTCCCACTAGATAGACGAGTTTCAAAAGTCTAGTGAATACGGGTTTCGCCGAGGGCGACAGCAGCACCTTGGCATTTCTTTTTGGACCTTCCTTGCTAGGGATGGGACTGGTGGCTTTTCCACGGCGGCCTCTTCCTCGCAGGAGATCTATGGCGCGTTGCAGATCCCACGTGCCCCACAAGATTGGCTGCGGAGTGTGGCTGATCTTACAGGGACGGCGGGGACTAGAGGCTGGGCATCCAGTTCGGTCCCAGTTTGGGTTTCATTGCTCGGTATAGCATCTTCTCAGGGGTTGTGATTGGCTGCTATGATTGAATGAAAGTCCCGGGGATGTCAGGGGTCAATTACGAACGGGATGACTTTCTTAATGCGGCTCGTGTCAATGCAACAAACAAGATATTTAAATGAGCCTATGGTCCCATAGGGCCATGGTGTTAATCAGATGTAAATATCCAGTCGCTCACTAATTAAAATATCTTCACAAAATGCGTGCCCAACTCTTGTCATCCGTATTGCTCGCCCTAGGCGCCCACGGCATACGTATCCTCCAGTCAAACGACGACGGTTGGGCAGAGCAATATATTCGGGTCCTGCATGACGAGCTCAACAACGCTGGCCACGATGTCATTCTGTCAGCCCCAGCTGAAAACAAGTCTGGTACAGGTAAGCTCCCGTCTAAGAATTTTATCTGCTTAGGGCATTGCTAAATAGATAAACTAGGATCTTCTGACACGGAACCATCCCCGCGTACTCAGGCCTGTGAATACAATAGCTGCCCTGCGGGCAGCGCCGCCGTGGGTAACAATGCGACAAACCCACGATTAAACTGGGTAAATTCGTTCCCGGTAACTTCCGCTCGCTTTGGAGTCGAAACGTTTGCTCCTCAGCTGTGGAACGGACAAGCCCCAGAGCTCGTGGTCTCTGGGCCGAACGTGGGAAGCAACCTGTTCATCGAAGTACAGTTCTCCGGGACTGTCGGTATAGCCACCTACGCGACTCACGACGTCGGCATCCCGGCCATCGCCTTCTCCGGCGCCTCGTCCGGCAGACTTGCGTTCGACGCGCCTGTGGAAACGCAAAGCACCGTGTATGCGAAACTAGCAACGCAGTTCACGAATGCGGTCATCGCCTCTGGTGTGCCGTACCTCCCCGACGACGTGTTCCTGAATGTGAACTTCCCCAAGGCCGAAGGGGACTGCACCGACCCGGCCAATTTCAAGTGGGTGTTGAGCCGTATCAACCCCGGCTTGTTGTCTGAGCGCGATGTCGAGACCTGCGGTACCGACAGATTACCGACGGAGTCAAGCGTGGTCAATGCTGATGGCTGTCAGATTTCTGTCAGTGTGGGAGACTCGACGGATAAGACGACGGCATCAGCTGACAAGCAGGCCATTATATTACAGAAGTTGGGTGGTCTACTGAGTTGCTTGGAGTAATGATACTCTTGGCGGGGCCTGGGATCATATCCGCGTATATATTTGCAATTTTACAAGCTGTATTTCTGGAAATCGACGATAAACTGTATATTATGCTGTATACCTAAGTTGTGTCTTGGCTTCTAAACCCTGCGTGTAATATGTCTTTTCTGTATTTATATTGGGGAAACTCGGGTTTATAACCTGCTTTTTTATAAAATGCGTTGTCTTCTGGGATTTTATAAGGTCGATAGATCGTGAGTGTCGGGTCTTTCAGGGGAAGAGGAGGCGCACATAAAAGTCGTGGGAGTGGGAGGGATCTTAGAAGAAACAGGATTGGTATTGTAAGTAGTAGTGTCGGCGAAGGCTTTGTCCACACGGAAGACCTTCTACCGTATCTATGAGGACTCATTAGCATAGAAATCTCCAAACATTTCAAGACTCTGTAGTGTAACTTACCATATTCTAGACTAGATAATTGAGACCGAAAATATTTGCACCAACTACGGGACACGAAAGGGGTCGTGGCGTTTTCAAGGCATTCTGGACTGGAACCAGACGTCGGTCTTTTTACTAGACTCTGTATCGTTTCTCGTATATCTGGAAGGATCAGAGGCCGGACTGTAGAATAGTCTGCCCAATCTACTGTTTTCGCTTCCTAGACGCTGGAGCCTATCTTTGTCGTTCTAAATATTCAATCCATCGCGTATTTGTCTCTTAAATATTCTTATTAGGAAGCGATGCTATCTTCAAGCATATAGAGCGGCGTGTGTCAGTTATCGGGTAACGTGTACCACGAGAGGAGTTAAAGCGGATATGCTAGAAGCTAGCTATTCTTAGGGACGGCCGCGCTGCTTTATAGAGGAAACCTGGGGCAGCCTCTGTATACCTCGTTACTATCATGTTTTTCGTGGGAGAAGATGTCAGGTACGTGTCTCACCGTAACTATATACTTCTTCCAAATGGTCCAGAGGAAGGCAGCGAAACAGTACGCGTCATTCCTATGTTCAATTGGATAGCCTATATGCTTTTGTGAACTAATGGAGGCCAGCGCGACCATCCATGACACCATATAGGGTATGATGCTACCCGGGCAAAAAGACAAAAGATTTTGTTATGTTTGTAAGAGACCCTAGTTCGCACCAGCGATGCTCCCGGATGTAGGTAAAGATGTCTCGCCTCCTTCCTAGTCATTCTAGGTGCGCTGGGACTGATACCCAAAGGCGCGGAACGCAGGATAGAATGAATAGAAAACCTATCTATAGGAACCAAAAATTTCGCCAAAAGCATCGTTTGGGTTTGAAATCTTTAGTATCTCTTCCAGGTGCGCTTCATGAAGTCTTGGGTGCCTTACTAACATTAACAATCTCACCTAATTGTGGCTAGGAGCGGATGGTTTCCCTAGTAACGTCGGGGGTTGTTATACACCGACATTCAGCCTCGCCTTGTGCTGTGATAGAACCTATGATGTATAGGGCCACAATTTTATTATAATCTAGGATTGAAACAACAAGTAAACATGGATCATAAACATTTCGAGTCTCCCTATGCAATACATGGGGTATGGGTCGCGATACACAATATGAACTTAGAGTGAATCTATTATCCTGAGAGTGTACTATTAACCTAGAGCTAGGATGTGGGAATAGTGTCAAAAGACCCACGACATAGGTATGAAGTCACTTCATTAGAGACTCAAGTTATACATAGAGGAGTGAAGTAGGTGTTTATTGGGAGAAGAAATGTATCTGTCTACTGCTGAAGTGCAGCATCATATATATCAGGAGTCACAGTTACTCCAAATTCCTTCCTTTGCCCCAAAGTTCATATCTACCAGTCTGTCCGATAGATCCATGCCCCCCACTCCAGCTCCCCTTTTTAATAAATCAACCGCAAGTCTGTCATATACAGATCAGTGGTCGACCCTCACCAAAGCATCTGTGGCAAGTTAGTAATCCGTGTTGAGGGACATTGGAAATAATGAGGAGAACTTACTCGTTGTCGATCAGATAGAAAGTGAGAAAGTAGAGAATTAAGGTAACCACGAAAACTTGTGACGAAAACATCCTTGATGACAATCTCGCTGGGTGAGGCTAGTAAGCTCCTTAGTTCTTTCGGAACAGCTTCTTGACGGACTTGAAGAACTTCTTTAGTCCCCTAGGCTGCTGCTGAGTGCCATGAGCAGCACCAATAGGCAAGGCGGTGCCAAGATGGCCCTCAATGATGGCAATGATAGGACCCATGGCCTCCTGGGCAGCTCCAGGGAGCATCTGCTCACATGCCTCAGCGATCATGCGGGGAAGCATATTGACAATAGTCTGGAGGAGGGCGATCTGAGTGGTGAGAGAGATGACATTGCCATTAGTCGAGTTCAACAGGGTGCCGAACGCATTGATGTTGTTGCCAAGAGAGTGAACATGACCATCAATGGCATTGACATGCTGACCGATAGCGTTGAGGTGCATGATCTGACCATCCATGTGCGCGACACGTCCACCCAAGGCGTTGACATTCCTGTCAAGAGGGCCCACGGAATGACCAAGGGCAAAGTCGATCATTCCAAAGACATCCTCCAAGACAGCCTCAACATTTACACCATCAACGTTATGAGTGCCCTGTCCGGCCATCTCTCTAATAACACCTCGAATTCCATCAAGGAGAGCTGCCATATTCTGACCAGTGACAGTGGCAGCCTCGTCACCAGATCCATTGTTCATTGCAAAGGTAACCGCGTGCTTGACAATGTCGTAGAGCTTGTTTTCGGCACTAACACCGCTCATCATGTTGGCAACATGAGCCTGAACACGCTCCTCCTCAGTCTTCTCGGCTGCGACCTTATCACGAGCCCGAATTTCCTGAGTGATCTCAACGAGAAGCTGGACCACGTCACGCATCTGGTTCCACTCCTCACGAGGGGCGTTACCGCGGGCCGCAGAGAGCTGGATAAAGCGGAGGTAATCCTGGGTGATGGCATGGAAATCATGGGCTGCAGCGGTGGTGGGAGGGAAGAGACCCTGGGAACGAGCATGGGCTAGCACAGTACCCATCTCAGTGAGCTGCTGGAAGGTGTAGCGGAAAGTGACGCCATCAATCTCGACAACCACTATGGCGCTCTGGGCACCGTTGATAGCTAAATCTTACATGTAAGCAGAACTATCATAACTATAACCAAGTATAAAGGGACTGCAAAATATTACTTACCATTGGCCATGGCGCCAAGCTGCTGCGCATCGGTCATGCCAATGCCGGAATCCGGGGTTCCAGGAACCTCCTGGGCGCGGTTGTTATCTCCCTGAGGCCTGAAAATTGAAGTTAGTTAAATGTCAATACGAAAAGGACAGTAGAAACAAGAAAGGGAAAATAAACTTACGACATAGTTTCTGTTCTGGTAAATGAACAGGTAGGTCGAGATGTGAGAGAAGACTGATTGAATTGTCTGGAAGGATGGGTTAGTGTATGCGAATTGATAGAGGATGATGACTGAGTGTATGTGTTTATGTGTTGTGTATGTGTGTGGCAAATGTAAGAGAGGAAGGTGGGGTAGGGTGGTTGGGTGGTTGGAAAATACGGGCGGTAAATAATTTCGCCAGAGGTGAAGGTTGATGATGCGAGTGAATTTGTAAATGGGAATGGGTAGATGGGAAGGGTAGAAGGTAGAGGGTAGAGGGTAGAGGAAAGGTTGTAGAGGTGGGAAAGGTAGGAAGGTAGGTGAAGGGTAAAGGTGGGGAGGGTTGTGCACTTACCAGAGGCTGGATGTGCGAGAGGTTGGAGGGGGTTGTGTGAATTGAAGTTGAGAAGAATTGTAGAAAAAATGGTGAAGAGAGTAGGTATGGTGGGGTGGGGTTGGGACATGTAGAAGAAGGTGATGGGTAACTGGGGAGAGTGAAGGGAATTTTGACTTACTGATGTCCGAGAGACGAACCAGAGACTAGACTTGATAATCTTGGAGAGAAGACTTGTCAAGATGATGAAGACTTGATGGTCAAGGTTGATAGTGAAGGTTGATGGTGAAGGTTGATGGTGAAGGTTGATGGTGAAGGCTTGGTAGTGAAGGGTTCAGAGTATGGTGTGAAGTGTGAAGAGTGAAGAATAAAAGTTGGGAATGGTGGAGGAACTGCCCTGGTATATATATCTATTCGGACCAGGCTGATAGAATGAATTGTGGGGTTGGTAGAAGGTGTACAGTCAGGTGTACTTGAGGAGGTTGGAAAGGTTGATACTAAGATTGTAAAAGCTGTAACAAATGTGCCAATACAGACCCACTTGTCAGGCGAGAATTGATTGATACAGTAGGTTGCTATCACAACTTGTGGGGTGGTAACCAGAAGGACTGTCAAGTTGCTATGAGGTGGAAGAAGATGATGGTGGAGAAGGCTGAGGGAGGCAAAAAGATATGTATCACCAAGAGGACGGCAGATCAGGAGCGGTGTGGGGCGTGGTGGTTTTCAAATCAAATCAATCACCTAGGTTATTAAAAAAATCATTTATGCCAGCTGCATCGGTCTGTATTTTCAGCCTGTTTGCCCTATCAACCACCAGATCAAGAAGAAGCTTTGACCTTAACCCAGCCCGCAACCTGATCTTGCACCGGCAACCGTACCTATGTACCTGAATGATTAGAGATAAATTGGCTATCAAGGTGCATACGATAATTGATCCTTGAGCTGTAATAGAAAATCAAATGTTTCAACTAGGGTACGTACACACAAACGTACCTCGTGTTCGTGACATGCCTCCACAATATGGCTTGATATTTTATCAAAACTGCATTACTTACGGCCAACCCATTTACCAGATCATTAGAATCAATATAAAATACTCAGGTACTTGTAGCATCCATTTGATCCAGGTAATACGATACTAAACATTGACTAAGGCCGAGCGCCCAGTATATCGTGATATTTTCCTAGAACGTGATCTTAATAACTAGGGGATATGAATGACTACTAGAAAATATGCATGTATGAGGTGTCTACTTCTTCTTGTGGTCTAAAAAACCAATTACAAGGTTGGGTCGGCATTGCGTTACAGTTACAATAAATCTAAAATCGGTTTTAATATTCTAGTAACCCTCGTATTTAATTAGGTAAAAGGGGATTAAAGAAACATTTTCTCATATCGAATCAAGAATTATTATTTTATATAAGTTTGTTGGTGTTGGTAATTAACGAGGATATCTAAGATCAGTGGTTTTATTTTAGAGCATTATCATAGGTTCCGAAAATATTGCGTGAAAGTACCATAAAACAAATCGATATCATCGCAGGCTGGTGATCAAGTTTCAAATTAGGTACGTGTGGCATCCATCCAGGTATATCTCGTTTGTACATTGCCTGTTCGTACCTAAGTACCTGTTGATTATGACCCTGAGGATCACTGAGAATATTGCGGCTCAATGAGTTGACGTTGGATTTGGCGCACGGACCCACTATAGGGGTTGTAACTTCTCTGTCCATCAGGGTACGTACAGTCAAATAGATTGCGGGGGAGACCCACATTCTGCTGTACAGTAAGCAAATGTGGGTCCCTTAAAATCAGATCTCGGGAAGATGTGATTGGTTTATTTGGTGGTACGAAGGTACGTACATGAGCAGGTACCATTAGAGCTCCCTGTGATCTTGATGTACATAGGATCTGCATGTACCTGGGTACGTATGCGATCGAAAAATAGGAAGAAATATTGGGAGAAATCTGGTAATCCGTATACGCCTGTCAATATAAAGCTGCTGCTGATATCCCATGACTCGATAGTCCTTCTGCCGTGTCTCGATTTCGTAGCGCGAATGCTCAACGCTCCTCATCACAGATTATTGAAAATCCTAGAGACATTATAGTTGAGCGAGCGTCTCCATTAGTAGATATTGAGCGGCGCGATAATACTAGAACAGGCCATCTGAAATCCATTCCAAAAGCGATTAGAGGTAATACCGACATATATAATACTGCAAGGTCGTTAGTTATAGGTTGTGCAATTACTCTGGTTCGAAAAATGTACTGTTTTTACTACTTGAGTTGACGGGGATGGTCAGGGAAATAATATTATTGATAATTCTGACCATCTCCTAGCCTAACAATACGTTTGCTCTAGGATAGTCCTGTTATCAACAATCCAAGTTTGGTTCTATCGATGGAACAATCTAGATGCATGGGAATATTTAACAAATAACACAAAACCCTCCATTCCCTGGGACCTGGGTATGGCGTTTCCTAGCTAGTGCTAATAAAAACGATACTTCACGGTATATTCAAGTGGCCGACAGGAAGCATATCCTAGAGAAGAGCTAGAGGCCAAAATGCGGAATCATCGAAATGACTGGAGGGTATTGGGTCTCGTATCGTCGACGAAAGATACCATGCAAAAAAATAGCATCTGCAACATGTAGTTCATAGAGATACTCGGTTCATACCTCCTAGACGCTTTTATCTATCCAAACTAGAGTCAGGACTGCTACAGAGAAGGTTAAAAGACGCCCCCGATTCCATGCTACTGAGAATAGCCGCTCAAAAGATATATGGCCCTTACCTATTGATAAAAATAGACCCCCTCTCACGAAGTTCGAGTTTATATAATGTAAGCAAAGGTACTTTTAATACAAATATCCTGTTGCGAAAAATATTACTAGAAGTACAGGACTGGGCAAGGTAGGTAAATATCATGCTATACTATACTTGGTCGTTCGTAACTTGATGGATTTTCCGCGATGCCTACGAATATGATATGCTTCAGTTATCTAGTGTCGAAGGTTACGAACCACCTCCCATAAAGCTCTGAAGTTCGACCATAAGAACCCGAGCTTGGAAATTTGTGTTTAGATATCTCTATGGAGAGGAAGATGACTTGAAGATGAGCAACCAACTAGAAAGGCTATCGTAGCTGATGCTGGACTTTCCTGGGGAGAATAGAACAAGGGTTCTCCGTAGACCCTCCGCATCTAAAGCCATACGGACCACAGTTCAAGATTATTAACGCGTCGAATTGTGGTATATAGTTGAATAATTTAGAAGTACACTACCTACACTACCTTGTAAGGCCCTGTTCTTCATGGTTTTCCATATGGCGAACCGCCAGTATTTTATCTGGGTTGGAAGGCAACGCATATAATATACCAAAGACAAGATCGCCTTGGACTCGTAAAACGTTAAGCGTGAGCATCTTATTATGCTCTTGTGTGAAGCTGGAAATGTTCCGACCTTTCTAATTATCACCGAAAAACAGTTGTATGAACAGCAGTGCCCCCCAGATAAATTATGGATATTGCGTCTTATGGAATACTGCCGAGACATATCTAATGCCTTTGCTCTGCGCCACTTCTTTGGGTTTCTAGAAGTATCACGTCCTACTGACTAACAACTACATAGGTATCGGAAATACTAAAGTATCAGGACGATACTTCATTAATACCACATATTTCCTACCTAGAGAAGCCTCTAGCTAAATTCAGGTAGTTCTGGGCTTACTACGTCCCTCCCGAAGTAATTATTCAATCTACTGGGATTTATGTGTAACTCTACCTTTGAGCTGTGTGGATTACCTAGGTACCTAAGCATCAGGGGTTTAAAAGGGGTCACAATAGTCAGAAAACAGTACTGGATGTGATTGCAATGAGACTCTGTTAATGACTAGAGTCTATCTTCTGGCCGAGTGTCAACAAAACACCGGAAATCAAGCTACGAACGACGATATTGCCCGAAAGAGCCCCCATACGATTGCGAAACCAGCCGAAATCCACCCAGTATCCATCCCTAATTTGTGTGTACCATAGATCATTCCTGCCTGCATCTCATTAGCTAATGAAGATATAATAGAATATTATGTTGAATACATACCGCAATGAAAGAGAATGGAAGGTTTTGATGGTGTGTCTTGGGGTAATAACGAGGGACTGGTGCTTGCTAGAGATATCCATGTGTGTCATGAGGGAATATCCATGTGCCGGAGGGGAACCCGTAGGGAAGGGAATTATGCGACGAGGGCATCCTCGTCGTCGTCGTCATCGACATCTGTTGGGGGAATGTCATGTTAGCAGCATAATCAAAGGAATGGATCCCCGGAATCATTGGAGCAGGCGAGTGCGGATGCGAATACGAGTGATGATGACCACCACTGCCGTAGACCGGGACACCGCCATCATCGCGCCTCTCCGTAGCACTGATGACTAAGACTTCGTCGTCGTCGTCGTCATTCTGGGCGTTGGTAGAAGGCGATATGTCAGGCTGACTCGTCGGCGCTGCCTCATTGACAGGCGTGACACCGGGTACGGCAGAAGTCGCGCCACAACCGTTCTCCTGCTCCGCTTTCACGGCGATCGAATCTTCAGTTTTGACTTCACCTTTGACTTCGGTCTTGACGGGCTCATCAGCATCGCCGGCATCCTCGTCAACGGCAGCGAGCTTGCGCTTCTTGCTGGGGGTGCGAGTCTTGACGCCGTCCTTGCTGTCCTTGGACTCCTTCTTGACACCTCCCACGCCACCGGCGGCGCCGATGCCGTGGGCCTTCATAAGACGCTCATATCGCTTGGCACTGGAAGGTAGTAACACGGTTAGTTCAGAAGAAAGGGGTAAGATGAGCGAGAAGTAAGGTTTGATAGAGAAAAATGATGGTAGTTACTGGGGAGGTACTCACGCTGCGCCCTTGGAGACAATCTCGCATTCCTTGGCGACCTCGGTGAAGTCAATCTATTTAGGTCAGTAAGACTCAACTGAGAGGTACATTTGGTACGCGAAGATTTGGTTAATCATCAACAGGGTAGTGCTCACCTTTCCAGCAGTCGAGTGCTTGATGCACACGATGAGGAACTTGAACTGAGAATCAACGTCCAGAGCTGGCATTATGTCGGTGGCTGACGTGAGGTTGTCAGGCTGAAGGGATCAAGTAGAAAAGTTTGAAGGTAAAGTACGAGAACCTTGCGTATGAAGAGAAGTGGAGTGGTAGTTGATATTGTTGAAGTTGATAGATGGGAGGATAGGTTTTTAGGATTGACAGGTAAGTCGAGAAATTTGATCAAGTAGTGGAAGCTTTGGCTTTTTTGTCTGTGAATGCTACTTTTAAGGAAGTAGGCCCTGTACCCAGCCTACTCTCGAAGAAGTTGCAATTTGTTTTTAGTAGATGGTTGTTGGGCGGTTATTGCCACAGTGTAGGAGGTCCGCATAAAGTGCAGTCAGACTCGATATACCAGGCAACGGCCCAAGCTTCAGCCAATACTGAAGTAACTGAGGATCAACTTGGAAGGCACCCAGTCTTAGAGTTGCTTATGTATGCGGAAGTCAGTATTGCTAGGTATACGTCGTGATGATGGACACACTTGGGGATCTAGTACGACAGTTAATGTCGGGACCACCAGCTAAAATATGAAAAATTCTTTTACTATACTATGGTGAACTGTCAGAAACTGATCTTTGAGTGTCGTGAATTATCTTAGACAAGACTTCAAGAGTAACCACAAAGATAAGACTTAAGATGAGCTTTAATCTTTTAGATGTTGCCGTGTAGCATGTCAAAGGTCCAACTATTTCATACTACAAATGCCTTTGTCATTGATACTGGAATATGTTGGTCGTGATAGAGGTAAAGGAAGTAGTATGTGTATAGAAGATGAACAGTAGGGGGCCTGTCAGCTGAATTAAAGAGGGTTAATATAGCTGGACAGTGCTCGGTACTCGGTTCTGGGCTGCCCCGAACTCCGAGGCGCATCGTAACGAGGACTATCTCATTTACTGCAACAATTTATGATAGACTTTCGATGGCAGAGGTCTTTTTGTATTACCTAGTAGATACATACAGAGGCTCTCCAAGGCCGATTCAAGCCAACACATCAAACTTCTTCTTTCAATTAGTGAAGGCCCGAACAACGAGGCTAATAGCCGTTGGGCAAATTAAAACACACAAGAAAGATAACATCCAGAGCCTTAATTAGGGTCTAGAAACATGACTCTTCGAAACGCGACCCTGACGAGCTCTATGGAGAATTCCTCTGGCACGGCGGCGACGCGGCGCAGGGGCCGCAGCAGGGAGAGCAGCTGGGGCGGGGACCGGAGCCGGAGCCGGGGCCGGAGGTGCGGCAGCCGGTGTGGTAGTGGGTCCAGTGGCGGGGGCTGCGTTGGGAATAGCGGGCACCACAGCCGGCACAACAGCGGGAGGGGCGACGACGGGAGCGGCGCCGGAAGCGCCAGAAACGGGAAGAATCTAGGAGACCCAACTTGTTAGTTGATGTTTGGGTTGGATAATAATGGCAGCCGTAATATAGGTAATTTAACTTACAGTCACTCCGCCTTTTAGCCACTAAGACAAACTAAGTCAGTAAATGCTGCACACTCTCATAGATATATAGGAAATTACTTACACCCTTACCCTTGCACCGGGTGGTAAAAGTGTCGCGTGCGACACGGCGAGAGGCATGACCCATCTCGCGACTCACTGCGGTCCAATCCACAGTCTTTAGCAAGTCTTTGCTTGCATTTTTAAAAATGGAGACCATCATGACGACCTGTCTGGTCGTGACAGTCACGCCATTTCCCAAATGAATATATGGGTTCGACATCTTATTTAATGTTAGTAGTGGGCTCAAAAAGAATGATGTGCCTATGTTCAGCCTTAACAGAGATAGCCAGTCTCGAGAATAATCGAGAATGGGTTGACAAAACAAGACAAAAGGCAAGACTGAAAGTGAAGGGGTATTAACCAGAGCTATTACTTACTTTGACCAGGTAGATAGGTACGGTAAGACGTAGGAATTCTTTGAGGTTTGAAGTTGGAATGGTGCGAGGGGAGGTGTGTGATAATTCTGGTTGTTGGAAAAGGGAAACAAAATTATTTCTTCAGATCTAGGTGAAAGAAATTAGAAATGGCTCTCAATTTGTCTGCCTGAGGGAAGTTGCTCACTTTCCTAATCTCCCAATGGACAGTGGCTTCATGCCCTATACTTCGCGCAGGTCTTAGGGCTCTTAGGGGTTCTCAGGTATCCGCTTAGTCGTGTTCTTTCTCAAAACACCCCACCGCTAGATGTCAGGTGAACACTTGAAGTATCTAGGGACATGTACAATGGCAGTAACTCTAGGGGCTAGGAAGGAGAGAAAAAAAATTACATAAGATACAACTTCAGGAAGGTAAACGGGGCTCGAAACTATGGACTCAACCCAGCGTAATTTGGACAATATAAATGAGATAGGACCCTCCTAGTGGTCATATCAAAATCAGCTTTTACTCGCCTACAGGTCCAGAGGTAGTTATGGCATAGGATAGCTCTACTATCAGGTCTGACTTATTACTCCCTACTCAGGACATGGGCCTGAATTTTAGTATCACTTGCTTCAGTAATCGTGAGAGGAGCAAGGTAACCATAATGAAAACAACCGTTATTAATGTAGCATATAAACTATGAAACTACCTGCATCGCGAAATAAACCCTAGATCTTCCCTGCGATTTGCGTTATAGAGCTTCGTTTACTTTGCCGTAAAGAGCATTACTAGAGCCAGTAGGCCATCAAATGCCATGGCCCTTGCCTTCCTCCAAGATACCGGCCATTGAGGTTGTTAGAAAAGTAAATATCAATGCGACTATTCACTTTTGAGTAGCAATAACCTCATCATCATCGCCATCCTCGATCTTAATCACACCTGCAGCGTCATCTTTGAGCTCCTTCTTCGTAACGGGCTTCATATCTTCATCATCTTCGGGGCTATCACTCTCGTCTCGGCCCTTGCCAGCAGCCTTAGCCTTCTTGCCCTTGGTAGACTTGGTGACTCTAGCAGATTTGGTTTGCTGAGGAGAGCCTCCCGCCGCTTCTTCCTTTCGATACCTGCGTCGGATCTGTGAGAATCGCATCTTTAAATGGTTAGTACTAAGTCATGTGTATTCAGTAGCAGAGACTATACTTTGGCAATTCTTGAATCCTTCAGATTGAGCTCCTGGGCAAGTCCGTCCCAGTCAATATCCAGGCTATTGGGAAGATACTTGAAGATGGCAGTGAAGAACTTCTGGTCACCAGCCGTCAACGCGCTTGTTTCCTTAGGAGGCATGTTTGCTGTTTGACACAGTTGGCTTGGCGGTGGAAATTTGGTCGGTATTAGATGCTGTACTAGATCTAATAGTTAGTTCATGTCGAATGGGAAATATTAGGAGGAAGAGTAACTACAGCAGTGTAGCTTATAGTTAATCGAGGATAGCTTATCACTTCGATTCTTTGACTGCTTCATAGATGGAAATCGAGAGGGAAAGAGGGAAGATGGAGCTTTGAGGTACGGCAATGATGAGGAATATGCCCGGGACTATGTCACAGCAGCAGAAGGGGGGGGGATAGGGTTGAAGCGGCGCAGAGGGCCAGGACGACAGACAAATATATGTCGCGCTTGGTAGGATGGGGGTTTAAGGACATATAGGTACATAGGGATTTCCACTTACCTTGGAGCGATAGATACCGCGACCTAGCTGTATATTAGATCAGTAAACTGATATGAGCATAGGTTGAAGGTTGCGAAAGTGTTTGTACTTGGATGGGGGGGTAGTGTTGGGTGGGTGATGCAGCGACGTCTCAGATTGAAGAGGAAAATCGTAGGGTCGAAGGAGTAGTCACGAGGGCTAAAGTGCAAGCGACGGCGGGAAAGTTGCGAGAAAGCTTCATATAGACGCCCTGCAGAGTTCAAGGTGTAGAGGGATGAAGCGGAGGGGAAGTGATGCTGAAATGCTATAAAACTTACTTCGAGCGAAGATGGTATTGTTGCGGTAGACTTCTCAGTGGTGCTAAATAAAATCTTCCTGCTTTAGGATTTGATATGAAAGTTATTTCGTTGTAGTGGTAGCCAGGTACCAGAAGTTGAAGGTGGTGAAGAGGTTGGCCCTGAGGGTGGTGTGTTGAAAGAAGAATCAGATGCGAGAGGATTGGGACTCAAGTGGGAAGGAGGACGCGAGGATCGTGAACCAAGAAACAATGGTTTCCAAGTACATAGATCTCAATAACAAGGCGGGTACTACCCAAATTAGGTCGTCGAGTTTGTTGTCGAGTTTGCTGTCTAGTTCGCCAGACGTACGTCTAAGTTGCCGCTATAGAGTTGCGGTCATGTAAGCTATTACTCAGGTACGTATGCCAGATCGACGTGTAAGTAGAGGAGTTGACGACGTTGACAACTTCGGTAGCGATTTGAACCATAATAAACAGCAGTCTAGCATAGGAACAAGTTTTACAATGCGGTGTTTGGCATACAGCCGTCAAAACACAGGGATAACAAACGAAATGGCTCTGGAGTCTTACCTGTATCTGAGTCTGAGATTTCTAGCATGGAGAGAAACTCCGTTTTCTTAGCAGTAGTAATTCATACCAATCTGCTAGTTTATTAGACACTTGAATGTATGTGCTCCGTCCAAGACGAAAAAATAACTTACAAACTTATCTATTTGTCCTAAAGAGATACTTTCTTCGATATAGGTTGGGACCGTTATATGGAAATACGATGTAAGATGTAATGACAACTACCTAACCGACAAAGTTTTACCTGACTCAAATGGATTGGCCACTTGTTACAGTTCGAAATAAGATCAATAAGGGCAGATCTTTACATATAAGCATAGCTAAAAAGGCATGTGCAGAAACCAAGTTGATATTCACGTTAGACTCTTTTACGTTCACGAGTACGTACTGTATTAAACAATATTTGATGTAAAATTCATTTGGTAGGGCTGAGTTAATGTAAGGTACTTATGTGAATTGAGAAACAAGCAGCTGAAATGACAGGATTAGAATTGACTAGAGCTTTAAACAAAGGAACTCGGAGTAGAAACACCTCCGTAACCCGATGGAGTTATATTGTCTAGAATATTAAGTGTTATTAATTACCAAATCTTTTTTTCATCTGATGGCTTTGAAGCTCGATATGACAGAACGGGATAGGTTGTAGGACATACTAATAAGATAAGACATTCTGAAAGAAAAATGGTCTGGTTTTATATTTATGCTGCTACTTGATATCAATCACAATAATCTGAGAGAAAGTAAAACTAACCGAATGGTTTTTGTTTAAGCAGTAGAATCAAACGGATTTAGCTAACAGCTATGCACTTGTCTGAGAGAACCCTTGATTTGTGTCATACGTAGAGTGAATGTTAGAAGTAACATCAAAGTTGCTGTATAGTCGCCGTGTAATAGTATGAATCTATTAACGCTTGCCTTTATGTATCCTCTTTTAAGGGCGCTGCGCGTCTAGATCTATTCCTATTCCTAATTAGCTCCACGTATACCGTGACAGCACTTGGACCTTGGGACGGTTATTATAGTGGGATAATCATATATTTATTTTCTTGGAAATGAATCGCTTTGCTCTAACTGGGTTTATATCTCCAGCATCTACTCAACGCCTCCGAAATCAACTGCTCCTTTAATGTTTGCCAAAGTTCTCATTTACAAGTACGTATCGATAACGAGCCTTACCCTCCTCCATATCGATGATTGCCTGGTTGGCGTCCTTCAGAGGTCGTTCCTGAACCCAAGATTTGATCTTCTTATCTGCTGCTAGCTGTAGCATTTCTCTTATTTCCCAAGGAGCTCCAGTGGCGCTACCGCCGATTTTGACTCCATTCAGAATTAACTGGAATGCATTGATGGGGGGAAGCTCGCCTCCATCAGGGGCGCTACATGACGAATTAGTTTTGAACGGAATTCGACCACTGCATTAACAAGGTGAAATAGAGACAAACTTACCCAACTTGAATCAAAGTGCCCCTTGCTTTTAGAAGATCAAGGTAGCCATCCAAAGGCATCTTTGAATGAGACACTGTACTAACGATGAGGTCCAGGGTTCGTCGGTGCTTCGTTGCCCAGTCTTTCTCCTCATCCGTAGCAATGTACTCATCGGCACCAAGTTTCAGTACGTCCTCCCTTTTTTCTTCCTTTCTCGAGATACCGACGACCTTATCGGCTCCCAGGGCTTTAGCGAAAAGAATACCAAAGTGACCCAAACCGCCAACACCAACAATTCCCACTGTCTTGCCTGGTCCACAGCCATTTTGCTTTAGGGGCGAATACATGGTGATGCCACCACAAAGCATCGGAGCGACAATGGCTGAATCAATTCCATCCGGAATCTTGAAGACCCAATGGCCGTTTGTACGGTTGTAGTCCGCATAGCCGCCATAAGTTTTACCTTCTCCATCCGGGTAAATGGAGCCGTAGGTGTTGATTAAGCCTTCTCGGCAATAGGACTCCAAGCCGTTCGAGCATTCCGGGCAGGTGCTCTTCTGGCAAGTCCTTGCTTGCGCACCAACTCCAACGCGATCGCCAACTTTGATATGCTTCACGTTCGCTCCTACACGTACTGCCTTGCCGACGATCTCGTGGCCCACGACACAAGCTACGATGATGTCAGAAAAAAAAAACCGCAAACTAATCCGAAAGAACTAAAAAGGGGACGTACGGTAGGGAGTCGGGCCCCAGCCGGACTTCAACGTGTGTAGGTCACTACCGCAAATACCGCAGTGTGATATCTCGATGTCCACATCATCCTCGGTCCATTTCTTAGGCTCGAATTCGCCCCACTCCCTATTTCATAATAGCTGTCAGTGATTATGTAATTTGATAAAAAGCCCAGATATTTCGGAGATGTCTCGGGAGTATAAGCTTCCTCCTCTGTGTGTGTTTCTACCATTCAAGAAGGAGAAACAGCTCCAGGGACAAATCTAGACGATGAGGAAAGAGCTATTGATATTACTTACATCTTTCCATTGATGGCATCTGGGGACTTACCCAGCCAGCCTTCGAACTTAGGGCTTGCCTGTGCTGCCATGTTGAAATATATGGTGATTCGGTGGCCGAGACTATGAGGTTTGAGGTGAAGAGATGAAGATTCCTGTGTTTTTTTAATTTTATTGTTGAATTAAATGCTCGATCTTTAATCATGGCTCGAGCTACAATGCAACTGGCTTATACTTAAATAGAGAAACGACGGCCACGTCACATCCGGCTCATCCCATTAACATTCGAATTTTAATCTCTCTGCGGCCAAAAAGCCGATTGTGGATTCATAATCCATGACGCTAAGTGGAGGTAACAGTGGATAGAAGTTACATACGATGCAAACCTGTACATACATTATACTTACCTACCTCGGTACCAACGTGTAGGTAGCTACGAATAAATGGAATCTACCTAGGTAGTCTCTTTTATGGGCCTCTGAGACAAGAATTGATAGGTATTGTGTAAGCAAATCAACGGTGTAAATCTGCATATGTACTAAAAAAAGGTGTAGGGTGTCCCACCGTTACATTGTGGCTAGTGATGGACTAGCATCGTTGGCCGAGATATAATACCGTGAAAATTTAATAGACGCACATATCTAACTCGCTACTACCCACTCAGATAAGTGTCGGACTTATTGTATATCGGGCTTACTGTATCGGACTTAATGCTAAGACTAATAAGTAGTCAAGTACTTAAATATTACCGTTAAGAATGAAATAGCTGCCGGGCAGAAATTCCACGAAAAAATGGCTAATAAGTATATTCACAGGTTATTAAGATTCAATATTAGACGTCATCGGTAACTAAGTGGAAATAGCTACATCTGCAGTCTAAGCGGTCTAATGCACTCTCAGTAAAGCGAAGGGGTACTCATTACTCAAGAATTATTCTAGGGGGGGGGGGCTTTACGTAGTAGTGAGGCTATCTGTGGCGACGAATATGTTACAACACTAAAAAACCAAGAAACAACCATAACACGTGGAAGTAACCTCATAATAGCCACTAACAACTCTTCGGATGTTTTTCTCCTAGTAAATAATGGGCATAACGGTGATAGTGAATTTATCTCCATGCAAATAGAAAAGTTCCACAGGTCGATCTTTTTCCACCGCTTTCTTTCTTATCTTACCTCTTGACTTTTTTTCATATTTGCATTCGGGAATTCCATAGGTTTCTTATTATCATGAGACGCAAAAAGATGTCTTCGACGGTGAGATTTTAGTCAGGGGTATATATGCCGTAAGATGCAAGTAAGCATTTACGACGAAAGAAAAGCCTATATACTTCCGAGGA